TCTCCGGACCACAGGCTGATGCTGTAACCGCTGAGCCAAACCGGCCAGGGCTTGTTTGTTTGTTTATCCTCATCCGAGGACATTTTTGCATTTTTCCTCAGATAGAGCGGGAGGAAGAGAGAAACATTGATGTGAGAGAGACACATCGAGTGGCTGCCACCCACACGACCCCAACCGGGGCCTGGGACAAACTGCAACTGAGGTATGTGCCCCCACAGCAGCAACTGAACCAGGGACTCTTTGGTCTGCGGGCCGACACTCTAACCGCTGAGTCACACTGGCCAGGGCCAGGGCCAGGGCCATATACCTTTTAATCAATCTTTGTTGGAACCAGAAAGCTTGCCAGTTATTGAATAATTGTTGCTTAATCTGATAAAAGGTACCCTCAAATAACTTTCAGCAAACATCACATTTACTAGTAAAATAGTTAAAGCTTTCCCTATGAGACTGGGGACAATAAGTCAGGAATATCTACTATCAACTTCCATTCAACACTGTACTGAAGACCCTAGCCAGTGCAAGAAGACAAGAAAAAAAGAAGTTAAAAACTGGGGGATAAAAGTCCTGGCTGGGTGGCTTGGTTGGTTGGAGCATCATCCTGTATACCAAAAGGTTGCAGGGGTTCAATTCCCAGTCAGGGCACATACATAGGTTATGGGTTCAATACCCAGTTGGGGCACAATAGAGAGACAACCAATTGATGTTTCTCACATCGATGTTTCTCTCTCAACATATCCTCAGGTGAGGATTAAAAGAAAATAAATGGAAAGAAATAAAAGCACTACTACTATTATTGTAATAAAACTACTATTATTAGAAGGGGACATGACTGTATACATGCAAGATTTAAAAGAAGTTATAAACTTTTAGAAATAACTAAATTTAGCAAGGTTGTGAATACAGGGCAACAAACGTTAACTATTTCTACATAACATTAACAAGCAATTAGAAAATTAAAATTTAAAAGTGGTAAGAAAAAATACATTTATAATAGTGTTAAAACATCAAATAGCAAAGAACAAATCTACTGAAAGATGTACAAGATCTATATACAGGAAACTATAAGATAGCACTGAAAGAAATCAAAGAAGACATGAATAAATGTAAGGAGACACCCAGCTCATGGGTTAGAAGACTCAGTATTATAAAGATATCAAATCTCCCCAAAGTAATCTATAAATTAAATACTAAATCAAAATCCTGGCAGATTGTTTTCTGGTAGATATTGATAATTTAATTCTAAAATTTAAGTGAAAATGCAAATGGATAAGAATAGCCAAGACAATCATGAAAAATCATAATTAAAGATATATACTTTTAAAAAAATCCTCACCCAAGGATATTTTTCCATTTATCTTCAGATAGAGTGGGAAGGAGGGAGAGAGAGAGAGATAGAGAAATATTGATGTGAGAGAGACACATTGATTGGCTGCCTCCTGCACGACCCCAATCAGGGCCAGGAATGAACCACAACCAAGGTACATGCCCTTGACTGAAATCGAACCTGTGACTCCTTGGTCCGCAGGCTGATGCTCTAACTGCTGAGCCAAATCGGCCAGGGCAAAGAGATATACTTTAAAAAAAAAATGTTTCTATCTATTTATTTATTTTTAATCCTCACCTGAGGATATTTTTCTATTTATCTTCTGATAGAGTGGGAGGGAGAGAGAGAGAGAGAGAGAGAGAGAGAAAGGGAGAGAGAAACATCAATGTGAGAGGGACACATTGTTTGGTTGCCTTCTGCACGATCCAGACCAGCGCAGGAAACAAACCGCAACCAAGGTATATGCCCTTGACTGGAATCGGACCTGAGACTCATTGGTCTGCGGGCTGATGCTCTACCGCTGAGCCAAACCAGCCAGGGCTATTTATTTTTATTTTTTAGGGAGAGAGAGATAGAAACATAAATGTGAGAGAAAAACATCAATCGGCCGCCTCCTGCACGCCCTCCACTGGAGATTAAGCATGCAACCCAGTTGACTGGGAATGAAACCTGGACCTCTCAGTCCATGGGACGACGCTCAATCCACTGAGCCACACCAGCCAGGCCAGAGATATACTTAACAGATATTAAGACTTGTTATAATGGTACAATAATTAAGATGGTGTGATATTACTGCAATGGAACAGAATGAGCTCAGAAATAGACCCACACATAATATAAATATTTTTTAAAAGGTTTTTCACTTTTAAAAGATGTTTTGTTTTTTTTTAATCCTTACCCGAGGACATTTTTTTCATTTTTTGTTCAGATAGAGCAGGCGGGAGAGAGAGGAAGAGAGGGAGAGAGAGAAACATTGATGTGAAAGGGACACATCGAGTGGTTGTCACCCGCACGACCCAACCAGGGCCAGGAAAAAACGGCAACCGAGGTACATGCCCTTAGCAGGAACCAAACCCGGGTCTCTCTGGACCGCAGGCTGACGCTCTAACCACTGAGCAAAACTGGCCAGGGCTTTTTATTTATTTTTTAATCCTCACCCAAGGACATTTTTACATATTTTGTTCAGATAGAGTGGGAGGGAGAGAGAGAGAGAGAGAAAAACATCAACATGAAAGGGACACATCGAGTGGTTGCCACCCACACAACCCAACTAGGGCCGGGGACAAACTGCAACTGTGGTACATGCCCTTAGTGGGAACCGAACCCAGGTCTCTCTGGACCACAGGCGGACACTCTAATGGCTGAGCCAAACCGGCCAGGGCGGGCCAGGGCTTTTTAAAGATTTTTTTATTGATTTTTTTTTCAGGGAGAGGGAGAGAGAGAAACATTGATGTAAGGGCAATATGGATATTTGATTTAAGACAAAGGTAGCACTACAGAGCCCTGGCCAGTGTGGCTCAGTTGGTTGGGCATTGTCCTGTGCACCAAAAGGTTGTAGGTTTGATTCCAGGTCAGGGCACATGCCCAGGTTGCAGGCTTAATCACCAGTAGGAGGCATGCATGAGGCAGCCAATTGATGTTTCTCTCTCTCTAAAAATCAATCTTAAAAATCTTTAAGTAAATAAATAAATAAAGGTAGCTCTACAGAGCACTGAAAAAAGGACATCTTGATAAATGATACTGCTCAAATGAATATTCATATAGAAAAACACTGAATCATGACTGCTTCTTTTTTTTTTAATCCTCCCCCAAGGACATTTTTCCATTTTTTGTTCAGGTAGAGTAGGAGGGAGAGAGAGGAAGAGAGAGAGAGAGAAACATCGATGTGACACATGTGAAAGGGACACATTGAGTGGCTGCCACCCGCACGACCAACCAGGGCCAGGGACAAACTGTAACCGAGGTCCACGCCCCTAGTGGGAACTGAACCCGGGTCTCTCTGGACCTCAGGCCAATGCTCTAACCGCTGAGCCAAACCGGCCAGGGCCATGACTGCTTCTTATACCATGCTCAAAAAAATCAGGTCAGGTCAAATGTAGATCTAAATGTTAAAGGTAAAATAATACAGCTTCTAGACAGTAACACTGAATGTAATCATAACCTCAGATAGAAAGGTATTTCTTAAATAGGACAATAAAAAGCCCTACTCACTAAGGAAAAGACTGATAAACTGGACTTCCTTAAAATTAGAAAATTCTATTTATCAAAAGACACCATAAAGAGAGTGACAAGTTAAGGCATGGATTATGAGAAAAAATATATAAAACCAACAACGGTCTCATATCCAAAATATATAAAGAACTCCTACTAATCAATATGAAAATAATAGACAACACAATAAAAAATATGCAAAAGACTTGACTAGGCACGTCACAAAAGACTGTATCCAGATGGCCAATAGACAGGAAAAGGTGTTCAATCTTACTGGTGATCAGGTAAACAGAAGTTCAAAGCTCAGTGACACCAGGCTATATATCCACGAGAATGGATTAAAATAAAAAATACTGACAATTCTAAGTGCTAACAAAAATGTAGTGCAATGAGCCTGGCTCTGAGAGGTTGCTGGTTCGATTTCTGGTCAGGGAACATGCCCTAGTTGTGGGCTTGATCCCCGGTGTGGGTGTGCAGGAGGCAGCTGATCGATGTTTCTCTCTTATCAATGTTTCTCTCTTCCTTACCCTCTCCCTTCCTCTCTCTCTAAAAAATCAGTAAAAACATATTAAAAAAAAAAAAGTACAGCAACGAGAACTATGACTCTGCTGGTAATTTGGTACAACCATTTTGGACACTGTTTATGAGAAATGAATAAAGCTGAACATATGCATAATCTATTAATAAGCAATTCTACTGTTTCTATTTAATGGAAACAAATACATATATACAGTAAAGCAAATATAATAATTATTTTACAAAGTATTATTTGTAATAGCCCAATACTGACAACAACACATATCTATTAATGGTAGAAAAGAAAAATAGATTATGATATATTAATACAATAAAATATGCGGGGATGAAAATGAACAAAGTACTGCTACATGACAATAGGAATGAATGTCACAAATGTAATAAAAAAAAGCCACACAAAACTAATACAAACTACATGATTTCATCATTTATATAAAGTTAAAAAATAGACAAAACTAATTTAAAGTGTTAGAAGTCAGGATAAGAGGTTATATCTTTGTGGAGTACAAGAGAGAATTCTAGTAATTTTCCATTTCTTGACCTGGTGCTGATTGTAACACTGTATTTACTTGTTACAGATGACTCACTGATCTGTATACTTCTGATCTTCTATGTGTATATTACACTTGAACATAAAAGTTCATTAAAAAAAATTTTAAGCCTTTAATCTCCAGTGGAGCCAGGAAGTCTGCTAGTCATGAATAAATATGGTGTGGCATTCATAAGCTCATGTTTCAGAAATATGCTGAAAGCGCGATAAGTGGTTTATCCTTTGATGCTTCAATTCTTGATAATCAAATTTCTCTTGCTTCCAATAGCAGCAAAAGATTCAGAGAAGGTGCCAAATGAATGCTTGAAGAGTTGCTCCCTCCCACTAGTTTCACAGAGCTCAAGGACAATTAGATACACAGCAGTTGACACTACTTACTTTTTCCTTTCTAAGGCTGAACACTCTTCATCACACTCCAGCCTTGAGAAGCAAATGAAAAAATAAAGTCAGGGCACAGGTTTCAGGGTTTCTATCTAGCAATAAGCTCTTAGTCAACCTGGAAGCAGAGCAGACTCTAGGCCAGAGGATGGCTGGATAAGGTCCTTCTCAAGGGCAGGCCTGTGGGTTTTGAAAGTCTAGGAATCATCAGAAGGGCCTAAGAGTATTCCCTGCCTGCTCAGCCCCCCAAGTGCTCCCAGTGGCCCCCTGACAGCCCCACCTCCACCTCCTGACATAGCTACCACTGGTTCTCTGTTCTCCAGTGGGTTGGGTTGGACACATCTACATCTCTGCTTCCTCTGGCTACTGGCTGAAGTGAGGCTTGGAAATGTCTCCTCTAGTCTCTGTTATACCCTGAGTAGGATTCATTCGATTGGTTATGTGTGACTCTTATTATCAAATATCTGTTGAATACCTACTATGTGTATAGGCTTTATTGTGAGGAACCGAGAAATGAATTGTTCCTGCCCTTTGAGTTTTTTTGTTTGTTTATTTTTTGTTTTTTTAGTCCTCATCCAAAGACATTTTTGCATTTATCTTTAGATAGAGTGGGAGGGAGAGAGGAAGGAAGAGAGAGAGAGAAACATTGATGTGAGAGAGACACATTGAATGGCTGCCACCCACACGACCCCAACCAGGGCCGGGGACAAACTGCAACAAAGGTACATGCCCTTAGCAGGAACCGAACCTGGAACTCCCTGGTCTGCGGGCTGACACTCTAACCACTGAGCCAAACCAGCCAGGGCTGTTCCTGCCCTTTGGAAATTAAGCCTAATAGGAGAAAGAAGGCATAGCCACGCATATAAAAAATTACCTGGCTTGGTGAATTTCCTTCTTAGTAATTAACTTGCTGATCTCCACTGAATCTCCAAGCTGCATGTCTGTTATTTTAGCGGCCATGGAAATAGCAGCTATTCTGAAGTATAAAAAAGAAAGGGAAGAAAAGGCAGTGCAATTTCTCAAGAACTTCCTCATACTAGGCAGCACACAGAAGACTTCTTTCAAGGCATATATCTACTACTCAACAATTTGTGTGGCCTCAAAAACCCATCTATTATAAGCTACTTGCATGCTATGTCATATCTCCTTAATTAGATTCTAAGCAGCTAGCTTCACAGGAAGCGATAAGGTAATCCACTCCTCAGTACCCCCTTGAATACCCAGGCCAATGCTTGGCACTTTGAGGGTATCCAAATTCAGCCACTCTGATGTCTGCATACTCTGAAAGTCCTACCTGCATTGCACATTTCTGCATCTAGTCAGATACACACAATCATCCAACCCTAACACTTTCACCTCTGAATTCAGATCCCTGTGCTAACACATGAATCCCAAGATTTGGGGAGGCTGCAAAGATGGTCAGAAACCCCCACCCAGGGGAAAAGCACAAAACTTGGTCCCAGCTGTGCCACCATAAGTGGTAGGGCATTAAAGCAACTCATGCAAGTGCAGGACATTTTCCCCTCTGATCTCATGGTGTAATAAAACCAAAAGGGAGAGAGAAAGGAAGGAGGAGGAGGAGAAATAAAGAGGTTATTTACAAATTAAAGTTCAGAAAGGAAAGATACACAAAGTAGTACCTTTTCTTTTAACCAGAAAAACTAAATACAAGAAAATGTATTTTAAAAACTCTCCAACTTTTACAAAAGTTGCAAAGACCCAACAATAAACACATGTATTCCCTTTACCTAGACCAGTGGTTCTCAACCATCCTAATGCCGCGACGCTTTAATACAGTTCCTCATGTTGTGGTGACCCCCAATCACAAAATTATTTTCGTTGCTACTTCATAACTGTAATTTTGCTACTGTTATGAATCACCGTCGCAAATATGTGTTTTCTGATGGTCTTTAACGAACCACTGACCTAGACCACTAACCTTTGATAAGTACTGGATGCTTCAGAGCAAATCATGATCTCTTTTCTTCGTTCACATTCACACTGCAGCTCGATCTGAAATAAGATGAACGTGGAGTGACTTTTAGTACATGGAAACCATGTGAATAGGCAGCTTTCACTTTTAAAGCTCTCTCAAATCAAACCATGGCAGAGAATAGAGACAGTGAGTGGCTGCCCCCCGAGATGGAGAAAGGTTAACCAAACATACAAACTGACTACATGGTAGGAGACATGCCCCTTTTTGGGAACTACTATTGTCCTTAATCCCACCTGAAAGGACTGGTCTAGAATGGAGTTTTTACCACTGAACCAGAGGTACACATTTAACCCAGGACCAGCCAAGGCCTAACCAACTACACCTTATCCCACTGCTTTCACCTCCTCAGGTCAAAGCTTTGCTTTAATCCCTCAGACCTCATTAGTTCCCTTCTCACATACTCTCATAGCTCCTTCTACAAGGGTGTAATACTCGTTCATGACACTTACATAGTCATAATGAATTATGTGAATAATTCATGATTATCTGTCCCATCTAATTGGAGGGACCAAGTGTCTCCTGTTCACTAGCACCTAGCACAACATCTTACATACAACAGACCCTTATATATTTAAAAAGCTATTTCAAGCCGTGTGGACAGAAATCTATACAATTTATTTCACCTTTCTCTTGCCAAATTAACTTGCAGTTTCTTGCAACCAATGACTTCTGATTAGGATGGGTGCCCAGGTGCTGCTGCAGGCAGTTCTAGACTCATTAGCAGCTCCAGAACCAGAGTCAATGCCCCACCTAGAGCCAGGAATACACACCTTGGCTTTGCAAGCAGTCACAGGGCAGGGTGAGCTGAGGTGGCAGGGTGCCATACATGGGTGGCCACAGTCAGCTCTGGGGGTGGTGCAGGGCTGCTTGCAGGCCTCATCTACAAGACACTCTCCTTTGTGACAGAGTCTCTGACACTTGTGCATCCCACATGGTAGCACGGCATTGCAGGGCAATCCACAAGAGATATCAACCAGGTGACATGGGATGTTGCTTCGTAACTAGGAGAAACAGAAGTTGTCAGATTCTCATCTCCATTTGGGATTTGGGATAAACTTTAACTTCCCATCTAAACATTTTACAACTGTCAAAAATAACATTTTTTAAATAAATGCATTAAAAAATTTTTTTTTTCCCTTTATGAATTTTAGAGAGAGAGAAGGAGAGGGAGAGAGAGAGAGAAATAGCGATGGAAAGAGAACATTGATTGGCTGCCTCCTACATGCCCCCCACCAGGGATCAGGCCCACAACCTGCGCATGTGTCCTGACTGGGAATCGAACCAGTGACCTCTTGGTGCGTGGGTTGATGCTCAACCACTGAGCCATACTGGCCAGACCAAAAATAACTTTTTTTAAAAAGTTATTTTTTGCCCTGGCCGGTTTGGCTCAGCGGTTAGAGCGTCAGCCTGCGGTCCACAGAGACCCGGGTTCGGTTCCCGCTAAGGGCATGTACCTTGGCTGCAGTTTGTCCCCAGCCCTTGTTGGGTTGTGTGGGTGGCAGCCGCTCGATGTGTCCCTTTCACATCGATGTTTCTCTCTCTTCCTCTCTCTCCTTCCCACTCTATCTGAGTAGAAAATGGAAAAATGTCCTCGGGTGAGGATAAAAAAAAAAAAAAAAAGTTATTTTTATCTAAAAAAAATTAGGCTGATTTTCAAAGTCTGAAAGGTTAGTTTGAAAAGAAAACAAATCTGAACCTTATTTAATAATGCTTGTTAGAATCCAAAAAGATTTGTGGGAGTAGCCAAGAGTGACTTGGGATATAAATTTCCCAAGGTGGGTAACAAGCATGGGAAACCACATAACTAGGGAGTATTTGAAAATGCTATGACCAGCTGGGAGGATCAGACAATCTTTTCCCTCCTTTGCAAACATCCAGGGTACTGAATTGACAGACAAATCCTGAGAGCCAAGGCACCGATGGTCCATGGTTTTGAAACTGCTGGCAGGGACGTTTTTATTTTTATTTATTTTTTGTTAATCCTCATCTGAGGATATCTTTCCACTGATTATGTTTAGAGAGAGTAGAAAGGAGGGAGGGAGGGGGGAAGAGAGAGAGAGAGAGAGAGAGAGAAACATCGACGTGAGCAAGACACATGGATTGGTTGCCTCCCACATAACCCCGACCAGGGCCAGGGAACAAACCTGCAACCCAGGTACACGCCTTTGAATGGGAATTAAACCTGAGACTCTTCAGTTCTTGGGGCGACGCTCTAACCACTGAGCAAAATCGGCCAGGGTGTTTTTTTATTGATAGAGAGAGAAAGGAAAGAAGAGAAGGACAGAGGGGAGAGGAAGAAAGAGAGAGAGATTGATTTGTTGTTCCCCTTATTTATGCATTCATTGGTTGGTTCTTTTTGTTGTTTTTTTTTAAACATGTTTTTATTGATTTTAGAGACCAAAACATTGACGAGAGAGTAACATCAATCGGCTGCTTTCTGCATGTCCCTCCTGGGGATCAAGCCTGAAACCTGGGCATGTGTCCTGACCGGAAATTGAGTCAGTAACCTCTTGGTGCATGGGACAATGCTCAACCAACTGAACCATACCAGCTGAGCCATTGGTTAATTCTTATATGTACCCTGACCAGGGAATTGAACCCACAACTAGGACGATGCTCTAACCAATTGAGCTACCTGGCCAGGGCAAGACTGTTATGTAATTAAATACTCAACTCTCCTCATATCTCCTAACTCATAGTCTCCACAGCTTTAGACAGCCCTTTCATTTAAAAAAATAAAAGTCAATGGGCCATGTACTTGGTTACCTCCAAGTCATTTTTTCTTAGAAATCACCCCCCTCCAGGATTTCGTGCTCCAGAAAAAAGATGCAGGAATTTTATTCCCATGGAACCAAAGGTTACTTTATTTATTTATTTAATCCTCACTCGAGGACATTTTTGCATTTATCCTCAGACAGAGTGGGAAGGGGGTGGGGGGAGAGAGAGAAACATCTATGTGATAGAGACACATCGAGTGGTTGCCACCCACATGACCCCAACCAGGGCAGGGACAAACTGCAACCAAGGTACATGCCCTTAGCAGGAACTGAACCCAGGACTCTCTGGTCCGCAGACCAATGCTCTAACCATTGAGCCAAACCGGCCAGGGCCCAAAGGTTACTTTTATATAATCACTCAAATTCTTTCAAGAATCCTCAAAATCAGAATTATACTTTGACTCTAGTGACACATAACTTTTACTCTTCAAAAGGCCTCCAAAGTCTAGAATATATATGCTTGTAACACTCTGGAATCAGTATTTTAGTAGACTGTAGTTCCCAATTATTAAACACTTTCCTACTCTACTACCAGGGCGCTGGGGATAATTTTGCACATTATGTGCCCTCTGCTGTCCCCTCCCAACATGACTTGCTGTAGTCTGATTATCCTTTAGGATGTTACTTCCTAGTATATATATAGTGTATAGTACACATACTATACCTTAATTTTATAAAAGTGTTGATAGTAAACCTCCACTTCTTGGGAGTATTAATTTTGAGAAACAATGATACTAACAACTCAAAGTAATTCAATAAAAAATAAATCTCTGGCTGGAATAATGAACATAAGAGAGAAAACTCACCTCATGTTTGCCCATGCACCATTTCTGAGTGAGGAAAGTACAAGGGGGACACTTCTCTTCACTATGACAAGAATGATATACTGTAGAAAGAGAAAGGTAAAATTAGGAATAATGTTTAAATAAAACCACATAAACTATTACACATGTCATAATGGCATATGACAGGGAACTTTAAAACTTTTAAAAATGGTCATAGGAAAGTAAAAAGTAGCTAGCTTTATGTTAAAGTGTTGAAGGATGAGCATGAGTGAGAAAAGGAAGCCCAACTGAGGGGGACAGACATACCAAACACAGAAGCAGAGAAAGGCAGCTTTTCTGCCCCATTTTCTGCAGCATAGCCCCATGGTCTGTCCATTCTACTTAGTCATTCTTTTGGCCTTACCTTACAAAGCAACTGCTCACTTCTGCTCAGACATCTTGGTTACTCATCCAGCTAACAGGCTTCCGCAGATTCCCTTAAATTTCCTTGCTACACATAAGACGCAGTTCATCCAAACTCATGTCCTACAACAAAGCCTTCCTCAGCTGACCACACCCTGCCCTGAGCTCTCTTATGCTCCCCGGTGTCTTAGTTCTTACACAGATTGTTATCAGGCCCATCTTCATATAATGGTTACTTGTCATATATACTGAATTACCATCCTCTTCCTCTCAGAGAGAACATAAGAACCTCAAGGTCATGGGATTTTTTCCCCCCCTCTAAACCTCCCTGCTGTGTCTGACATCATGCTGGATATACAACAAACACTCAAGAAAAGTTAAATGAATGTTGAACCAAAGCAAGCTAAAACAAAAAACTCACAAATGGTTAAGTCATACCATGGATATTAACCAGCAGGATGTGAATTTCATCTGTAACATCTGCAGATGAGTGTAAAGGAAGGAGTGGGTGAGTACTGGCTTAGGCATTCACTTCACACTGGTGTGAACAACACAGCAGGGACTTGCAAACTAAATTGGGAGGGCCATCCTAAGGTTCCCAGGGAAAGAACTTTTCACTTCAAAAAGAACTTAGTGGTGGGTGGAGGCAGAAGAGGGTGTGGAGGGATAAATGGTGATGGATAGAGAAAAACATAAAATTAAATAAAATTAAAAATAATTTACCTAATTCTGTTTTACTTTATTAAGTTAAAAATTGAGAGCTAATTGCCTATTTGTCAATCTGAATCAGATGGCCAGAGTTACTGTAAGTACCAAATCTGGTGACTTGAGTAATTTCAGGTTTGCCTCTGGGACTTGGTAAAATGAAACGATGGGCCTGATATGATCCTAGAGGAAAGCCAGTGACTAGACTGGACAGATATGAAAAAACGGGTGATGATAAGTAACTTTGGCCTGGTGTCTACAGCAGACCATCAGAGAAAAACTGGAAAACAACTTAAATGTCCAGCAACATAAGATTGACAAATAAGTTATGGTCCATTTATGCAAGAGAACACTCCACTGCCATTGAAAAATCTATTTGTAAAAAATATTCATTAAGCCCAGTTTGGCTCAGCGGTTAGAGCGTCGGCCTGTGGTCCTGAGAGACCCGGGTTCGGTTCCCGCTAAAGGCACGTACTTCGGTTGCAGTTTGTCCCGGCCCTGGTTGGTTGTGCGGGTGGCAGCCACTCGATGTGTCCCTTCACGTCGATGTTTCTCTCTCTCTCTCTCTGTTCCTCTCTCTCCCTCCCACTCTACCTGAACAAAAAATGGAAAAATGTCCTCAGGTGAGGATAAAAAAAAAAAAAAAAGAAAGAAAAGAAATATGCACCAAAAGTGGAGGCTACAAAGAAAGAAAAAAAATCGCTGAAAGACAAGACCAGTGAGGACTCCTCCTGGTCTTTCAGGTGTGTTTGACATCAACAGAGTAAAGCAACGAAGACACTGTAATTCCTAACTGTGGCCCCAATCACAGACCCACCTTCACAGAAGTAGCCTCTGAACAACTCTGGGAGCAAGGGGTGCCATCACAAAATGACTTCAGAACAGTGAAGGCCATCATGCAACATTCTAAAAGACATGGTGTGAACACGCTATAACATTCGGAGACAAGGGGATGGGACCCACCTGGATGGTCACATTCATGGATTCTGGCACAGGTTTGGGTACACTCAGGGGGCCTGGTACCACAGGGAACTGGAGGGTAGATGACTGATGCACCACAGTGGCAGGTTAATTCATCAAAACCTGGTGGAACAGCAGATAAAACAAAATAAACCTTCATGATTTGGGATGAGCACATATTTTACACACGCACACACACACACTCTTTTGGGGGGAGCCTTCTAGAGGAGAATTGGTTATTATTTTTTTTTAAGTTTTTATTTTGTGAAAGTTGAGCTGATGACAAAGGAGCAGAGACATGAAGTGTTTCTTTTTTACCTACAATAAACTCTAAGACCATGAACCCAAGACAGTTTTATATGTATTTTATAAACAGCAGATCTATAGGTAATCTCTTTTTGAGAGAATAAAGAGACTTCCACTAAAGGCACAGTTCTTTTTTAACTTTCTGGCTAGGAAAATGGATAGAGATTATGAGAGCTAGAGGTAGTTAACAAATATACAAAAATATACTTTTGAATATAAACCCTAGTGAGCCACTGAAGCCATTAAAAAAAATTCTTATAGGTATAATCAACAACTATGGTGCTTGAAATATAAAGTTGAAAGGAAAGCACAGAGCTACATCTGAGTTCATTAGGCATAGTTCACAAGCCAAATCAAAATGGGCCGTGGCCAGTTTGGCTCAGCAGTTAGAGCGTTGGCCTATGGATCAGAGAGTCCCGGGTTCAGTTTCTACTAAGGGCATGTGCCTTGGTTGCAGTTTGTCCCCGGTCCTGGTTGGGGTTGTGTGGGTGGCAACCAGTCGATATGTCTCTCTCACATCAATGTTTCTCTCTCTCTCTTCCCCCCCCTCTCCCTCCTGCTCTATCTGAAGATAAATGTAAGAGAATATCAGGTGAGGATAAAAAAAGAAAAAAAAAATGAGAGCTCACATGGGACTGCTCTAACAAGCAGCCCACTTTGTCCAGAGCTCTCCTAACCCTGAGACCTCAGGGGAGCCAGTTATCCAACTCTGGGCGTTGGTAGAGGCCAGGCCCTTGACCATGGTTCTCAACTAGGGCACTAGAGTTTGGAAACTCAGGGGCCTCTAGGATCACCCACTGCTCTTTTCCAATCATCATTCTTCAGCAAACCCTTCAAAGGCTACACAATGTAGTAGAAAGAGCACTGTAAACACAGTCACGAGATTCAGGGTCCTAGTCCTAGACCTACTACTTACTTGCTCAGGGACTGTAGGCAAGTCATTTGAGCTTTCTTTTGGTCAGATGGGGATACCAAACTTTGACCTATCCACTCAACAAGCTAGTGTGAGTTTGAGCTAATACATGTGAAATAGCTAGGTAAAGGGTAAGGGGCCATGTATGTTTTCTATAGAACTCCATGTGTATGATCTGTTACAAAGTACTGATTCAACTCCTTTTTGAAATGAGGCAAGCCTAGCCCTGGCCAGTTTGGCTCAGCGGTTAGAGCGTTCGCCTGCGGTCCGGAGAGACCCGGGTTCGGTTCCCGCTAAGGGCATGTACCTCGGTTGCAGTTTGTCCCCGGTCCTGGTTGGTCGTGCGGGTGGCAGCCACTCGATGTGTCCCTTTCACATCGATGTTTCCCTCTCTCTCTCTTCCTCTCTCTCCCTCCCACTCTGTCTGTGCAAAAAATGGAAAAAATGTCCTCGGGTGAGGATTAAAAAAATAAATAAATAAATAAATAAAGTTTAAAAAAAAAAAAAAAAGAAAGAAATGAGGCAAGCCTAGCATTCTTGAGAAGAAATTTTGGGAAACCCTGATTTAGGTCAATCTTTTAATGCAACAGTTCTAAAAATATGCTCTGTTGATCCCTAGGTATCCCCGAGAGCATTTTAGGAAGTTTGAAATAGTTTTTATAACAATATTAAGATATTTTTTACTTTTTCCACTATGTTCACATTTGCACTGTTGGTGCAAAAGCAAAAAAACTGCCAGGACCTTAGCACAAATCAAGGCAGCAGCATCAAACTGTAATCATTGTATTTTTCACTGCCAAGCACTTAGAGTAAATAAAAAATGTCAGTTTCACTTAAGCCCTCGATGAAGCAGAAGAAAAAAAATCCTGAATCTTTTTTTTACTGAATTTATTGGGTGACACTGGTTAAAAAAAAAACCTTGAATCTTAAAAACGTGTCTTTTTAATATTCTGTGGAACAAAATAGAAAATCTGTATATAAAGCACTTTTGCTGCACACAAAAAACTCTGGTTGTACCCTGGCCAGGTGCCTCAGTTGGTTGGAGCATTGTACCATATACCAAAGGGTTGATTCTTGGTCAGGGTCACGTACCTAGGTTGCAGGTTTGATCCCCAGTCCAGGTGTGTATGGGAGGCAACTGATCAATGTTTCTCTCTCACATCAATGTTTTTCTCTCTCTCCCTTCCTCTTTCTAAAATCAATAAAAACATGTCCTCAGGTGAGGATTTAAAACAAACAAAACCTCTAGTTGTTCTTAAAGAAGTTCACTTCGAGTTGTGAGCTAAATAATTAATCTCTTTTTTTACACAACACCATTTTTACTTGAAACCATGACTGACAAATTATGGCTACTCAGACTTGAGTATCTGGCAGACATTTTATCAAAAATGAATAAAGTGAGCCTATCACTTTACAAAAAATGATTTTGCCGCCAATGATAAAATTCAAGCTTTCAAATAAAAATAGAATGAATATTTGAAAATATGCAATTATCACTATGAGCTTGACAATTTTCTAATACTTTCCCCAAGACTATTCTGATGGTAGTTATATTAATGTTGAGGTTTTGTTTTTTTTTGTTTTTTAAGCCTCACCCATGGATGTTTTTGCATTTACCTTCAGATAGAGCTGGAGGGAGAGAGAAACATTGATGTGAGAGAGACACATCGACTGGTTGCCACCCACACAACCCCAACTGGGGCCGGGGACAAACTGCAACTGAGGTACATGCCCTTAGTGGGAACCGAACCCGGGTCTCTCTGGTCCGCAGGCCAACGATCTAACTGCTGAGTCAAACTGTCCAGGGCATGAGTGAGTTTTTAATAGTAACACAAAATTTATCAACACTTCAAAGATATGCATAACCCAGTGAACAACTATTTTCCAAACGATCAAATCATGATGTTGTAAAATCATGAATGGGTAAAAGATCCATTCAAAATACAAGAAAAACCAATGAATTTTAATGTGACAGAGAATAAAAACAAAAATACTGACTTAAGTCCTTTACGAAATGAAGTTAAGTTTTGGTGTACTATCAAAAAAGAATATCCACTGTATTTCAAAATACTCATTCCTTTTCCAACTAGCTATATGAAGATAGTTGTTTTTTTTTTCATTTGCCTTAACAGATTGATGTAGAAGCAGATAATGAAAACCCAGCTATCTTTTATTAAATCAAGCATCTACTCTTCTAATTTTTTTCAAAATATAGTTGAAAAAAATGGTTATTTATGTTAATATGCAATAGATAATTATAATTTTAAAAATGAGCTAATAAGTCAATATTTAAAAAATTTGTTTTAATTCCTCATATGATAAATTAAATATATGTAGACAGCTTTAACTCACATAAAAAGAGCTCTTTAGGGTTCTCAATAATTTTTAAAACTATAAATAAATCCAAAAAGTTTGCAAACTGCTGCTAATAATATAGAGCAACGATTTTCAACCAGTATGCTGCAAGAATTTTTAAAACATGCAGTACCTGACTATTTAGTCAGGGGCACTGAACTCTCTTCCCTTAGACTGTCAAATAAAAAAATGACAACAGCCAACACAATAGCTGTACTATTGTGAATGCCCTGTCTTGAACCATAAATACATAGGCCATACAATAGAGTTGCATCTTATTGGTCATATAGTGTAAGGTTGCATCTGATTAATTCTTTTTTCTTTTTTTAAATGTTTATATATATATTTAATCCTCACCTGAGGATATTTCTCTATTGATTTTTTTCAGATAGAGTGGGAAGGAGGGAGGAAGAGAGAGAGAGAGACATCGACGTGATAGAGACACATTGATTGGCTGCCTCCTGCATGACCCTGATTGGGGCCAGGGATCAAACCTGCAACCATATATATGCCCTTGACTGGGACTCAAACCTGTGACTCTTTGGTCTGCGGGCCAACGCTTTAACTGCTGAGCCAAACTGGCCAGGGCTTTTTGTTTGTTTTTTTGAGAGAGTGAGAGAGGGAGAAGGAGAGAGAGACAAAAACATCAATGAAAGAGAAACATCAATCAGCTGCCTCCTGTGCACCACCAACTGGGGATCGAGACCGCAACCCAGGCATGTGCCCGGATTGGGGATTGAACCAGTAGCCTCTTGATGCATAGAACGATGCTCAATACACTGAGCCACACTGGCCGGGTTGATTGGTTAATTCTCGGTACCAGAAATCTTTATGTACAAGTATAGGCACCTGATTTTTTAAAAAGTCACTTTGGATCAAAAGGGTAGGAAATTACTATTTGGTGTGGTTTTTTTTTTGTAAATCAATCAAAATTATACCTATTTTTTTTGGTGTGCCACAGAATTTCAGTAATTAGTTTGTGTGTGTCATGAGATGAAACGGTTAAAAATCACTGATATAGAGAAAGAAGGACTGCTGAGGACAGAACCAGGGTCTATAATATTTAAAGGCAGGTAGCAAAAGAAGTATCCATTAATGAACCAGACTCCATCTTGGGATCACTGCCTACACATCCCAAGTTTCGTACATTCAGGGAAAACAAGACAGCACTAGGAATCTTTTTTAAAAAACTTAATATATCTGAAATACTAAAGCTTATTAGGTTCAGTAATTCATACCAATCTAAGTATATCAGTCTCTCAAAATATATTATGCCTACATTTCTAGAACATTCTTATAATAAAGTAATACAGTGAAGACACTCACTAGCCTGCCAGCATGTCTGGCAATTCCCTCGATGACATGGTTCTTCACATCTATGAAGGCCACATCGGAGTTTTCTCCCACAAATCAAAGGACATTTGTGCTCCTTATCCTAGGAAGAGAATTACATTTGTTTACAAAATTATCACTATTTTGTTATCCATAAACAAGATTAATTTTAAAAAAAATAAAGCTCTCCACATTTATGGATGAAATGATGTCTGAGATTAGCTTCAAAATAATCAGGGAGCCCTGGCCAGTTTGGCTCAGCAGTTAGAGTGGCAGCCTGCAGACCAAAGGGTTGCGAGTTTGATTCCTGGTCAAGGGCATGCACCTGGGTTGTAGGTCTATCCTCGTCCTGGTGGGGTCGTGCGGAAGGCCACCAGTCTAGGTGAGAATTTCTTACATTGATGTTTCTCTCTTTCTCTCTCCCCCTCCCTCCCTCCCTTCCACTCTATCTAAAAATCAATACAGAAATGTTCTCAGGTTAGGATTCACAACAACAAAAAATCAGGGGATGTGGAGTTAGTAGAGATATGAATGAAACAAGATTAGTCATGAGCTGATCACTACTAAAGTTGGATACTGGGTATATGGGACTCATACTAGTCTGCTATTGTATGTATTAGAAATTTTCAATAACAAGAGGAAATCTTTAAGCTTTCAAACACTGGTTTATAAATAAGTCTTGATGCATTGTACAATTTCATTACTCTTCACCATGTCAATAAATTTTAAAAGTGGCAACAATTATGTATTTTTTATATACACACACACGTGTGTATGTGTATATGTGCATTACCTCACTATTGGTACTGTTTTATGTTGTGTACAAACACACACATACAGACAAGAAAACACAGTACTGACTACCAGAAAGAGCTTCCTTTATCTAGTTTCACTGAAGTGAATTTTTCAGATAACTAAAACTTGGTCCTTTCAAAAATGCACACTTGCCCTGGCTGGTTTGGCTCAGTGGGTAGAGTGTTGGCCCATGGTCCAAAGAGTCGTGGGTTCAATTCCGGTCAAGGGTACATACCTTGGTGGCAGTTCGGTCCCTGGCCCTGGTCAGGGTCATGTGGGAGGCAACCAATTGATGTGTCTCTCTCATATAGATGTCTCTTTCTTGCTCTCTCTCTCCCTCCCTTCCTTACACTCTATCTGAAGATAAATGTAAAGGTATCCTCAGGTGAGGATTAAAAATAAATAAATAAATGAAAAAAAGACCAAAGTCATAAAAGAAAACATAAATATTTACTAAAAACAAATACCACACTCATATTACCTACCAACTTGACCCAAGGAGTATATAAAACCTGAAGCCCGAGTAGCTAAGGACAGGCCAGTCTGTATGCTGGGATGGCACACAATCTCCTGCAGAGAACTGTATGCTTATGTAGTGGTCTTGGGCTCTGAGGTCTGAGGCCTCTGTCTTTCTTTTTTCTCTTCTTCCATGTTGCCACTGGCTGACATTTTCCCCCGACTGAGGTCAGCTTGATCTGGGAAGCTCTCTGACTCCTTCTCAGGAGATCCCTTCTATATCTGGGCTACATTCTAGATGGCTGAGGCTTCCAGAAGCCCAGCCTCTGAATGAATGCAATCTGATGGTGCCTTATTATATGTTCACTTACCACACAACAAATCTCATTACATTTATGCCGTCCGCACAACCGTTTCTTGTTACACCGCTTGTCACACATAAATGTAGCATCTGCTGTGGCCAATCAAAAAGAAAAACAAAGCAAAAGATATAAACATTCATTCAACAAATATCTAAAAGACTACAGGTTTAAAAAATACAAATGTGTTCCATGGCCAGTTTGGCTCAGTGGTTAAATCGTCCGCCTGTGGACTGAAGGGTCTCGAGGTTCAATTCCTGGTCAACAGCATATACCTGGGTTGCAGGTTCGATTCCCAGCCCCAGTCAGGGTCATTTGGGAAGCAACCAATTGATGTATCTCTCACATCAATGTTTCTCTCTATCTCTTCTCTCTCCCTCTCCCTCCCTTCCTTCCATTCTAACTAAAAATAAACAAAAATAAATGGAAAAATATCCTCAAGATTAATCCTGAGGATTAAAAAAAAAAAAGGAAGAAAAAAAATACAAATGTAATAATAATGTAAATAAGCCCTGGCTGGTGTGGCACAGTTAGTTGGAGCATTGTCCCATGCACCAAAGGGCCAGGGGTTTGATTCCCAGTCTGGGCACGTACCCAGGTGGCAGGTCTGATCCCCGCTTGGGGTGGGTGTTGAAAGCAACCAATATGTTTCTCTCTCATATCGATATTTCTCTCTCTCCCTTTCTTTCTCTAAAAAATAATGTGTTAAAAATGATATGGTGAAAACACATGTTAAAATAAGATACCATTTTTTACTTGTCAGATTGTCAAAGAATAGAAAACAAAAACAATAACAGGAGCCCTGGCCGGTTTGGCTCAGTGGTAAAGCATCAGCCCGCAGAGTTGCGGGTTCGATTCTGGTCAAGGGCACATACCTCAGTTGCGTTTCGGTCCCTGGCCCTCATCGGGGTCATGTGGGAGGTAACCAATTGATGTGTCTCTCTCACATCGATGTTTCTCTCTCTCTCTCCCACTCTATCTGAAGATAAAAATGGAAAAAAGTATCCTTGGGTGAGGATTTAAAAAAAAAAGAAAAGAAAACAGGAAGACTGATTAATATATAGTAGGGTAAAGGTGTGGAGAAAAGGCATCCATACTTAGTGAATGAGAGGGTATAAACATTTGGAGTCCATGTGTAGCTATTAAAAATTTAGGTGGTAATTTCCATTTTAAAGAATTCTTCCTACAGATATACTTTATTTATTTATTTATTTAATCCTCACCCGAGGACATTTTTCCATTTTTTTATTCAGATAGAGCGGGAGGGAGGGAGAGAGAGGAAGAGAGAGAGAGAGAGAGAGAGAAACATCGACGTGAAAGAAACACATCGAGTGGCTGCCACCTGCACGACCCAACCAGGGCCAGGGACAAACTGCAACCAAAGTACATGCCCTTAGCGGGAACCAAACCCGGGTCTCTCTAGACCGCAGGCTGACGCTGTAACGGCTGAGCAAAACCAGCCAGGGCCAATTTATCTTTTTTTTTTAGTCCTCACTTGAGGGTATTTTTTCCATTTATCTTCAGATAGAGTGGGAGGGAGGGGAAGAGAGACACAGAACAACATCGATGTGAGAGAGACACACTGACTGGTTGCCTCCTGCATGACCCCAACCAAGACTGGAGACAAAATGCAACCCTTGATCAGAATTGAACCCGCAAGTCGTTGGTCCTCGGGCTGACACTCTAACCGCTGAGCCAAACCAGCCAGTGCTAATTTATCTTTTTTTTTTTTTTTATCCTCACCTGAGGACACCCTTCGATATTTTGTTCAGATAGAGTGGGAGGGAGAGAGAGAGAGAGAGAGAGAAACATCGACGCGAAAGCGACACATCGAGTGGCTGCCACCCACACGACCCAACCAGGGCCGGGGACAAACTGCAACCAAGGCACGCGCCCTTAGCGGGAACCGAACCCGGGTCTCTCCGGACCGCAGGCCGACGCTCTAACCGCTGAGCCAAACCGGCCAGGGCTCTTTTCTTTTTTTTTTAAATGCATTTTCAAGTAAGCTGCAGACATGAGTATAATGCTAAACGTAACACTTCCCCTAAAATTGTCAGCACTTCATTAATTAGAATATATGATTCTTCCTTTTCTTATGGAGTAAAAGTTACATACAATAAAATGCAAAAATGTTAAGTGTATCTTTGCTGAATTTTGACAACTATATGATCTTATAGAACATTACTTTTACCCCAGAAAGTTCCCTCATGCCCCTTCCCAGTCATACCTTCACTTTTGAGACTGGTACATGGAAGCTCCTATGGAAATACAAAAAGAAACAGTAACTACTTTAAGAATAAATGAAACAAAACAAGTATATTATAATGCTAAACGTAACATGTATATCCCAAATATGTTGTACTTCTCTGGCAGTCAATTAATCAACTTCACCTATTTTTTTTTTTTTTTACATTGGTTTATTAGAGTATTAGTATGAGGATATTTCAGTAACCAAAACCATTTGAAATCAAGTCCAAAATTATTTGCCCATATGTTTGAAAAAGTCTATTAAAGATCTTTGGTTATTAGTATTCTCTTTTTAGCTAGCATCAAGTAATGTTAAGTTGATAGGTAAAACAATTTGGACATAGTGATTTGGGGGATCAGGAAATCTCTCGAGAGTGAAGTGTTTTACTTAATTAGCTTTTACTTTTAACTTTTTTATTATTTTATTTTTTGTTACAGATGTTTCTCCTTTTTCCCTCCTTGACACCCTCCTCCCAATCCCCGCCGCCCAGTCCCCAGCCTTGTTGTCTATGTCCATAGTTACGCATACATGCATTTAAGTTCTGTGGTTTATCTCTTCCCTCCCCCCCGGACTCCTTCTTTTGAGGTTTGTCAGTCTGTACCCTACTTCTATGTCTCTGGGTCTATTTTGTTCATCAGCTTGTTTTTGTTCATTATATTTCACAAATAAGTGAGATCATGTGATATTTGTCTTTCTCTGATCGGCTTGTTTCGCTTAGGGTAATACTCTCCAGGTTCTTCCATGTTGTCTCAAAGGATAAGAGATTTTTCTTTTTTACAGCTGCATAGTATTCCATTGTGTTTATGTACCACAGCTTTTTTTTTTTTTAAATCCTCACCCAAGGACGTTTTTCCATTTTTTGTTCAGGAAGAGTGGGAGGGAGTAATGGAGGGAGGGAGGGAGAGAGAGAAACATTGACGTGAAAGGGACATATCAAGTGGTTGCCACCGGCACAACCCAACCAGGGGCAGGGACAAACTGCAACGGAGGTATGTGCCCTTAGTGGGAACTGAACCCGGGTCTCTCTGGACTGCAGGCCAACACTCTAATCACTGAGCCAAACTGGCCAGGGCTATACCACAGCTTTTTAATCCACTCATCTTATTGATGGACACTCAGGCTGTTTCCAGATCTTAGTGATTGTAAATAGTGCTGCTATGAACATAGGGGTACATATATTCTTTCTGTTTGGTGTTTTAGGCTTCTTAGGGTATATTCCTAGAAGTGGGATCACTGGGTCCAATGGCAGTTCAATTTTTAATTTTTTTGAGGTAACATCATATTGTTTTCCATAGTGGCTGCCAACTCTACCTATCTTGAGCAAGATTAGCCAAGTCCCTATATCAACATGCTTTACTCACAACAGGGCCTCAGGTTTACTAACTCTTCATGTAAATGTAGTTGTAACAATCTTTGTGGTCTGGCCTCCAAGTGTACAGATTAGGTATTATAAAATCTGAATGGAAAGAAGGGCTGCTAAAGGTAGGCAAAGCAAAGAGTAATAATTGCCTATTAAGAGTACATAGAGACATCTCACTTACTTGTGGGATATAATGAACATAACAGTCTGAGGAATGGGGTAGTCCCAGAGATGTGGAAGTGGGTACAGACTGACAATCCCCAGAAGAGGGTGTAGGGGGGGAGAGATAAACTACAGAACTTATATGCATGTATGCATGAACAATGGACATGGACAACAAAGCTGGGGACAGGGCGGGGAGGGAAGAGTAGGGAGGAACCAGTGTGGGGGGGGGAGAAACATCTGTAACAAAAATAAATAAATTAATTAATTAAAAAAAAAAGAGTACATAGAGACAGAAAAAGTAAAAAAGAGATGTAAGATTTGAAAATATGTAACAATCTGGTGCTATATAATGCAGAGGCAAACAGCTCTACAAACTTAAGAGCACCCCTGACAACCTAGCTGGACTGCAGCAAAGTAGAATACAGTATACCTCTGGTATTCAAAGTTTTATTATTGTGGTTTCCATTGTATTAATGGCCCTAAAGGTCTATCACATGTAATTTTGCTGAGGTATGATCCTGAATAATGTGTGGTAAGGGTGGTGTGTGAGGAGCAAGTCAGTCATTTTGGGGTAAAGTGAGCCTGCCTGGCTGTCCAGCAACTACATTTATATTTGTTTTTGATGCCATTTACAGGTTGCGCTGTACTCAGAAATAAATGAATGATAAAAATATTCCTTCTTAGTGAAAAATTACCCTAAAAAAAAAAGGGAGCTACTAGAGTTTAATAATACAAGTAAAGAGGTCTAAGAAATTGAAGCTTTTTGGCTAGATGTTTTAGATAAATTAATGAGTTGGCTGGGTTTGATGATATGAAAAAGTTCCCCATAAGCTCTCTAGAGATATAAAGCAAAGGTGACTCATGAAATTGCCCCAGTGAGTTTTCCAGTTAATGCAAACACTGGATTGTATAGCGGAAATAATATGCTGAAGTATCTACAACTGTAGAGAAAGGCAGAGCTCCCATAAATCTCTACAATAAATATGAATTACCAATAAAAACTTACAGTATTCTTTGTAAAGAGGCAGTAAGATATATCATGCATTTCTCGAAGACTCCTACCAAAGTGATTAAAAGAAAACAACTCCTGAAGCTTTAAAAAATGTTTTATTTATTATTTTTATTTTAAATCTTTATTGTTGTATGTATTACAGATGTTCCTCATTTTCCCCCCATTGACTCCCTCCTTCCCTGTCCCGCCCCCCTCCCACCTTTTCCCATACTATTGTCTGTGTCCATTGGTTATGCATATAAATTCTTTGGTTTATTTCCCCCCCCCAACCCCTTTTACTTTGAGGTTTGTCATTCTAGCAATGAATTTGTACAGTGATACCTTGGTTCTCGAACGACTCGGATTTCGACCAAATCGGTATTCGACCAGGAGATTCGAGAAACTTTTGTCTTGGAATCCGAACAAATATTTGGAACTCGAACTTCTGAGATGAGCCGAGTTGAGCCGAATGGCGTTCATTCGGCCCAGCGCGCCTTGCTTGCGTCATCAGTGTGAGTGCAGAGAGAGAGTCACGCTTTGTGGAGAGAGTCACTCTTTACACTGAATTTAACCCTTAGACATACTGTACACTTTTATTTCTTGTTGAGACTTATGTTTTTCTACATATTATATACAAATTAGGCCAGTAAATAGGCATTTTCTGGGGCTTGGAACGAATTAATCCAGTTTCCATTATTTCCTATTGGGTTTCATTGCTTCGGTTCTCGAACAATTTGGTTCTCGACCGTCCTCCTGGAACGAATTATGTTCGAGAACCGAGGTATCACTGTACTTCTTAATCCTTTCATCTTTTTCACCCCATTCCCCCAAACCTCCTCCCATCTGGCAACCAACAAAATGTTCTCTGTATCTATGAGAATGTTTCTGTTCTGCCTGTTCATTTTGTTTGTAGATTCCATTGGCGATAGATATGTATTCATTGCCATTTTGTTTGCTCATATATTTTATCTTTTTCTTCAAAAAGACCCTTCATCATTTCATATAATAACGGTTTGGTGGTGATGAACTCCTTTAACTTTTTCTTGTCTGGGAAACTCTTTATATGGCCATCGATTCTAAATGACAGCTTTGCAGGATAGAGGAATCTTGGTTGTAGGTTCTTGCTTTTCATCACTCTGAATATTTCTTGCCACTCCCTTCTGGCCTGCAAAGTTTCTGTTGAGAAATCAGCTGACAGCCTTATGGGAACTCCCTTGTAGGTAACTAACTGCTTTTCTCTTGCTGCTTTTAAGATTCTCTCTGTCTTGAACCTTTTGCATTTTGACGATGATGTGTCTTGGTGTGGACCTCTTGGGGTTCATCTTGTTTGGGACTCTCTGTGCTTCCTGGATTTGTATGTCTGTTTCCTTCACCAAGTTAGGAAAGTTTTCTGCCATTATTGTTTCAAACAGGTTTTCAATTTCTTGTTCTCTCTCTTCTCCTTCTGAAACCCCCAAGATGCGAATGTTGGCACACTTGAAGTTGTCCCAGAGGCTCCTTACACTATCCTGATTTTTTTGGATTCCTTTTTCTTTTTGCTGTTCTGACTGGGTGTTTTTTGCTTCCTTATATTCCAAATCAATGGTTTGCTTCTTGGATTTACGTACTCTACTACTGAATCTGTGCAAATTTTTCTTTATTTCAGTTAATGCCTCCTTCATTTCTGACTGTGCATCCTTCATTTCTGACTGGTCCTTTTTTATGCTCTTGAGGCCCTCACTAAGTTCACTGAGCATCCTTATAAGCAGTATTTTGAACTCAGTGTCTGTTAGGTTGCTTATCTCCATTTCGCTTAGTTCTTTTCTTGGGGTTTTGTTCTGTTCTTTCATTTGGGACCTGTTTCTTTGTCTCCTCATTTTGGCTGCCTCCCTGTGTTTGTTTCTGTGTATTACTTAACGAGAGGTATGGGGCTATCTGAGACCAGATGCTGCTTGTTTGAAAGAATTTAGGAAAACCTGAAGCAGGATCCAAGACAGGCCAATCCTATGGTGAAGCAACTGTCAACAGCTTGGGTGGACCTGAAAGTTGGGTGGGGCGGGGCCTCAGGGAATCACCAGGGCGGAGCTATCAGTGTGAGCCAGGTTGCTAGAGTCCCAGATATGGCGAATGTCTGCCGCCCCAGGGAAGGGCTCACCAAAGGAACAAAGGCCTCTGACAGCACATTTATCCCAGAGAAAGCCTCCTCTCCAGCCCTCACTCCAATGCCTAACAGCTCAATTCTTTTTTATTTTATTTTTTATCCTCACCCGAGGACATTTTCCCATTTTTTTGTCCAGGTAGAGTGGGAGGGAGAGAGAGGAACAGAGAGAGAGAGAGAAACATCGACGTGAAAGGGACACATCGAGTGGCTGCCACCCGCACGACCAACCAGGGCCGGGGACAAACTGCAACCGAGGTACGCGCCCTTAGCGGGAACCGAACCCGGGTGTCTCAGGACCTCAGGTCGATGCTCTAACCGCTGAGCCAAACCGGCCAGGGCTCAATTCTTCCCTGTATGTCTCTGGCGCCCCTCGAGCAGCCTCCCCTCCAAGCTTAGAGCGAGTGAGTTTGATAAGTCCCTGCACCGGCCCTTTAAGAGGAGTTGCCTGGGGCTCCAGCCGCGTCAGCTTCCCTGAGCCTCAGTTCCCGCTGGTTTTTTTAGCCAGAAGTTATGGGGACTTCCCTTCCTGGCACTGGAACCCTGAGCGGGGTTCCTGGTGTGGGACGGGGACCCCTCAGTCCTCAAGGAGGACCTTCCCAGCCAGGTATCCTCCTGATTTTTATCCACCACAGGTGGGTGTGGGCTGCCCATCTGCCTCCACCCCTCCTACCAGTCTCGATGTGGCTGCTGCTTTAATTCTGTAGTTGTAGGACTTCCATTCAGCTTGATTTCAGGTGATTTTGAATAATGGTTGTTTTGTAGTTTAGTTGTAACTTTGATGTGGTTGTGGGAGGACACGATACCGCGTTTACCTACACCGCCTTCTTGACCGGAAGTTTCTGTTTTATTTATTTAGAAAACTGATTTCCATGGAAAAGCTCATTCCATGACAAAAGACATTTCATGAAAAATCTGGCTAAACAATGAGGTGATGGTTTTTACTTTGTCAAAGAATTTAACAGAATTCATATACTAATAGTGAACTTGGTCTACAGCCATACCACCCTGAAAGTGCCCGATCTCGTCTAATAGTGAACTTGTATAGCAATTTTACAATCAGACATATTTGCAACAATTTTTACACATAGCTTTTAAAGAATACACTCACTGCCATAGGGGTCCACTGTTAGAGGGAGTGAGGATAGAGAGTGAATGAGAAGCAAAAAAAGCTGAGGGAGAAAGAGATTGCTAGGGAGAAAGAAGCAAATTGATAATAGCTCATATGTCCCAACACTGTTTGTGATTCTTTGTTCCTAACAGCACCTCTGGGCATTACTAAATTTGTGATTACTAAATTATAGCATCTCAGTCTTCAAGGTCATATTTACAAAGCATAAAGTGGCCTTGTACTGACATTCAAAACACCTTTCTGCCCCATGTATTCTGTGGGTTCTTTGAGAAAAACAACAAACAACCCATAATGCTCACACAACTTTTGCATGTAACCTGTGCTTTTACATTTATTCTTTTAAACTGAAGCTTAACTATTAACGTAGCTCCCAATTTATGGATTATAGCCTCAGAATCATTTGCAATTCAGCTGAAACCTAGACCTTGGGCTGTATTTAAGAAACAGACCCAACTGCTCAGAATTCTGTCTGCACCCCGGCCTGTGCTTTGCTGGGACAGGTGACAATATGCATTGAAATGACTAAACAGTAGGTCAGAGAGCAGGATGGATCAACATTCAGTTTGTTCCTCAAGTTGATTACCCAAATACTTCCACATGAAGGCTTCCTGCTTCTTTTGGTTACAGACATAAGGATGGGCACTATGGCCTAATTTCAAAATGGTAAGACACCCCTTTCATAACAACACAAAGTCCAATAGAAACTGCCAGGGCAGAAAGCAGACAGATTAACTATACCTATCAACTTATAAAACAGTTGTATAGTGAATAATCATTACCTGAACAAAGGTTTGACTTTTGTCATTGGCTTCTGGGAGGTAATATCGAAGCCCTTGGAATATCATGCCTGATGTCTGAGGTCTTGGGTTACAAGTGACTTGGGTCATATAGTCTAATAATATAATTTAGAGTACAAGCCTCACTGGATAGTCTTAGGGTAGGGGCTGACCACACCAGAAAGACCAATGATGTGATTTAGGGTGGGGGATTTTGGTATCAGTAGACCTCTGGAAGGACTGGAGACCAAAATCATGCCTACATGATGGAGCCCAATAAAAACTGGGCAAGCTTCCCTGGTTGGCAATACTCCATTGTAATGTCACACACTGATGCTGAAAAAGTAATGCTGTTCCAACACCATGGGGAGTGGACAAATGGAAGCTTCACTCTGTTCTATGTGCTTCTTCCTCTGGCTGATTTTAATCTGTATCCTTTCCCTGTAATACACTGTAACCATGACTATAAAAGCTTTCACTGAATTCTGTGGGTCATTCTCATGAATTATCAAACCTTGAGGGTGGTCATGTGGACTGTTCTAATTTAGCAGTTGCCTAAACACTTGCAGTGGGTGTCAGAAGTGAGGGCAATCTTGTGGACTACGTTCCCTTTAATTTCTTAGTTAACTCTTTGCAACAGTGCTACTGTTCTTCTCTTCCAGCATCTAGCATTATCATACTTGATTTGTTATAGTTATCTGTATACTTGTCTTATCCTCATGACTAGCCTGAGTCTTTATTGCTGGATCCCCTCTCCACCTGATGACACCTGTCTTACTGGTCCACAGTGGGTGTCAGTTTACATTCATTGGCTGGATTGAATGAATCATACATAGTATAACAGGAATAAAACTGAGGTTATTTTTATTCCTCCCCTTCCATAATCACCAATTTAAAAGGTACTGGTAGCAATGTCAGCATTTTTTAGGACTTACCTTTGTTCTGAAAGAGCATCTGCAGGAAATAACTGATGTGCGAGAGCAGGGTCCACAGTCCCCTTCATGGCAGAGCTTTTCACAGGTATGAATGAAATCTTTAATAGAAATGAAAAGAGCTAGGAATGAAAATTGCAACTATTCATTGCAGACACCAAAATCCACTAGCCACATTGGTCTTCTACCTCAGTTCCCTGAAACTCCAGAATAAGGGTTGAGGGAAGAAGGATATCATCAATGCCTTTTGCCTTATCTTCCCTTCACCCAACAGCCTAGGCCTTTTCCAGCAAGGAGAGGGCCCAGCATTAGTCACTGGAATATGCTTTGGACTGCATGGTGCTTTGCCTAAAGACCAGATCTGTCTCGCCCGGGCTCAGCTGGTTGAATATCGTCCCATGCACTGAGAGCTCCCCACTTCGATTCCTGGTCAGGGCACATGCCCAGATTATGGGTTTGATCCCCTGTAGAGGCTGTGCAGAAGGCAGCTAGCTGATCAATGTTTCCCTCCCTCTCAAAAAAAAAAGAAAAAGAAAAAGCCTTGGCTGGTTTGGCTCAGCGGTTAGAGAGTCAGCCCGCAGACCAGAGAGTCCCAGGTTCAGTTCCTGCTAAGGGCACGTACCTCGGTTGCCAGTCAATGGGGTTGTGTAGGTGGCAGCCAGTCAATGTGTCTCTCTCACATCAATGTTTCTCTCTCTTCCTCCCTCTCCTTCCCGCTCTATTTGAAGATAAATGAAAAATGTCCTCGGGTGAGGATAAAAAAAAGAAAAAGAAAAGGGCCCTGGCTGGTTTTGCTCAGTGGTTAGAGCACCAGCCCATGGACCAATGGGTCTCAGTTTCGATTCCAGTCAAGGGCATGTGCCTTGGTTCATTCCCGGCCCTGGTCGTGTGGGAGGCAAACCAGTCAATGTGCCCCTCCCACATTGATGTTTCTCTCTCTCCCCATCTCTATCTGAAGATGAATGGAAAAATATCCTTGGGTGAGGATTAAAAAAAAAAATCTGTCTCTTTCCTTATTTAGGCCCCAGGACTCCAGGTTAGACTTGGATCTCCTTAAAATTGTAGCCATGGCCCTGGCTGGTTTGGCTCAGCGGTTAGAGCATCAGCCTGTGGTCCTGAGAGACCAGGGTTCGGTTCCTGCTAAGGGCGCGTACCTCGGTTGCAGTTTGTCCCCAGCCCTGGTCGGTCGTGCGGGTGGCAGCCACTCGATGTGTTCCTTTCACATCAATGTTTCTCTCTCTCTCTCTGTTCCTCTCTCTCCCTCCCACTCCACCTGAACAAAAAATGGAAAAATGTCCTCAGGTGAGGAAAAGAAAAATTGTAGCCATGGATGACTTTAGAAGTGTTTTTCACTGAAAGTTATCTGGGGATGAAAAATAATCAGAAGCCATGATCCATAATCTCATTGACTCAAGTTCTGTGAATGTCTGGTGATAGGTGGCCTGCCATTCATTCTGTTAAACGATGCTTAGGACATGTTCTGTTTTAAGGACACCTTAGGGATCACCCAGAGTCTCTTAAGCCTAATTGTATCTTTGAGTCTATTGTCTATTTCCTGAAGGTAGCATATAGCTGGACCTTGCTTTTTATTTCCTAAATTTGGTTTGACATTCACAATGTTGTTATTGATAACTGGATTTACACCTGTCATTTTACTTAGTTTTTTACATGTCTTGTATCTTTATTGTTAATCTAATCTTCCTTTACTGCTTTCTTTTGCATTAAGTGAATATTTTCTCTTGTAACATTTTCTTCCCTTTAATAAAATTTTTCACTATATTTTTTAGTTATTAAAATTCTTTTTTTCTTTATTGATTTTAGAGAAGGAGAGAAAGAGAGACAGAATCGTTGATAAGAGAGAACATTGATTGGCTGCCTCCTGCACGTCCCCCACTGGGAATTTGGCCCACAACCTGGGCATGTGCCCTGACCAGGAATCAAACCAGCAACCTCTTTTTTTTTTAATCCTCATCTGAGGACATTTTTCCATTTTTTGTACAGACAGAGTGGGAGGGAGAGGAAGAGAGAGAGAGGGAAACATCGATGTGAAAGGGACACATCGAGTGGCTGCCACCCGCACGACCAATCAGGGCCGGGGACAAACTGCAACCGAGATATATGCCCTTAGCAGGAACCGAACCCGGTCTCTCCGGACCGCAGGCGGACGCTCTAACTGCTGAGCCAAACCGGCCAGGGCCAAACCAGCAACCTCTTGGTGCACGGGTCAATGCTCAACCACTGAGCCACAATGACCGGGCTTAATTCTTTTCTTTCTTTTTTTTTTTTTATCCTCACTTGAGGACATTTTTGCATTTATCTTCAGATAGAGTGAGAGGGCGAGAGGAGGGAAGATAGAGAAACATCGACATGGAAGGGACACATCGACTGGTTGCCACCCACACGACCCCAATCGGGGCTGGGGAAAAACTGCAACTGAGTTAGGTGCCCTTAGTGGGAACTGAACCTGGGACTCTTGGTCCGCAGGCCAATGCTCTAACCACTGAGCGAAACCAGCCAGGGCTAATTATTTTCTTAATGGTTACTCTAGGGCTTACCATATGCACCTTATCAGAATCTACTTCAGATTTCTTTTTTATCCTCACCCAAAGACATTTTTTCATTTATCTTCAGATAGAGCGGGAAGAAGAGGAGGAAGAGAGAAAGAGAAACATCGATGTGAGACACAGACTGGTTGCCACCCGCACGACCCTTCAGGGGTCCGGGACAAACTGTAACCAAGGTACGTGCCCTTAGCGGGAACCGAACCCGGGACTCTCTAACCGCTGAGCCAAACTGGCCAGGGCAATCTACTTCAGATTTAATTAACTAACCTAACTCCAATGAGATACAGAAGGATTACTCCTATGTAACTGTATTCCCTCCACTCCTCTTTTGTGGTATTATTATTATACACATGACATCTATATGTATATGTTACAAATCCAATACATTACTGTTATAATTATTACTTTACATAATGTTATGGTCTATTAAAGAAGCTGAGGAAAGAGAATAGAATATATTTATAGTTTGCTATATGTTTCTTATTTACCATTTCTGGTTTCCTTCATTGTTTCCTATGAATCTGAGTTACCATCTGGTATCATTTCCTTACTCCAATACAATATTGATCCCACCCACTTCCTTTGTGCTGTTATTAGATATATTTCTACAAACCATAGGCCAAATAATTCAATTATATATTGTTTTATACAATTGCTTTTTAAATCAGTTAAGAAAAAAGTATGCATTTATACTGTCTTTTATAATTATGTAATACCTTTACTCTTTGTTTTTCTCATATGGACTTGAATTTACATCTGAGTTTACTTGTTTTCAGCCTAAAAAACTTCCTTTGGTATTATTTATTGTAAAGTAGCAACAAATTCTCCAATTTCATTTTCATTTTTGAAAGACAATCTTATTGGATATAAGATTCTTGGTTGGGCCCTGGCCGGTTTGGCTCAGCCGTTAGAGCGTCGGCCTGCGGTCCTGAGAGACCCGGGTTCAGTTCCCGCTAAGGGCATGTACCTCGGTTGCAGTTTGTCCCCCGGCCCTGGTTGGGTCGTGTGGGTGGCAACCACTTGACGTGTCCCTTTCATGTCGATGTTTCTCTCTCTCTCTCTCCCTCCCACACTCTATCTGAACAAAAAATAGAAAAAATGTCCTCGAGTGAGGATAAAAAAAAAAAAAAAGATTCTTGGTTGGCAGGTTTTTTTCTATTTTTATTTTAAATCCTCACCCAAGGACATTTTTTGCCTTTATCTTCAGATAGAGCGGGAGGGAGAGAGAGAGAAACATTAATGTGTGACACATCGACTGGCTGTCACCCACACAACCTGCAACCGAGGTACGTGCCCTTAGCGGGAACCAAACCCGGGTCTCTCTGGTCTACAGGCCAGTGTTCTAATCGCTCAGCCAAACCAGCCAGGGCGGTAGGTCTTTTTCAGCCACTTTGAATGTCAACCCACTCCTTCTGGCTGTGATGTAGTGTTCTCCCTTGTTTCTGATGAGAAGTCTGCTGTAATTTTTCTTGAGTAATTTTTCTCTTGCTACTTTAAAGATTTTCTCCTAAGGGCTTTAAGCATTTTTACTATATGTCTGTGGGTGGGGCTCTTTGAATTTACCCTATTAGTTTGTTGAGCTTTATGGATATACAGATTGTTTTGCAATAAATCTGTTTTCAGCCATTACTTCTTTGCATATTTTTCCGCTCTTTTCTCTTCCCCTGGTATTCCCATTATATATACGTTAGTGTGCTTAAAGGTGTCTTCCATTTTTTATGAGGCACTGTTCATTTTTCCTCATTCTATTTTCTCTCTGTTCTTTGGTTATATAACCTCCATCAATGTATCTTAACATTCATTCATCCTTTCTTCTGCAAGCTCAAATCTATTGTTGAGCCCCTAAATGAATTTTTAATCTTAATTATTGAACTTTTCAACTCCAGATTTTCCCTTTGATTCTTTTTTATAATTTCTATTGATATTTTTTATTTGATAAGATACTGTCTTTATAACTTCCTTTACCTCTTTAAGCATGGTTTCCTTTAGTTCTTTGAACATGCTATCTTGAAGTTTTGTTAAATCTGACATAGGTCACTCTTACAGGAAACAAAAACTGTTTGTTGCCTGTGTTTTTTTCCATTTCTTTGCATACTTCATAACTTTTTGCTGAAAACCAGACATTTTTGGTAATATATTATTTGTAGCAACTCTGCATATTGCTTTCTCTCTCTCTCTCTCCATTGTGTTTTTGTTGTTGTTTGCTTGTTTGTTTTGTGACTTGTCTAGTTATTTTAGTAAAGTCTATTTCCCCTATGGTATGAAGTCTTTGGTGTCACTTTTTGGATGGCAGAGCCTTTGGGTGTGGTTACCCTGGGATGACAATGGTTTTAGCAGAGCTCTCTCTATCTTTCCCAGATCTCTCTGTTACACTGTCTGCCTCATTTGCTATTATTACCCTCACTCTTAAGGCTCCACTAATTGCTCAATGGTTGCTCTACTATTTTCAACAATACCTTTGAGGCATAAATTGCTCAGCAGTCTAACCCAAGAAAATATGGGCAGCAGTAGTCTTTGAGGTTTGTTCTGACCCCAGGAAGGTTCCTCTTAGGCATCTCCTTCCCTTTTTTTTCTTTCTTTCTTTCTAGTGAACTAGCTGGCCTATAGTTTAGCTTGTTGCTCTTTATTAAGAGGAGTTATTGTTTTCTGAAGGGCTTTAGGTCTGAACTTTCCCCCACACTGTTTCAAATTCAAGTCAGTTCCTTTGGGGAATACTTCGGAGCTTGCTTTCTTATGGACTGCCTTTCCCCTTGGGAAGTCTCAGCCACTATTTTGGGTGATAGATGGGATAGTAGCCTCTAGTTTTCTTGACTTAATTCTCCTACTGTTAAAACTCTGCCCTACAAGTGAGCCAGAGTGAGGGTGACTGGGGCCCAGTATTCTCACCTATTGTGATTGGGATAGAGGCTCTGACTCATGGGTAGGGCTGCATTAAGGAAGAATAAGCTCCCAACCACTGGGCTGTGCTTACTTGAAATTTAACCTTTTTTTTTTTTTAATTGATTTTAGAGAGAGAGGAAGGGAGAGGGAGAGGGAGATAGAAATATTGATGAGAGAGAACATTGACTGGCCATCTCCTGCATACCCTCCACTGGGGATTGGGCCCACAACCTGGGCATGTGCCCTGACCGGGAATTGAACCAGCGACCTCTTGGTGCCTGGGTCTATGCTCAACCACTGAGCCACATTGGCTGGATGAAATTTAGCCTCTTTAACTTAGAGTTAGAGGGGATGAGAAAGGCTGGTAGTCTGCTGGTAGTCTGGGAGCTGAGGGCAGAGGAAGCCCTATCTTCTTGGGCATACCCATACTGAAGGAAGCTTTTGTTAAGTGCTAAGCTGGGGTTTGGGAAAAAGGGAGGAAGTGGGTCGTAACAAATGACACAGATTCTTGCTGTCACTGAGTTTTAGTAAAGTTTCTTCAATAAATATTTCTTCATTGATGTATCCTACAGGACGATTTCCAGAGACTTAAAAATTTTTTTTAAATAGTTTCTGCCAGCTTTGCTTGTTTTGCTGGGGAGTGGTCCAAGTAGCTGCTCATGTTACCATCCTGAAAATAGAAATCCACCTAGTCTCTTATACTAAAGCTAAATATCTTGAATGGTAATTTCCTACAGGGTGAGATACTAAAAGACCTAAACAAGCTTTCTACAGATATACCAGATCTGAATAAACTTGAGAACCATTGTTATCACTAGCTATGGGCTTGCTTTTGAGCTTTTCAATCCAACTCAGCCTAGTTCCTTAAAAGTTTGCCATGATTAGACAGTGGTTACTCTTAAATCCCTTGACCTGGTTTTATCTCACCCCCAGATCAGTTCATACTGAGAGTTACTATACTTTTGCTCAAGTCCCTTTGCATTACCCATTTTACATTTCCTCTTTCTCTCACTGCCAACAAGATATCTTAGCCTCAGGGTAGGATTGCTGGTGATTATATATGAAATTCTTACAAAACTGACTCATGTGCTTTCTGAAAAGGGAAGATCTTTACCATCCTTCTTGATTTAGAAGTCATCATCTGATCTCCATCTCACAGGGCTTATCTAAAGATACATTTTCATAGTAGACAAAGAAAACCAATAGACAATTCATTTTCCTACTGCAGTTGGAACATGTATTAAAATATGAGACGAGTCCAGCTGGTGTGGCTCCATGCACCAAGAGGCTGCCGTTTCAATTGCCAGTTGGCACATGCCCAGGTTGTGGACCCAATCCCTAGTGGGGGCATGCAGGAGGTGGCCAATCAATGTTCTCTCTCATCGATGTTTCTATCTCTCCCTCCTTCTCTCTCTAAAAATCAACAAAAAAGAAAAAAAATTAAAAATAAAATATGAGAAGAGAACATTTCTATACATGATTTTTAAGTCAGACTGAAAAACAGAATTAGGTAGGGTGCTCCTATTGGTTCCTGCTGGTGCTCGGAAGAAGTGTGAACTCTTTCTTTTTGATAAAAATGCAAACCCAACTTAAAGATTTAGTTTTACCACAGATAGTTATAGAAACACCTCTTTTATTAAGACTTTGTTGCCCAGTTTCATTTTTCTAAGCACACAGCCTTGGAACACTAAGGAGAGAAGTTGCCAGGTCATTGCAAAACTGTACATGTATATTTCCCAAGGACTGCCTCAGAAAGTCTGTTAGAAACTCAGACTATTACTGTATAGTTAATTCCAACAAGTCTTTTTTTTTTTTATCCTCACCCGAGGACACTTTTCCATTTTTTGTTCAGGTAGAGTGGGAGGGAGAGAGAGGAACAAAGAGAGAGAAACATCAACGTGAAAGGGACACATCGAGTGGCTGCCACCCGCATCACCTAACCAGGGCCAGGGACAAGCTGCAACCAAGGTACGTGCCCTTAGCGGGAACCGAACCCGGGTCTCTCTGGACCACAGGCCGACGCTCTAACCGCTGAGCCAAACCGGCTAGGGCCCAACAAGTCTTTTATGGTTCTTATATTCAAGTAATTAGAAGCCACAAGTTAGGAGTCACTAAAGGAACAAGCACTGACAAGGAAAAATATAAAAGCTTTAATAAATAGATTAACAATTCAAACTGCACACTAGTACGGGGATATCACCTGAGAAACCTCAGCCATCCCTGAGGGCATCACTGTAATCAGTTTAACACAGTAACTGAGGTTCAGAAAAATGATGACTCTGGGTCAATAATGGAAAATAACTTATTTTCAGTTACCTCTGCTTAAAGACAGAAAAGAATTCCTCAGCTAGATGGGAAATGTAGCTATAAAGAAAGACATTTCTTGCCCTGGACAGTTTGGTTCAGTGGTTAGAGCATCAGCCCACGGACCAGAGAGACCCAGGTTTGGTTCCCGTTAAGGGTATGTACCTCGGTTGCAGTTTGTCCCTGGCCTGGTTGGGGTTGAGTTAATGTGTCTCTCTTACATCGATGTTTCTCTCTCTCTCTCTTCCCCCCTCTCTCCCTCCCACTCTATCTGAAGATGAATGCAAAAACGTCCTTGGGTGAGGACAAAAAAAAGAATGACACTTCTTGAGTGGTCCAAATAGCTAAAGCTTTAGTGTACTTAGAATTTTAATTAAGATGTTCCTAGTATATGAAGATGCTTTTAAACACTTACTGAAACCTGGATTAGTAAAAGTATATCTGGAGTTCATACTTATGTAAGCTATTAAGAGAAATTATACTCACACCCTATAGGATAGTATTTCACCACAAGTGACCTGAGTCAGCAATAAAATACCCAAATCAGAAAGAGAAATCACTTGGGCAAATGTGAGTTTTCATAACTATATTTTGAGGAGGAAAAAAAATGTGCCCAGACAAATTTGATTCTGATATTTAAAAAAAAACCTGACATTGTAACTAGAATTTAAAATAATTTTGATTAAGTAATCATTGCTGCCAAACATTTATATTCATATGTCTACTAGTTACCTAAGGAACCACAAGGCAGAGGCTTGCCACACACTTTTCCACATGAAGGGACAGGATCCATGCACGTTTTCCGACCACTACTTCCAAGTTCTAGCAATTGGCTGAGAGGAGTTTGCCCACAAGGGCAATAGCGCACCAGATGGGGGAGCCGTGGGCATAGCTGGCAGGGCTGAGGGTGGCATACTTGAGAACACATATGGTTCCCACATTTCAAGTCCCTGTTAAAAAAACACAACAGACTATTACACAGTTGTTGCATAAAATACAACTTTATTCTAACTGAGAAAAACATAAAACCTTACTTGCCACATATCTTTAAACAGCCAAAATCCCCAAATCCATCAGACTTTCCTATGTCTGTTCCACATAACACATCTCGGGAGGTGCTGCCACAGTAGCATACTTTAGGACACAATTTCAAAAACAAGAGATTAGTAACCTGTATGGGTTCTTAAACAATTCCAAATAATCTATAGAAAAACACAAAATACTATTCATTAGTGTTTATCAGACCTGGTGCAAAAATGAATATGCCTTATATAGCAGCTCTAAGTCCCACCTAAGAGCTTATAGGAAGGAATAAAATCCTTGTTAGACTCTGTCAATATCTCATGGTGCCTCTGTGGTATGTCCTGGAAACAGCGTTAAAGTGAAACAACCCTCTAAATTAAGAGACTAATATCTGGTCCATAGGCCATATTTGAAAACCAAGGATTGTGAGTTGAATTTGAAGTAATCATGTTCAAGTATTCACACTAAGTATAAAATTGCAAAAATCTGAGACTTTTATTTATTTTTCTTTATTGACTTTAGAGAGAGAGGAAGAGAGAAAGATAGAAACATGGATAAGAGAGAACACTGATTGGCTGCCTCCTGCATGCCCCGCACTGGGGATTGGGCTCAAACTTGGGCATGTACCATGACCGGGAATTGAACCGGTGACCTCTTGGTGCATGGGTCGACGCTCAACCACTGAGCTACACCAGCTGGGCAAAAATTTTAGACTTTTATTTGCTAGGTAGAGAACCTAGTTTAACATCTATAGATTTTTCTGTGGGTTCAAGAAACAATGGATTTCTTTTCTTGGGGTCAGCAATAAATGTGTTATGTTTAAGGAGTTACGTTTCTGATTTATTAACATGTAACGAAGTCTGATAAAAATTAATTTTCAACTTACATAATTTTTGTGTCACTTTACATTTTCAGTTTATAATGAAAATTTATCTCATTAAAATCAATCTATGCAAATACACTGAGTCCTACATAAGTAATGCAGACTAGAAGAGTAGAAACTAAGTTGAAATTCTGCAGATCTAATGACACTTTCCTTCTTCCTCAGTATACTTAGCTATCTCCTTGTACAGTAAACCAACATCAGAATAAATATATTATAAAATCATAGTAAATCTTAAAATCACATACTTAGTAAAAAATAAAATGCTTCTAACAAAACATTAGAAATAATGCTCATAAAAAATATATTTTTTATCCTCACCTGAGGATATTTTTGCATTTATTTTCAGATAGAGCAGGAGGGATAGAGGGAGGAAGAAAGAGAAACATTAACGTGAGAGAGACACATTGAGTGGTTGTCAGCCACATGACCCCACCTGGGGCCGAGGACAAACTGCAACCAAGGTACATGCCCTTAGCAGGAACCGAACCCAGGCCTCTCTGGTCTGCAGGCTGACGCTCTAACCGCTGAGCCAAGCCGGCCAGGGCTCATAAAATATTTTACAATTAAATTTATTGGTATGACATTGGTATAAAATACGGTATCGAATAGACCGAAAACTTTTACTGAGACATGGAAAGAAAAGCCTCAAATAAATGAAGACATAACCAAGACTTTGAGTTTTAAAATATATAATCCAGCCCAGCCTGTGTGGCTCAGTGAACTGAGCATTGTCCCATGCACCAAGAGGTCACTGGTTCGATTCCCAGTCAAGGCACGTGCCCGGGATGCGGGCTAGGTTTCCAGTGGAGGGTGTGCAATTAATGTTTCTCTCTCACATGGATGTTTCTAGCTCTCTCTCCCTCTCCCTTCCTATAGAAGTTCCTAAAAAAGTTAAGAATAGAACTACCATATGATCCAGCTATTTCAATGCTGGGTATTTATCTGAAGAATATGAAAACAGTAATTTGAAAAGATATATGCACCCTCTATATTCATTACAGCATTATTTACAACAGCCAAATTATGGAAATAACCTAAATGTTTGACAGATAAACTGACAGACATTGTATATATATACAATGGAATACTACTCAACCATAAAAGAGATGAAATTTGCCATTTGTGACAACATGGATGGACCTTTGGGTATTATGCTAAGTGAAATAAGTCTCATGGATGAAAACTATATGATTTCACTCCTGTGGAATATAAAACAAAACAAAAACAAACACAGATACAAACAACAGGTTGGTGGTTATCAGAGTTTGGAAAGAGTGGGGAGAGGACAAAATGGGTAAAGGGGGTCAAATGTGTGGTAATGGATGGAAACTAAACTAGAAATTATAGTGTATACATATATCAAACTATAATGTTGTACATCTGGAACTTACATAAATTTTATTAATATTACCTCAATTAAAAAGAATATATAGAGGGACTACTGGTTGTTGGGAGCATGCAGACTGTGAGTTTGTGAACTTTTTCAGATAAAATATGGCTAAAAGCTTACACATTAAGTGGAAAAGAAAAATGTGTGCTGAAAAGAAAAAAAAGAATGCCTCAAAGGAGCTTAAGCAGACCTTAAAAGTATTCTTAAAGTAGATACTGATTTTTTTTAAACAATTTGTTGTTTTTTTTCCTTTCTTGATCTTAGAGAGGAAGGGAGAGGGAGAGAGAGAAACATCGATGAGAGAGAACACTGATTGGCTGCCTCCAGCATACCTCCCACTGGGGACTGGGCCCACAACCTGGGCATGTGCCATAACTGAGAATTGAACTGGCGACCTCTTGGTGCATGGGTCGATGCTCAACCACTGAGCCACACCAGCCAGGCTAGATACTGATGTCTTGATGCAAGATATTCAAGAGATAACAACTGTGGTGGTCTCCAAACATTCTGAAGAGACAACCCCAGTGTGTGGTAAAAGATGATATGAAAATGGAGTCTGATATTAAGAGAAACAGAATGTCTTCTAGATCAGCACAGACAGTACCCCATATGGATGAACTAGAGGCATAGAAAAGGGCTTGAAAGCAAAGTTAAAGAAAGGGAAGGGGAAAAGCAAAGCAAAGCAAAGGCAGTGAAGGCAGCTAAGGGTTTGACCTGGTAGACTTTTAAAAACATGAAAAATGCTACGAGACAGATCTTTGATTAGAATGTATACACTGATTTCAGTTTCCACCAAATGAAACTTTATTTCAGTATTTTAACTGGGCCTTTTTCTTCAAACCCAATATAACTCCTCAAATTTATTTTGGGAACTTGAGTAAAATATATTCTTTTATAAATGAAAGCTATACTGATATGTTAACTGGATACTGTCTTATATGCAGGGATTATTAGACATCAAAATTCTATCATGTATTGCTCTGGCTGGTGTGGTTCAGTGGTTAGAGCATCAGTCTGTGCACCAAAGGGTCGAAGGTTTGATTCCTAGTCAAGGGCATGTACCTTGGTTGTAGGTTCAATCTCCAGCCCTGGACGAGGCTTGTGCAGGAGGCAACCAATTGATGTGTGTGTCTGTCTCTCTCTAGTCCTCCCTTCCACTCTCTAAAAATTAAAATAAAAAATCCTCGGGTAAGGATTAACAACAACAAAAATTCTATCAGGTATTAATGTGGTTGTTTCTGATCTTAGTAAAAATAAATGATATTACCCTAACTCATATTTAAAGAAAACTAATTATATAATGTTATTTTAAAATAGCCCTAGCTGGGCACATGCCCAGGTTGTGGGCCAAATCCCCAGTGGGGGGCATGCAGGAGGTGGCCAATCAATGTTCTCTCTCATCGATGTTTCTATCTCTATCTCTCTTTCCCTTCCTCTCTCTCTAAAATCAATAAAGAAAAAATTAAAATAAATAAATAAATAAATCTAATAAAATAAAATAGCCCTGGCTGGTTTGGCTCAGCGGTAGAGCGTCGGCCCGTGGACCAAAGAGTTGAGGGTTCGATTCCGGTCAACAACATGTACCTTAGTTGCATTTCGATCCCTGGCCCTGGTCAGGGTCATGCGGGAGGCAGCCAGTTGATGTGTCTCTCTCACGTTGATGTTTCTCTCTCCCCTATTCTATCTGAAGATAAATGGAAAAAAGTATCCTTGGGTGAGAATTTCAAAAATAAATAAATAAATAAAAGTTAAATATAAATGTCAGTGGATCTTATAAGCAATACTTGCTTGGAGTTTTGATTTTGTATTATTCATAAAAAAAGGTATTTTATAGAGGGGATAAACAGTGATGAAAGGAGACCTGACTTGGGGTGGTGAACACACAATACAATATATAGATGATGTATTATAGAACTGTACACCTGAACCCAGCCGGTGTGGCTCAGTGGTTGAGCGTCAACCCATGTACCAAGAAGTCACTGGTTCGATTCCTGGTCAGGGTGCATGCCCAGGTTGTGGGCCCGATCCTCGGTGGGGGGCATGCAGGAGGTGCACAATGTTCTCTCTCATTGATGTTTCGATCTCTCCCTCTCCCTTTCTCTCTCTCTCTAAAATCAATAAAGAAAAAAAAATGAAACTGTATACCTGAAACCTATATAATTTTAATCAATGTCACCCAAATAAATTCATTAAAAAATAACAGAAGTACACACACACACACACACACACACTCCATCTTCCAGTAAGTATATGTGCCATTTCATCCAATGTTCTAAAGCTCATTCATTCATTCACTCACTCATTCATTCAGTGCTTATTGGATGAATAAATATAGGTGATTAAAAAAACTCAATCAGTATTTGTAGAATCAATGAATTGATAAACCCTAGCAACTGGGACCTCCTGCAAACAGGCTTTTTTTTTTGCTAAGTTTCTGATCAAACACAACAGAGGTTTTTTTCAGAGGTATAAATAGATAGCTGTGAATAAAAGAATCCAGGGTCCGAAAATTGTGACAACAAAAACAAAATGGAGCCTCCAATCAACCAGAAAATAATCTGAGTACTGTATAAAAAGCTCTCCTATGCTTAGGCAAAAGAGACAGAAATATGAGCTGGTGACAGAAGAGCTGAGTGGAGCTGGCTGAAGAATATTAAGGAACCAAAGATAGTCTGGAAGAAGGTCTTACTGCCAGTCTTAACCTGTTTAGCAATTTTACCAACCTAGGAATGAAGACCTTGAAGGAATGCTTATTAAAAGTCTAGATAAAGCTGAAAGGGAGTCCCAGAGAACTTTAATTTGAAAAGATAAACTATACTCATGGCCATAATACTTTGCTAGATATTTAATGTAAACAAATGAAAAGTCTTCAACTGAGTTTGAAAAATAAACTACACAAAAACGGAAGACAATGGGATCCATACAAATTTGTACAACGAGTTTGATTTAGCGGAATAAAATCCCAATACAAATCAAGAGCTAAACATGGTGCAGAGATCAAAGAGACTCTCGCACACCACAGTCTATTCTCCTAAGACCAAACTACCATTTATACTTAACTCCTGCCTTATCTCAAAATGGATTTGAGGCAGCATATAAGGATATATAAAATATAACAAGAAAACATAGTAAAAAAATGTGAAAAACAATAGTAAGGATATAGAATGAATCATAGATTAAAAAAATATATACTATAAAGAAAAGAAAAAACAGTTATACAGGGTTCTTGAGATAAATACGATTAATTGTCTTTGAGGAAAAACAACTATTCCTAGAACTAAGACCAGATAGGAGTTTTTCCCAAGAGAACCCATAAAGAGAACATTGAGTAATATAAAGCGGTTCCTTACATAAAATTCTTATAGCACACCACACAAAACATTTCATAGGACTATTTCTTTCTTTTTTTTTTAATCCTCATCCAACGATATTTTTCCATTTTTTGTTCAGATAGAGTGGGAGGGAGAGAGGAAGAGAGAAAGATCGATGTGAAAAGAACACATTGAGTGGCTGCCTCCCACACAAACCAACCAGGGCTGGGGACAAACCACAAATGAGGTACGTGCCCTTAGTGGGAACCAAACCCGGGTCTCTCTGGACCACAGGCCAATGCTCTAACCGCTGAGCCAAACCGGCCAGGGCCATAGGACTATTTCTTATTATAAATGTTAACATAGATCAACAGCATCACACCAAGGTAAAATCTGATAAAACACTATAGGGCACCAATACAGTGTAGCCCAGGATCCTTGCAGATTAGAGGCAATCATAAAAACAAAAGAATCATATAAGTGGTCCTTTCTGATTCACTTCTTTCATTTAGCATGTTTTCGAAGTTCATCCATTTCATAACACATATTAATATTTGATTCTTTTTCTTGGCTGAATAATACAAACAGTCCTGACTTAAAATCATTCAACTTACAATTTTTTTTATTTTATGATGGTGTGAAAGCAGTACGCATAATAAATTATACAAGATATTCAACACTGCATTATAAAATAGGGACTGTGTTATATGATTTTGCCCAACTGGCAGGCTAATGTAAGTGTTCTGAGCATGTTTAAGGTAGGCTAGGCTAAGATGTTATTGGGATGTAACCCCATCATAAGTCGAGGAGCATCTGCATTCCATTTTATGGACATACCACATTTTGTTTATCCATTCATCTGTTAATAGACTTCTGGATTGTTCCATATTTGACTATTATAAACAATGCTGCTATGAACATCCATTCACAAGTTTTGTGTGGACATATACGTATTTTTCATCTCTTCTGGGTATATGCTTAGAAGTAAAATTGCTGGGTCACTTAGTAATTCTATGCTTAACCTTTCTTAAAAACAAACAACACACATTTTTATTGATTTTTTGAGAGAGAGAGGAAGGAAGAGAGAGCCAGAAACTTTGATGTGAGAGAGAAACATCAATTGGCTGACCCCTGCACACCCGACTGGAGATTGAGCCCACAATCTAGTATGTGCCCTGACTGGGAATCAAACCAGGCATCGAACCAGGAATGTAACTGGGACCTCTCAATCTATGGGACGATGCTCAATCTACTTAGCCACACCAGCCAGGACATGTAGAATTAATTTTTGTGTAAAGAGTGAGATAGGGGCCCTACCCGGTTTGGCTTAGCGGTTAGAGCATCGGCCCGCGGACCAGAGAGGCTCGGGTTCGGTTCCCGATAAGGGCAAGTACTTCAGTTGCAGTTCGTCCCCGGCCCCCATTGGGGTCATGTGGGTGGCATCCACTCGATGTGTCTCTCTCCCATTGATGTTTCTCTCTTTCTTCCTCCCTCTCTCCCCCCTGCTCTATCTCAAGATAAATGCAAAAGTGTCCTTGGGTGAGGATTAAAAAAAAGAGTGAGATAGGGGTTCAAGTTCATTGTTCTAGCAACATTTGTAAAAACATTCTCCGTTTTCACCCTGGCCAATGGCTCAGTTAGTTGGAGCATCATCCCATACACCAAAAGGTTGCGGGTTCAATTCCCAGGCAGGGCACATACCTAGGTTTTGGGCTTGATCCTTGGTTGGAGTGCGTGTGGGAGGCAACCAATCAATGTTTCTCCCTTCCTGTCTCTGAAAATAAATAAAACATATCCTCGGGTGACAACTAAAAAAAAAAAAAGATTCTCCTTTTCCCATTGAATTATCTTATCTTTTTTTTTTTTTTTTTTTATCCTCACCCGAGGATATTTTTCCATTTTTTTGTACAGATAGAGTGGGAGGGAGAGAGAGACAGAAACATCGACATGAAGGGACACATCGAGTGGCTGCCACTCGCACGACCAACCAGGGCCGGGGACAAACTGCAACCGAAGTACGTGCCCTTAGCGGGAATCGAACCCAGGTCTCTCCGGACCGCAGGCCGACGCTCTAACCGCTGAGCCAAACCGGTCAGGGCGAATTATCTTATCTTAACAGCTTGGCTGAAAATCAACTGACTTGCCCTGGCCGATTTGGCTCAGCAGTTAGAGCGTCGGCCTGCAGACTGAAGAGTCATGGGTTTAATTCTGGTTGAGGGCACGTGCCTCAGTTGTGATTTTTTTTAATCCTCACCCGAGGACATTTTTTCATTTTTTGTTCAGATATAGTGGGAGGGAAAAAGAGGAAGACAGGGAGAGAGAGAGAGAGAGAAACATCGACGTGAAAGGGACACATCAAGTGGCTGCCACCCACACAACCCAACCAGGGTCAGGGACAAACTGCAACCGAGGTACATGCCCTTAGTGGGAACTGAACCCGGGTTTCTCTGGACTGCAGGCCAATGCTCTAACCGCTGAACCAAACCGGCCAGGGCCTCAGTTGTGATTTGGTCTCTCCCCCACACCTGCCTCTATTTGAAGATAAATGGAAAAATATCCTTAGGTAAGGATTAAAAAAAGAAAATAAAATCAACTGACTATACTTGTGGGTCTATTTCTGGACTGTATTCTCTTCCACTGATCTAGTAGTCTATCTTTACAACAAAAATCCGCAGTCATAATTACTATAATTTTGTAAGTCTTGAAATCAGGTCGTTTAATTGTTTCAACTTCTCTTTTTTCAAGATTATTTTGACCTTCCTGGATCCTTTTCAAGTAGTTACTTTTTAAAAATCTCCCCAAGCAGTTACTTCTAAATGGCATTTTAAAATCTGGCCAGGTAGCTCTGTTAGAGTGTTGTCCCAATATGCCAAAGTTGCAAGTTCAATCCCCAGTCAGGGCACATACAACATCAACCAATGAATGTATAAATAAGTGGAACAACAAATCAATGTTTCTCTCTCTCTCTTGCTCTAAAAAAATAAATAAAATAAAATCTATTGTCCAAATTTTGTAAGAAAATGACCTAAACAGGTATTATGTAACTAAAATAATGAAAACCATCTAAACATTAATATATCTCCAGTTCTGTCTACCCAAGGTACAAAAGGTAAGTCTTTGTGACTATAGATTTGAGACCAATCCATGTCATCAAGAAAACCTTAAATAAAGTTCCAGATAAGTACACAGGTATTGCTGGATAGTGTGTTCACTACTTACCTTGGTTCAATATGATCCGGCAAGGCTGGCACTGACCCCCATGGCACAGCTCAGCACAGTGGTGCTGACCACAATTCAAAACATTCTCACACGGGTTAGAACAGTGGACTGAGACAGCCTGACCACAGCGAACTGTGTGCCTATTAAGACAGTAGATGTAAAGTCAGCATTGGTCTAATGTTGGACATCAAGTTTCTGTTTGACAGCTAAACTAGTACTGAAGCCCAAGCCCTCCCCCAAAACCCTTCTCTTGGCCCCATTGCCTCCACTTTTTCTGTTTCCCTCAATCCTTATTTCCTCAATTATTCTCCCATTCTCCACTTTCTTCTTTTTTCTCCTTTGCTTTCCTTATTTCCCGTACTTTCTGTCCCCTATTTTCTGACCAGTGAGGAACTGAAGGCTACTCCTAAGTTTTTATTATATGCCATTTGTTCTCTGAGTTCCCATGAAGCAGCAGCATGCAAGAGAGGAAAGGGCCTGGAGCTCCCACAGTAACTTACAGATGGCAGAAGGGAAGTTGGAGAGGTATAGTTAATAATGTAGATTCTCAGAATGAACACACAATGATATTCTCCTGGGACCTGGCACTCTGGCATTTAATGCAGCTATAATACTTAAGAACAGCCCTGGCCAGTTTGGCTCAGCGAATGGAGCGTCGGCCTGCGGACTAGAAAGTCCCGGGTTTGGTTCCTGCTGGGGGCATGTACCAAAAAAATAAAAATAAAAACTAAAAAAAAAAAAAAATACTTAAGAACATACTTACTATATGTGACTTTGATTCAGGATGGGGAAATCATTTTGGCTTTATTCTAATAAACATCCTGATATTACCGAGTTATCAGCTAAGAAGGATATGAGGCTAGGGCTTTCAGACAATTGTCTTCAGGTCTCTTTCCAGCTTAATGGTTTAGAGCTTGGAGTCTACTCTCCCACATAGTTTTATTCTATCCCCTACTCTTATTTCAACTACATATTTTGTTTTAAAAGTCACTGTTATATACTTAAGGTGACCAGTTTCCAGTGCTCAGCATCATGGCTAACATCAACCCCTTGAGGAAAACACTATCATTTCTACTTTATGGTAAGAGAACGAGGCTCAATAAGACCAAGCAACTGGCCTAGGTAAACAACTAGCTAGTGGCAGAACCCACATCTGACCTGGTCTTTCTGTCCTAGAGCCCTTGTATGTGACTCTCAGGTCACACTGCTACTTTCATAAGTATAGTAAATATTAAACAAATACATGTTATTGAAAATCTGCGTGATCTCATCTCATCGTGTGGTTTAGAAATCATTTTATGGTCTTACTGGGCCTCAGAGGCGTTCCACAGTTATCAGTGATCCTTGCACTGATGATGCAGAACTTGTAATGAAAAGAAGGCAGACTCTGGGGTCACTTACTATTTCATTCAACAATATTACGATATTCACTGAAAACTTTCCGGATGCCAGATACTGTGCTAGCCACAAGTAATGGTTCCTGCCCTCTGGACCTACCAAAAAAGGCCTGGGTTCGATCACCAGTTCTTTTTCTTTTCTAAATCCTCACCTGAGGATTTTTTTTTTCTTCATTTTTTTTTTATCTTCAGACAGAGTGGGTGGGAGGAAGGGTGAGAGGGAGAGAGAGAGAGAAACATCGATGTGAGAGAGACATATCGACCGGTTGCCTCCTGCATGATCCTAACCACAGCCAGGACTGAACTGCAACCAAGGTACATGCCCTTGACTGGAATCCAACCTGTGACTCATTGTTCCGTGGGCCGTCACTCTAACCACTGAGCCAAACTAGCCAGGGCCAATTACTGTGTTCTTACACCCAGTAGAGAGGTTAAGAAGAAAATCCCTGTCACCTTGCCTTTTCAATAAGAAATTTCATACAACTTCTTAATCACTTATAAGATTGCAAAATAGGATCAAGGCAGCCAAGGAAACTACAGAAAAGTACCATTTACGCCTGCCATTTACTTATTAATGGTAGTAAATAATTACTATTTACACCTACTTACTAATTTTTATTTTAGAAATTCACACATAAATCATCCATATGGAAAAATGAGTCTTCTTCAGAGTACAATTCTAACTTTACCTGGTCCGTCCACATTCACATGTTTTAGTCATAAAGGCAGGACAAGGTGGGCACGGTCCAGGATGGCAGAGACTAAAAAAGAAAAACCTGGATGAATAAATTATATCTATAAACCAAACCCAAACAAAGTTGCCCCAGCTGGCTCCCATTGTAATATGGCAACAAATAAGTCTACTATGAAATGTTTTAGTATTTGCCTAAAATTGATTAAACCAGTGGTTCTCAACCTTCTTAATGCTGCGACCCTTTAATACAGTTCCTCATGTTGTGGTGATCCCCAATCATAAAATTATTTTCATTTGCTACTTCATAACTGCAATTTTACTACTGCTATGTCTTAGGCAACCCCAATGAAAGGGTCGTTCGACCCTCCAACGGGTTGCGACCCAGAGGTTGAGAACCACTGGATTAAACTATTTAAATAAAGACAATTTTTTATATAAAAAGAATTGACAGCATTATCATCTTAGAATATTTAGCCAGAAAAGTAAATCCCAAATCAAAATACTGGTTTTATTTGGGTCTGACAGTCAGAGATGACATTTCCAAATATGGTCTTGGCCCACTTAGTGCAGTGTGCAGAGATAAAAATTACTTGCCACTCAGGTGAATGGCAGGATGGTCAATGGAGTCCTTTAGAACCTGAGCAAAACAATAAAGCTCAACTCTACTAGGTCCATGAGAAGTACAGACATTTTCTCATCAGCTAGTGAAATAACCAGATGATGGGCTAATGATGGGAATAGTAAAAAGGTTGACATGAGGGCAGGCATGCTGGAAACACTGGGAGAGTACATTCATGGAAAGAAATGGGCTTAACAATATACTATAGGTCAGAATTAGATCTCTAAAGAGAATGATTTTTATAGGAGCTATGATATAAAGAGACCAAAGGAAAAAATTACAAAATGGAATTATATATTCAAATATTGCCCTCTAAGCAGACACACTGGTAAATTACACACCTATTCAGAAATACCACTACTTAAAACACTGTGGGGCCCTGGCCGGTTTGGCTCAGCAAATGGAGCACTGGCCTGTAGACCAGAGAGTCCTAAGTTCGGTTCCCGCTAGGGGCACATACCAAAAACCAGTCAAACAAAAAAACACTGTGGGAACTTCTATGATAACTGTTTTTGGGAGGTTAGCAGCTTTCCAAGTAATGGCAAATCACAGTCCTTTAGGCATTAAAAGTCAATCAAGCCCGGATGGTGTGGCTCACTGGTTGAGCACTGACCCATGCACCAAGAGGTCGTCGGTTCGATTCCAGGTCAAGGCACATGCCCAGTTTGTGGGCCCAATCCCCAGTGGGAGGCATACAGGAGGCGGCCAGTCGATGTTCTCTCTCATCGATGTTTCTCTCTCTCTCCTTTCCTCTCTCTAAAATCAATAAAAAAATTTTTTAAAAAAATGTCAGTCAAGCCATGTCTAATTAATTAAGTTGGTTAAAAGAATTTGGTATAAAAATTAGGTGTGCCTATAAAGTCTGGTTGGATTTTTTAATGTGACTTCTAAATTAGTTCTGATAATTCTTAAATGAGCTTTAAACACTGAAAACAATCAAGGCACAAGTGCTTAGTCTTTTAAAGTGACCCATTTTGACAGAGTCCACAGAAGACATAAGTTTAAGCATGTGTGTGTGTTTAAAGATGAGTATTATTGTTCAATAGTAATATTTCACATGACATGCCTCAACCCTTTCAGGTGAAACTATTTTCATGACTGCACATTTAAATAATTTTAGACTGATAAATAAACCATTAGTCAGCAGTGGATGACTACAGGTTATTTCAAATATCCACGAGGCATGGATTTAAGTCAAGTTTTTATAACCTTTAGAACAGTGGTTTGCAACACTGGCTACATATTAGAATCACCTGGACAGCTTTAAAAACTACAGATGCTCAGATCCACCCCCAGAGATTCTGATTCAATTGCTTTGAGGAAGAGATTGGGCACTGGTGTTTAAAAATGTTCCCTGGCCTCGCTGGTGTGGCTCAGTGGTTGAGTGTCGATGCGTGTACCAAGAGGTCACCAGTTCGATTCCCAGTCAGGGCACATGCCCAGGTTGTGGGCCTGATTCCCAGTGGGAGGCGTGCAGGAGGTGGCCAGTCGATGTTCCCTCTCATTGATGTTTCTATCTCTCTCTCCCTCTCTCTTCCTCTCTCTCTAAAATCAATAAAGAAAAAAAAAATTTAAAATGTTCCCTAAATGATTCTAATGGGCAGCCAGGATAAAAAAAAAAAACTTCTCTAGAGAACTTTATAGTCTATGATAACAACCCAAATAGAGAGATAAAGGGGCCAGCTGTGGCTTGAGTCCTAAAAAGTATAAATTAGAGAACTCAAAGCTTTCGTTTAAAAGGAAGATGCTGTTGGTATATGGCAATCTTTAAGGTCCTGAAAGAAATAAAAAGTCAGTTCTCAAATCAAGAGTAGAATTTCCAGAGCCACAAAGAAACTAATTTTACAGCCTCCTTTCCCTTCAGACATGTTGTTGACTAACTGATCTACATCACATTTGTTGTTCTCTAGTAGTCACATCAGGGCCCATTTCTACTGGAGGCATCAGATAAATAGTTCATGCAAAGGATTAATTTATTACTGAATTTACTTAAAATGCCAACTAAGGGAAGGAATAGTTCAAATAGATGAGTCCCCTGGGTTCTGAGGAACGATCTATGGAAGCAGTCAAAGGAAGGAGGGCTATGCTGTTTAGTCCAGTATGAATAGCTCTCCCTGCCACTGACAAGTCCCCAGTACCACTTCCACACTTAGATCACAGGACCTCTGATCCAACATATACTCCTGCTCCATGCAGAAGTACCAACATAACACTATGATGTCTGTTTTACTCTTAGATTTGGGTAATATGAGCAAGAATTACCATTTTTTGACCACTTACCACATGCCAGGCTCTGTACCAAGCCTCTTAAGTGCATCAATTCATTTAATAATTATAGAACTCTGTAAGTTCTACAAGCTCATATCATTATATTACAGGCTCAGAGAAATTAAGTAACTTGTCCAACATCAGAAATTAAAGCTTGATCTGAGGTCAAGGTTTATAGAAATTTATTTGTAATCGATCAACTCTTTATTATTATGCATTTATCTTATTATTTACAAGCTGATTAAATAAATTCTAAAGCTCACTACTTATTGTACAGAAGGGATTCACATCCTAAAAATACTGCCCAATAGGACCCTGCCTTTCCCCAAACAGAACTCTGTCCTATATACTCTCTTGGACCTGAATATCAGTGGGGGATATTTCATCTTAGAAGCCAGCAGTGTAATATGGTAGAGGAGCACTGGCTTTGGAAATCCCAGCTCCACTATGTCCTAGCACTGTGATAATGGGCAAGACATTTGGCCTTTCTGAGCCTCACCTGTAAAAGGAAGATGACAAATATCTCTATATGGCTGTTTAAAGAATTCAATGAGTTAACTTTTACAGAGTAAGTGCTAAGTAAATGATACCATACTGCCTTTTACCCCATCGTGTCACATGCTAACCAGATATGTATACTCAATGAGCCATGAGCAAAGTATGTCCATCAAGAATCCCCAGGGGTCTAGCATTTCAACTTACAGGTTACAGGAATGTGGGCAGTCCTGTCCAGGCTGTTTCTTTCTACAAACCTCACCACAACTATGTGGAATTTCATTTCTGCTCCATTCAGGATTCTTTACCTTGCCTAAAACATATCAGATCAGACAGTCAATGGTACAAACTTCAAATGCACCCTAGACTTTGATGAAATAACACAATATAGCTAGACAGCATGGAATATCAGTGTGGTTTTCATTAGTTCAACATCCTAAATAAATCGTTGAATGCAATGCTATTCATCAAAAGCTTCACTGAGTATGATAAATCTTAAAGATGGATTACCTGGAAAAGATAAATAAAATGTTATTTTTACTTATAAAAATGCCACTTTAACTAATGGACACATTTTATCCAAAAAAAACCTACAAAATAATGCTTCTGTAAATGGCTCCTTGAATTGATACGGGAATATCTGCTGTTAAAGATCTGAAAAAGGGAATAAGGGAAGAGAGAAATGGGGGTGGGGGCGGGGGCGGGGAAGCAGCAGTAAGAGATGGAAAAGACATAAGTCCCCAGTATAGTAAGAACTCACCCATTCTAAAGCTATAAAGTAGGCATGGAAAGGCTATGTTTTTATAATCAATGTCACTCCACAAATCTTTAGTAAACATCTTCCATCAACTTAGCATAGAGGCAAGAACAGTAAAACTGAGGCATGGGACTCCTCCTTGCCCTAGAGGAATGCATACTTACTGGACAATTTACACCCTAAATGACAGTCTGTCTGGGCTCTGCTTTTCTCTCTAGCTTGTCTCTTTCAAAACTCTTATTCATGCTGTGAGGTTTAATACACCTAAAGGCCACTGATTCCCAAATCTACATTTTCTGCATGGTCCTGAAGCCTCAGTTTCATTCTTACTTATCCAACCATCTGCTGAACATCTATGCTTGGGATTTCAGTAATCTCAAACTGCCTAAATCTGCAGCCACCTCTTAAAACACCTCTCTTCAGTGTTCCCTATTTCTGTCAGCAATATCATCACTGTCAGGGTCACATAAAAACTAGTCATTCCCCCTTTTCTCTTTCCATATTCTACTTAATCACCAAATCTTGTTAATTTTTCTCCTTTTCTATCTGGTATATCTCACTTCACCTCCCCCGCGACTCCTGCTCTAGCCTCTCTCTACAGGCTGGAACTTCATCTCCAGACTACTGGAAAAGCTTACTTGCCTCTGTGCTTTCTTGCTTCAATACAGTGACCTGATTTTCCCCAGTCATCTTTCAATGGCTCCATCTCTTTTTCCTGACTCTCAATGTTTTTCTTCCTTTTTCTGCCAGGGTTCAACATTAGACCCTTTTTTTCACTCCTTCCCCACTCAGGCCTCATCTACAACTCTCAACTGCGGTGACTATCAATGCTAAGTCTTGATCTCTCTTCAAATACTCTTAACTGCTTGCTGACCATCTCTCACTGAATGTCTTATTCCAACTCAACATCTCTAAATTAAAGTCATCATCCCCACCAAACCTGGTTCTCCTGATTTGCCCTTTTTGTTCTTGGTATCATTTATAAAAGCATAAAACTTTGGAACCACACTGGGGTTCTCACCTCAATGCTGTTAATTCCTGTTTACCTTTGAAATCTTGTATGCCCTCCTTTCTGTCCCATTCTAACACCGATTATAGATTTTTATTATTCATCTGGGTAACTATAAGACCACAAACTGTTTAGGCCCCCAAATACTCCACTCATTGACATGAGATTAAGTTTAATAAAGAATCACACTGATGCCCTCAGTGGCTTCCCACAGCCAGCCAAATGAGGTCCCAATGTCTAAGTCTGGCCTCAAGAAGTCAGCTCCTCCCTTTCCAATCATATCCCACTCATCCACCTTCATAGATCTACCCTCATAGATGACTACCCTCTTCTCCCAACAGAGTCTAAGCCATCTTTGTTTTGTACTTCTACTTACGCTATTCTCTTCAACAAATCTTCCTTCCTACCAAGGTTTTACCTAGTTTTCAAGCCCAGTTTAATTCTATTTCTTTTATGAAGGCTTTCCTTAAATCATCTAGCCAGAAATCATAATTCATCCCAAAGATCTCCCATAGCACTTTGTACTTCTAGTAGAACATCGAGTTAATTATGTCTCTTGGACTGTAAGCTCTGATAAGTCAATAGTCTTAATTCCTCTGCTTCTTCATGGTGTCTGGTACATTAATAAATTCTCAACAAACTACATTAAATTAATGGTCTCCCAGAAGAACAGAGTAAAGCTATCAGGAAAAATAAGGCCATTATTTGCATTCCCACAGCATTCTATCTTGCTCAGATCATCTTAACCTTCGCTCCACTTTCTTCTACTTTCATAGGGTCTCATATCTAATTTTATCAGTGAAGGCTTTAATAAGATTTTAAATTATATTATGGTACTTTATGTTTAAAAGTCCTTTAAAAATAAGGTAATCAAGCCTTGGTATTGGTCCTATTTGTCCAATTTTCTAATGCTCTCTTGCTTTCAGTTTCATGCTACCTTTTAGTATTACATTGTATAATATTCATCCTTAAATTAATACTAATTTAGTATTACTAGAGCTCAGATTTTGGCAATAAAACATATAATACCAGTAGATTCTGAATAAAACAGTGGCCAAAGTGGGAGAGATAATAAGAAAAAGAAGCTTCTGCCCTGGCTGGGTAGCTCAGTTGGTTAGAGTGCTGTCCCAATATGCCAAGGTTGTGGGTTTGATCCCCAGTCAGGGTACATACAAGCATCAATCAATGAGCGCATAAATAAGTGGAACAAGTCAATGTCTCTCTCTCTCTCATATCAATACATAAAATTTTTTTTTAAAAAGGAAGCTTCCTTTCGAAGAGAATGTTTGAGGTCAAATCTTAAATGATATAGTAGACGAGGATTTAAAGAAAAGAAGGAGAACAGCATTCTAGATAGTTGATAAATTCACCAAGACACTGAGTTGAGAAGTTAAAGAGTTGATTGTCAATGACTCCCTTGATGAAAGCTGCTAGGTAAGTAATGGGAAAGGAGAAATATGAGCCAACTAGTTAGAAAAATAAGGAGAGTTTACATAAAGAAACAGGAAGAGCTAGTCATTTCAAGAAGGGCATGGTTAAAAGTGTCAAGGGCTAGCCCTGGCCAGTTTGGCTCAGCGGTTAGAGCATCGGCCTGCGGTCCAGAGAGACCGGGGTTCGGTTCCCGCTGGGGGCGCGTGTCTCGGTTGCAGTTTGTCCCTGGCCCTGGTTGAGCGTGAGGGTGGCGGCCACTTGATGTGTCCCTTTCACGTCGATGTTCTCTCTCTCTCTCTCTCCCTCCCACTCTACCTGAACAAAAACAGAAAGGTATCCTCGGGTAAGGATAAAAAAAAAAGTGTCAAGGGCTATTGTGCTGCCAGAAAGATTAAGAAATTATAAATCAGCTCTGGATTTGGTCAGGAAGGGGTCATTGATGACTTCTGAAGAAAGTTTCAGTTGACGTAACAAGAATGAAAGCAAACATGCAATGGTACAAGGAGGTAGACATGCTTAAGAAACAAAATTTGAGCCTTGGCCGGTCTGGCTCAGCGGTAAGAGTGTTGGCCTGCAGACCAATGAGTCTTGAGTTCAATTTGGGTCAAGGCCATGCACCTTGGTTGCGGTTTGTCCCTGGCTCTGGTCAGGGACATGTGGGAGGCAACCAGTTGATGTGTTTCTCTCACGTTGATGTTTCTCTCTCCCCCTCCCACTCTATCTGATGATAATCAGAAATAATGATTTTAATACTTGGGTGAGGATTAAAAAAAAAAGAAACAAAATTTGAAAAATCAGGCCCTTGCCCTGGCCAGTTTGGCTCAGCGGTTAGAGCGTCGGCCTGCGGTCCTGAAAAATCAGGCCCTGGCAATGTGGCTCAGTTGGCTGGGCGTTGTCCTGTGTACCGAAAGGTTGCCAGTTTGACTCCTAGTCAGGGCACATGATTGGGTTGCAGGCTCTATCCCTGGTAGTGGCATGCAGGAGGCAGCTCGTCAGAATTTCTCTATCACATCTATGTTTCTCTCTCTCTCTCCCACCACTCCCTTCTTCTCTCTCTAAAAATAAATAAAAGATCTTAAAAAAAAAAATCAACAACCACATGGTAAAGATTAGTTGTTAAAAGATAGGCAGGAAAGGGGGGAGAGGAAGACATGCAGGAAATAGGCTAGCAGCAGAAATGAGCATCTGAATCACAGAAATTTTTTTCCTAAAACACAGGAGAACTAAGCTATTGAAAAACAGGAAGTACCCTGGCCGGTTTGGATCAGCAGTTAGAGTGTTGGCCTGAGGACCAAAAGGTTGTGGGTTCGATTCCCTGTCAAGGGCACGTCCCTGGCAGGTTTGATTCCCAGCCCTGGTTGGGGTCATGCGGAAGTCAACCAATCGATGTGTCTCTCTCACATGGATGTTTGTTTCCCTGTTTCCCCCTGCCCCCTCTCCCCCCATCCCTTCTTTCTCCTTCCCATTCTATCTGAAAATCAACAGAAAAATATCCTCAGGTGAGGATTAACAAAAATAAAAAAATAAATACAGGAAGAAGTACTCCATAAAGAGGGAGGACACAAGGATAGAGTTAGTAATGCTCGCCTATAGAAAATCCATCTTTTTATTTATTATAAACATCAATGAGTGACTCCTTGGGTTAAAATAAAGTATACTTCAACACTACGCTTTCCTTATGCTGCTCAAATCTGGAATATCAAAACTGTTACAGCTAGAAGTGAGAAGAAGCCCATGTCTATACCCACTTTTGCATCTGATCAGCTATGATCTAAAGTGAAGACCAAGGAGTCCAACACCACAGTTCAGAAGTAGCATGAGCCTAGAGGGCATGATGTAAAGGTCCTTCTCCAGAAAAGCCTGCCAAAGATACAAAGGCCTGTGACTCTAGCTGTGGGATGGACAATATACATGTGATGTCTAGTAGACACCTGTAGCTTTGAAGTCTTATTAGTAACTTCTCTAACAAGTCTAGCAGACCACCTCTCCTGGGGTAGGAACTGAAGTATAATGCATGAAATGGAAAAGACTCCAATGTATGCAAAAAACTTACCACAGAAACAAGTGTAGGTATTAGGAACATGTGCAGAAACATTCTGACAGGCAGGACACCTCCAGCCACTCTGGCCATCTGTCAAAAAAGGGGGGAAAGAAACCAAAATAATTTTCTTTAAAAAGCACACGTAATTAAAAAACTTTAAACCTACAAGAAGTCATAACATTGAAGGAGTGGTGGTGATTTCCATGTTAAGGATATAGACATTAAAAAAACAAATTTACAATATTGAATGCTGTGTTTAAATATTGCATTTAGGCTTATATTTATAATAATTTTAGATATAATGAATCAGGTGGGTATTTATTTTGTTCTTTAACTGAGATATAAATGACATATAATATTATGTGAGTTTAAGGTGTATAACATGTTGCTTTGATACACTTACATATTGCAATATGATTACCACAATAGGGTTAGCTAGTACCTTCATCCCATCACATAATTATCATTTCTTTTTGTAGTGATAATGTTCTATTAGAGTATTTCTAATTTTTTGAAAAATTGACTTTAGAGAAAGAGAGAGGAAGTGGGGGAGAAAAGGGAGAGAGAAACATCGATTGGTTGTTCCACTTATTTATGCATTCACTGGTTGCTTCTTATAAGCACCCTGATTAAAGATCGACCCCACAACCCTGATATATCAGGACGACAGTCAAATCAATTGAGCTACCTGGCCAGGGTCTATTACAGTATTTCTAATGTTAAGATGATCATTATCTGAATCTTGGCTTGACAAAAAGAAGGATAAAATATTTGAGTACATGCAGGAATACCCAGATATCTTAAATTAGAAGAAGAGCCACAGTCAGAAAGCATATTATTAACATTTGCATTACCCATAAATACTAGTATCCGTTGAGAAAAGCCCACAAAATACTATGAAGAAGATTCGTTCAAGGAAAAACAACTTTCAACATTCCAAGTATAAATTAAACAACTGCTTTCCATAAATTTTCTAAAGCAAACTATACAAGAAATGTTTTCTATAGTTGTTACTTGGATAAAAGCTACCATTTTCAGTAGATGTGACTGATTTTATTTTACCTTAGATATATTTTAATATTGCTGTGTTTAGCTGGTTTGAGATCTACAGCTTAATTCTGACCATCTGAAATATGTGACCGTGACAATATACTCTCTCTGCAGATAAAACATTCAAGAATTAAACAGCATTTTAAAAGCTGAAGATATCGAATGGGTGAGAATAACTACTCAGAAGAATGACTGACCTGCTTGAGATGCCGGAGACCTTGCCCATTTCTTTATGCAGTTCAAATGAAACACATGGTAACAGCTCTGACAACTCCATACTGGGGCTGTGACTCGTACCAATTCACAGCACACCATGCACTCATATTTTTCTGTAGTTAGTTGTTCAACTAGAGAACCTGTTTAAAAAACAAAAGAGATAAACTCAAACACAGAAAACCAATCCTTACTTTAGTCAACCAAGGATCAGCAAGGCATTTGAAAGAACCCAAACACAGAGGTTTAAAGGGATATCTGAATCTGAGAATGGTGGCTGTTCAGAGATTGAGGCCAAGAAGAGGTAGGAATATAGTGAGGTAGAAGACTTAGGAAGTAGACATTCACATGGGAATTCCCACAGTTGAGGAAACATTCCTAAGAAACTGCACAAGAACTGACCAAAGTAGTCAAATGCCCCTCATTACATAGCTTGGGCATGTACAGGAGCAGCTGTAGGTCCTTGCCTTGCCCTTCTTAATCTAGGTTTTGTTTTTTTCTTAATTTTTAATTTATTAATTGGTTTTTGTTACAGATGTTTCTCATTTTTCCCCCATTGACACCCTCCTCCCCTTCCCCCTTAATCTAAGTTCTTAATATGGGATGCTCTGAATCTACCAGTACCATGGATTCAAGCTACGGTGGGGGCTCGTGAATGGTCAGCTGCAAGAAACCAAAATGTGGACAGGTTCCAACAATCCATGGTGGTGAGATGGTTCTAGTAGTTGCCCTGAAAGTCCTTAGTTGATTCATTCAATAAAGATATGCTTAGTGCCTATCATAAGCCCCATAGAAGGGTTACTAGACTGAAGGAGAAACAGTCCCTGGCTCCAGAAACTCTCCATCTGGTGAGAAAGACCAGCGTATGGCACCATAAGAATCTTCCCAGATTTATTTCTCAATACCAGACTTTTTCTTCAAATACAATCTCAGCAAAGTCTTTCTATCCCAAGTATAGTCAGGTGCTCTTAGAGATGAATGTGAGTGAGTGAGTGAGTGTGAGTGTGAGTGTGAGTGTGAGTGTGAGTGTGTATCTTTTTTGAGTTCATACTTTTAGCATTTATTTCACGATGTTATTTTATTTGTTTTCAGGTCCAAATAGGTTATAAGAATAAACTAACTAACCTTAAATAACCTGGCCCAGTATTATGCTAAAGCTTTACACATATTATTTAATTCTCTTAACAAGGCTATAAGAATCATTTTACAGCCCTGGCCAGTTTGGCTCAGCGGTTAGAGCGTCGGCCTACGGTCCAGAGACCAGGGTTCGGTTTCCACTAGGGGTACGTACCTCAGTTGCAGTTTGTCCCCGGCCCTGGTTGGGTCATGCAGGTGGTGGCCACTCGATGTGTCCCTTTCATGTCGATGTTTGTCTCTCTCTCTCTCCCTACCACTCTATCTGAACAAAATATCGAAAAATGTCCTCGGGTGAGGATAAAAAAAAAAAGAATCATTTTACAGATGAAGAAACTGAGGCACAAAGTGGTTAAATCACTTACCCAAGGTCACAAAGCTAGAAATTATCAAGTCAAAATTCAAATTCACTGCTATGACTCAAAAGTTCACATTTTAATCCTTTGATAATATTAGCTCTCCTAAGATTATTTTGTTTGTCCAATTTAATGCCAAAAAATAAGAACACCCCAGGAGTGTATGCTCTGTGGGGCAGGGACAGTGTCTTTCTTGTCTGCCCTGCTCACCGTAGTTTTCCAGTTCCTGACATACACCAGGTGCTCAATAAATATTTGTCAAATGACTGGATGAAGGAACAAATGAGTCAAGAAAGTTACATTTTTAAAAAGTACTCCATCTTTGCATCAAACTCAAAGGGAAGTCCAAGATAATAAGGACTGAAATACATCTTTCCACTGGATGTGGCGAATAGGAAGCCATTCATGATCTTACCAGTAGTTCTGAGTCAGGTGCTGATGATGGCAGAGGAATTAAGAAGTGAATCAAAATAGGGAAAAAGGGGGGGTGGGGAGCAAACAACTCTTGATTTGACTGTAATGGAAGGGAAGGAAAGTAACCACTACTAGAAGGTTATGTAACATAGTAAGTTTTTCTTGTGGAGGGTAGAACAGACCTGGGAAGATCTTCAGGCCAAGAACTTGGTATAGCAAATGTGAAAAAACTGATGGAAGGAAATAAGGAGATCTAAGAAGGAAAGAGAAGAAAAATGGGCACAGGTGCCTCTGAGTTTGCTTTATGGGAGCAAAAAATTGAGAAAATCATACCTGATGATCTCCCCTTTCTCAGTGAAGGAGGAGGCAATGAAATATGCTGAGATTGAGGGAGAATTAAAGGTTTGTGGGAGATGAATATTAAAAAGGTTTATGGTGGAAAAAGTTTGGAGTAATCTTAGTAGAAAATGGAAGGATAGCTGACCAAGGTCATACAAGAGAAAATAGGCAGTGTTGAAAGCCAATTGAGGTTGGAGACCACTATTCAAAAATATTTACTAAGCACTGGGTGGTGTGACTCAGTTGGTTGAGCATCGTCCCATGCACCAAAAGGCTGCCAGTACAGTGCCTGTACAGTTCAGGGCACATGCCCAGGTTGTGGGTTCAGTCCCCAGTCGGGGTGCGTGCAAGAGGCAATCTATCAATGTTTCTCTGTCACATCAATGTTTCTCTCTCTCTCTCTCAAATCAATAAAAGCATATTTAATTTTTTTCTTTATTGATTTTAGAGAAAGAGGAAGGGAGAGGGAGAGATAGAAACATTGATGAGAAAGAACATCAATTGGCTGCCTCCTGCATGCCCCCCACTGGGAACTTGGCCCACAACCTGGGCATATGCCCTGACTGGGAATCGAACCAGCAACCTGTTGCTGCATGGGTTGACGCTCAATCACTGAGCCACACCAGATGAGCCAATAAAAGCTATTTTTAAAAAATTACTAAAAACCTACTATGTGTCAGGCACTCTTTAGACATTAAGGATATATAGTGAACAAAACAGACAAAAATCTTCCCTATGAAGCTTATTATCTAGGGGGGAAAGGTAGACAACAAACAAACTATAAAAATATGTAGCAATGCCCTGGCCGGTTTGGCTCAGCGGTTAGAGCGTCGGCCTGCGGTCCTGAGAGACCCGGGTTCGGTTCCTGCTAAGGGCGCGTACCTCGGTTGCAGTTTGTCCCCGGCCCTGGTTGGTTGTGCGGGTGGTGGCCACTCGATGTGTTCCTTTCACGTCGATGTCTCTCTCTCTCTCTCTCTGTTCCTCTCTCTCCCTCCCACTCTACCTGAACAAAAAATGGAAAAATGTCCTCGGGTGAGGATAAAAAAAAAATGTAGCATCATCAAATAGTGATAAGTGCTATGGAGAAAAATAAACCAGGAAAGGAGACTATGGAATGCTAACAGTAGGGGAAGTATGGTTTTAAAGAAGGTGATTAGAAAGGCTTCCCTGAGAAGGCAAATGAATTACAGCAGCACCAAATCTGTACTATTATGTGATTTCCTGGAACAGCATTCTGTTACCCAGATCTGGAAGAAGAAAGGTAGACTGCATTATCAATCCGTTTAGATGAGATTCTGCTAAACAGCTTGGCAGAAGGATACTTCAAATGACTTAAGATAAGGCCCACCTAGAGAGGGAATAAAGATGGGCAGGAACTGGCAAAACTGGTAGTAGGTGGAAGAAACTGAGGAAGCCAGAGGACAGGAATTTATGGTCAGAAAGTGGAACAAAGACTTTAATATTTCAGAGATGGGGCATCCCCAGGGTTATTTCACTAGTAGTGGGTATGGAGGTGGAATGAAGGTGAAAGTCCCCATGGTCAATAAGACCAAAGACTTTGAAGCTAACACAATGCATATGCTCACTAAAGTTATCTAGAATAACAACAGACTTATGGTAAATCAGTTCTCAAATTTGAGCATGCCTTAGAATCACCTGGAGGCTTGTTAAAAGATAAGACTGCTGGGCCCCACTTCCAGAATTTGTTCAGTAAATATGAAGTGAGGCCCAAGAATACGCTTTTCTAACAAATTTCCAGGTATTGCTGATGGCATCTGACCTGGAATTACACTTTGAGAACCTCTGTGGTAGAGAAAAGATATAGGCTAGATGCATTAATAAATGAGGGCTGGGAGATTTGTAGGCTAATAAATGATAAGAAGATATGGCAGGTGATATAGCTACAAGGTGATGTGGCATTAGACTCAATGAAGCAAGGATTTTGAAACAAAGGTAGAAGAATGATTTAGAAATGGTTTCTTACCTCTTCCACCACTACTACTCCTATTGAAGTCTCCATCATCAACTACCTGAATTCCTCCAACAGCCTCCTAACTTGTCCCCTTGCTTCCATAGAACCTATTCTCCACAGCTGGCTGAATGCTCATTTTGGAATGCCAGTAAGATCATGCCATCCCTTTTCCCCAAACCTTCTCATCTTCTTACTCAGAATCAAATCTAAAAGACTCACATAATCCAGCCCCTATGATTTCTCTGAAATCCTCTCCTACCCACCCCCACCTTTAATGCTCACAATGCTGCCCTCCCACCTCAGTCTAAACCTGTTTCTGCCTCTGCCTAGAATGCTCTTCTCCACAGAGCCACAGGGTACACTCCTGTACTTCCTCCTGGTCTCTCTTCAAATGTCTCATCAAAAAAAAAAAGTCTCATCAAAGAGACCAACCTATCTAAACTAGCACCTCTGTTACTCTGTCCTCTTAACATGCTTTATATTCCTTTCTAGCTTATCACCTACCTGACAAATTAAAAAATTTGAATGCTTTCTGCTTGTCTTCCCTACCAGAATATAAATCCCATTAGTGCTGTATTTCTAGTACCTAGAACTTGTGCTTGGCACATAGTATTTACTCAGTAAATATGATGAATAAAGTATTCTCAAGGATATGTAGGGATATGAGACCAAGAGAGATTTGTTAGGCAGAACTCTAAGATGGCCTCCAAGATTCCCACCCTGGGGTATGCATGTCCCCCTTGAGTATGGTGGACTGATCTAATCAGGTGAGCCCTTTAAAAAGAGTCTAGAGATCAGAGAAAGAAGTCAGAGAGGCTTGAATAATTTATAGAAGATGCTTTCCTACAGGCCTTAAAGAAGTACACTACAAAGTTGTGGAGAGGGCCCATATGGTAGAAAATTCCAGGTGGCCTCTAGGAGCTGAGAGTGACCCCCAGGCAATAGCCAGCAAGAAAACAGAAACCTCGCCCTGGCCAGTTTGGCTCAGCGGTTCAATCTCCGGCCCTGGACCTGGTCGGGGTCGTGTGGGAGGTAGCCAGTAGATGTGTCTCTCTTACATCAATGTTTCTCTCTCTCTCTCTCTCTCTCTCTCTCTCTCTCTCTCTCTCTGTCTCTCCCTTCCTCCCTCCCACTCAATCTGAAAATCAATGGAAAAAAATCCTCAGGTGAGGATTAAAAAATAAATAAATAAAAATGTTAAAAAAAAAAAAATGGGACCTCAGTCCTACACACATAAGGAACTAAATCTTACCAACAACCAGTAAGCATGAATAAGGACCCTACACCTCAGATGAGATTGCACCCCTGGCCAACTTGAGTCCTGTGAGACTGAGTCAAGAACTCAGCCAACCTGGACCCAGACCCCTGATCCACAAAAACTATGACATAATACATCTGTGTTATCTTAAGCCACTACATTTGTGATCATTGATCATGAAGCAATAGGAAACCATTAACCAGCCTTAAGAATTCAGAAACAGTCCTGGCCGGTTTGGCTCAGAGATTAGAGCGTTGGCCTGCGGTCCGGAGAGACCCAGGTTCGGTTCCCGCTAAGGGCATGTACCTCAGTTGCAGTTTGTCCCCGGCCCTGGTTGGGTCATGTAGGTGGCAGCTACTCAATGTGTCCTTTCATGTCGATGTTTCTCTCTCTCTCTCTCTCTCCCCCCCTCCCACTCTATCTGAACAAAATATCAAAAAGAAATGTCCTCGGGTGAGGATAAAAAAAACAAAGAATTCAGAAACAGCCTGGCTGGTATGGCTCAGTGGCTGAGCATTGACCCATGCACCAAGAGGTCGCCAGTTCAATTCCCGGTCAGGGCACATGCCCAGGTTGTGGGCCAAACCCCCAGTGGGGGCATGCAGGAGGTGACCAATCAATGTTCTCTCTCTCATCAATGTTTCTATCTATCACTCCCTCTCCTTTCCTCTCTCTCTAAAATCCATAAAAAATAAAAAATAATTCAGAAACAACTGTGGTATAACATTGCCTGTGTTCACACACAAGTTGCGGTCCCAAGAACTACTGTTTGGTGAATTAAATTAGAACTAGAAAAACTATAGGCCAGAGTAAAAACAGGCCTGGGCAGGAGGTGGTTTCACATATTAGGCTGTATGTCACATTAAACTGGAGGGAGATCAGAATTGCAAAAGTCCATGAGGAAGAGCTAACAGAATGAAGTTTTTAGCTTAGATGGAATATATCCTCAGGGCAAAATGAGAAGTGTCTTCAAATATTACAAGAGCCCTGGCTGGTTTGGCTCAGCAGTTGGAGCGTCGGCCTGCAGACCAGAGTGTCTCGGGTTCGGTTCCCGCTAGGGGCACGTATCAGAAAAAAAAAAAATTATTACAAGAAGCTAATCTCCATTGAGGGAGGGAAAACTATAAGGAGAGAGACTAGTTGCTATGTAGTTTCAGAGGCCAGAACTTAAACCAGAGGAAATAAAGTATTTATAGGAAGAAAGTTCTCAATTCAATGTAAAGAAGAACTTCCTAACAGTTAAGAAAGATACCGTCTCTGCTTTTAAGGAGCTTATAGATAAGTGGAGGGCACTGACACATAAACAAATGATGGTTTCTAGTGTACCTGCTATAATAGAAGCATTATATTTAAGGGAAAGACATATCACAGGGATGGAAAAGATTAATTTTATCTCTAGAGGTGAGAAAAGGATTCCTGGACATGTGACTAAACTAGCTTTTGAAAAATGAGTAAGAATTCACCAGTGAGCTGAGTGGTAGGCATTTTAGAGAGAGGGAGCCACATATGCAACATCATGGAAAGATAAAACAATATAGAGTCCAGGGAGTAAAATGTGCTGGGGACCAAGGCGGCAGAAGATGGGGTTGTTGGGTAAGGCAGAAGCCAAAATCTATAGGTGATGAAAAAAAGTGAACAAAAGTGAATGGTGGAGTGGTGATGACACAGTTCAATATGTGTTTTAAAAGAGCACTCTTGCCTGGCCAGTGTGGTTCAGTGGTTGAACATCAACCCATGCACCAAGAGGTTGCCAGTTCAATTCTGGGTCAGGGCACATACCCAGGTTGTGGGCCTGATCCCCAGTTGGCCAGTTGGGGGCATGTAGGAGGCAGCCACTCAATGTTCTCTCTCATTGATGTTTCTATCTCTCCCTCTCCCTTCCTCTCTCTAATATCAATAAAGGAAACAAAATTTTGTTTTAAAAAGAAAGAACACTCTCTGATCCTAGTGTTAGAGATGAACTGAGAGAAACGACATGGTGAGATTGGTTAGGAACTTTTGCAGATGAGCAGACAAAAGATGATGCAGGCTGGAACCAGGACAGATAGTGGAGATGTTACCATCCCCTACTTGGCTTTCACAATTCAAAGAACATCTTGTTACCATATATCTATACCACCCATATATGCATTTTTCAAAACCCTTACAAAATTCCTTAAAGAAAAAAATTCCTGCCCTGGCCGGTTTGGCTCAGCGGTTAGAGCGTCGACCTGTGGTCCAGAGAGACCCGGGTTCAGTTCCCGCTAAGGGCACGTACCTCGGTTGCAGTTTGTCCCCGGCCCTGGTTGGGTCATGCAAGTGGCAGTCACTCGATGTGTACCTTTCACATCGATGTTTCTCTATCTCTTCCTCTCTCTCCCTCCCACTCTATCTGAATGAAAAAATGTCCTCGGGTGAGGATAAAAAAAAAAAATTCCTTATTTGTGTTTGCTTATGATATAAAAACTAAGTAAATAGTTACCTACTGGGGAGAGAAGGTGGTGGTGGCAGAATCCAGGCAGATGATGAACAAGGACAGAAAGAGACTTTTCATTACGTACTTTTTTTTTTTTAATCCTTACCTGGTATTTTTAAAAATTAATTTTAGAGAGAGAAGGGGGAGGGGAAGAGAGAGAGGAAAAGGGGGTGGAGAGAGGGAAGGGGGGGGGGGACAGAGAAACATCAATCTGTTGCCTCTTGTACGCATCCTGACCAGGGATTGAACCTGCCACCTCTTGGTGTACAGGACAATGCTTCAGTCAACTGAGCCACCCGGCCAGGGCACTGTGTACCTTTTTATACTTTCTGGTATCTAAATTGTGTGAATATATTACCTTTTCAAAAACTTAAAATCAGAAAAACAAAACATTTCCATCTATCTAGGTAGATTTACCTGTGTGTGTTTCCACATTCTTTAGCACGGGGTTCTGTTTGCCTCGGGGAAAAGACATTACTTGAGGATCCTGCCTCCTTATAGCACATTTCTCCGGATCAACCCTTCTAGAAGACTTGTTGAGGACTGCCAAGTTCCCATTTTTACAGGCAGATTTTGCTGGCCGTTCATTAAGATTATCCTTTGGAATGGGTGGAATGGGAGCCATGTTGTTTCTAGGTCCTGAACTTGTGTGTCGTTGGCCCTCCTGTTTTGGTGGATTCCTGCCTGGACGTGGTCTTGCCCCCTCCACTTCCCAGGGAGGCCTTTTCTGCGAGTGTCTTCTCTGCTCGTTGCGTCTGGCCCCAGACCCATCCAGTACTCCTTTTCTAAAGGATGTATCTGAAGAGTCAGGGTAGATAACCCCCACAGGTTTGGTATTTTCAGGTCCAGTATCCTCAAGTTTGGGAGTCATTCTGTTACCCCACTCACATTTGAGCTTCCCCTTGACTTTTGGTCCTCTACCATAGCTATATACAAATTGGGTTGCTTTTTTGGGTTTTGCTCCCCTGGGATCTGCGCCAATAATTTCCTTTTCACTTTCAGCAGGGCTGTGCTCTCTGGGCTTTGTCCCACTCTCTGATCTGTCCACACTTTCTAAGCCAGATGCATCAGAAGTCTGGTCAGTTAGACTTTGTACTCTCTTGACTCTGATATGCTGCTTTTCACTCCTCAATTTCTGCCCAGGTTGATTCTGAAGGCTCTTAAGTGATTTATTAGAAGCAGAGGTTTGGAAAGAAGTATGTTGACTCTTAGGTTTACTTCCTGAAAGATGATAACTGTGTTGATGAACAGCAGAGATGTCATCATAAGGGACTTGCTTGGAAAGGTGACACGGAGGTGGTGAATTATAATTTCTTCTACCAATCCTATTAGAATCTAGTCTTCTTTGACTCCCACAATGTAGACCATAATTTTTTCTCTCCTGAGGAATGAACTCAGAAGCATCTGTATTGAATTTAAAAGTACCTAGGACATAAGAAACAGACATGCCAGTAAAGAAATCAGTCAACCGTGAAGCCAATAAGATGTAAGCTGTATTTAAAAGTTGTTTGCCTAAGGACTGTATAAAACAGGCTCTTAGTAAGACCTATGTTTCCAGTGAAGGTCATGGGTTCAAGGCGCTTGTGAAAGACTGATCATTGGTCCAGTAGCTTCCCCAATAGCCACTGCTGAGAGTTGCTAAGTAAAACTGCTCACCTGTATACTGTATTTATTTTATCAAAAAATTTAAGGTCAGCAAATAGTTCAGAGTTGAGACATCAGTCAGCAGGTTCTATGTGGTCTTTCAAAACTCTAATGTCACATTGTGTAACATCAAGTAAACAGGCTTAGGAATCAGCCAAAACCAGTTTCAAGTCTGGCCCTTCAACTTACACTTTAAGGTTAGGTATATCACTTGATTGCTTTTAGCCTGGTGTCCTCATCCATGACAAAAGATGACAATACTATTTCAAAGGGTAACTGTGAAATTTAAATATGATTTCATATAGATAGTACTTAGCATAGTGACTATATTAGGAATATATTTTGGGTTTTCCATACATATCCTCTATAATACAGTCCAGAATCCCAGAGTCTCAAAAATTAAGCATATGCCCCTTCAACTCACTCATTTATTCTCCCAAGATGCCTCTGTATAGTCAACTTAGTCCTTGATGCACAAAGACAAAATAATTTGCCTAAGGATACAAAACTAATTAGTAGCAAAGTCAGAACTACATGTAACATACAGAATATACTATGAATTTATAGGGCACTGGTTCTCAACCTTCCTAATTCCGTGACCCTTTAATACAGTTCCTCATGTTGTGGTGACCCCCAACCATAAAATTATTTTCGTTGCTACTTCATAACTGTAATTTTGCTACTGTTATGTCTTAGGCGACACCTATGAAAGGGTTGTTCCACCCCCAAAGGGGTCGCGACCCACAGGTTGAGAACTGCTGTTACAGGGCCTAAAAGATAGGGGTTTAAGTCCTGCCTATTACTTATTGTATCTTTATGCAAGTTACTTAATCCCTGTTTTCTTATATATAATGGAGATAGTGATAACATCAAAGAGTTGCTATGAAGAGTAAAGTAAGTTAGTAAGATGCATAAGGTGGTTAAAATGGTGTTTTACTATTGCTGTTAGGATTATAGACTATCTGAAACACACAGACCCAACCATAAATGGATACAGTTTAGAGCCTGGGGGTTTCAGGTTTAATAACGAGCCTGTTAGGTACTTTATTAGGTACTTAACATGTGCCAGGCACTACTTTAAGCACTTTGCATGTATTAGCTCATTTAATCCTCACATTCCTGATGAGAAAACTGAGACATAGAAAGAGTAAGTAACCTGCCCAAGGCTACAGGGGTATGTTAAAGGACAGAGTTCCACCCCAGGTTATATGGTTCTAGAGATCATGTTCTTTCACTATCACCACACTATACAGTCAGAGGTTGAGCAGCTAGTACCACAGAAACACACTAAAGAAGTGAATGAGATCTTAAGGGTCATAGGATAACCTCTCACTTGAGCCAGGATTTTTTCTGAAAGCTTTCACATAGGCAGAATTCTAGGAATGGGGTGGAGGGCCTTACAAAATGACAAGAGGATTAGACAAATTCAGAAAGTGGCAGAAAAGATGTTCTGGACACCTAACAGATAAGTTAAAGGTGGAAATGGATGGATTAGACCAAGTGGGTATTGCATAGTCCTTTCCTACTTAAAGAAGCAAGATTGGACGGGCAGTAAATGGCCTGGTAAAGGATGGGAAGAGGATGTTTCATGTTAAGCAATGAGGATTTTATTCAACTAGAGATTCTAGACAGGGCAGTCCCTAATCATATACAGCATATGTTCCACTGGACATGATGTAGTAGACAAAGCCCTCAGAAAGAGCCTTAAGAGATATGAGAAAGGGTAAAAGGACAACATGAATCAGGAAACTGGACCTGAGACACAAAGATCTGAAACACCCTCCCCCCCACACACACTATTTTAAGTAGCTGGAAGTTACGCAGTAAATGGGATGTCTAATACCAAGGCATTGCTATAGTACAAGTGGTACCCTAGATCCAAGATTACATGGCAGCATGGTAGGTGTCCAACAGGTGGGTGGAGCAGAGTAAACTCTAGATTATAAAGTCCAGAGACGCCTGGCCAGTGGAGCTCAGTGGTTGAGTGTTGACCCATGCTCTAGGAGATTGGGGGTTCCACTCCTGGTCAGGGCACATGCCCAGATTGTGGGCCAAATCCCCAGTGGGAGCCATGCAGGAGGTGGCCAATCAATGTTCTCTCGCATTGATATCCCCCCCCCCGCCCCTGCTTTCCGCTCTCTAAAACCAATAAACAACAAAAAAAATTTTTTTTAAATAAAGTCCAGAGACAAAGCTGGCATTGGAGTCTGCCCATGGGCAGGAAGATAGCCCCTGGGATTTAGATGCTGTTTGAGAACAGAGGGAGGCAAGAGAACCAAACCTTGAGTGGGGATGGACGTGTGGGTTAGAGATCATGCTGGAATAAGAACATGGAATAGAAACTAATGCAAAAGCAAACTCAGGCACACAAGAGGGAGTGCGGAGATATGTGGAGTATTGGACTTTGTCTCAGTAGATGGGGAAGGAGGTTGTAACATGGAGCACAACAGTGTTGGTCAAAACTATGGCTCACAAATAGTCCCATCCAATTTTTCAAACAATGAAAGGTATAGAAATGGGTCAGAAGTGAGCCTGAGGATGGGAAGATAAATGGATCCACTTTAGAGGAGATGGAAAAAGAATGGGTGGGAGAATAACAAAACACCAGCCTAAAAAGATTCAACTCACCAAGATGACTTAATACCTAAGTCATGATTGAGGTGCACAATTGCAGTGTGTTTTCCAACTTTTTAACTAAGATCCACAGTAATAAATACATTTCATCTGTCACCCCACATATAGTGTCTTCTTAGTACCCTAACAGCTGGCAGGTAGCACAACTAAGACTCAAATCAATGACTGTTTACAAATCTCATGCGGCAAATTGCTGCCCTTTTTTTTTTTTTTTCAGAAAGAGTGGGTCCTGAAACCAAATCAATGTAGTGGGTTGTGACAAGTATTTTTTCAAAAGTAAAATGTTCCTTTTCGGTCGCTGTCCAAAAGTTTGCAAAACAAACATCTAGGGTACACACGGAAATGGAAATGGATGTTATATTAACAGCCAAATGAGGCTATCTCTATACACAGAGGCAACTCTGGGAGAGAAAGTGAGCTAACAATTATGGAGCAGGAATAGGGCCGGAACCTTCACAGGAATTAATTACCCCAATTGACAGATGAAGAAAATGATTCAGTCACACTGCAGTCTAAGGCTGGAAACCACAGGTGTTCGGCGCGCGCCAGCGCTGCTGCACCTGGACGCACGAATACACCTTAAGCACAGCGCGCCAAGTCACTATGCAGCGATACCTCGCCAGTCACCTACGCCCGCTTGTCGGAGATCAGTGCAGCCGCTGTCCCGGGAGTACAGGGCACCCGCATCGACACGCTGGGCGTTAGGACAAACCGGTTGTCCTTGGAAACCCAGCTGCCGGGCTTCACGACCTAGTCGACGATGGTCGAGATCTCCGTAAGCACGACGCGCGTGGCTTGGCCCTTCTGAGCCACTATCCCTAACCCTAGTACGCGCCACTCTCGCGATATGAATGGCCGAAACCCTAGGACTCGTCACTGACCAAACTTCCACAACTAGAGAGGGTCCCACACCCACGCGGGCCCGAACAGTACCTGAGACAGGAGGCGCCTCCGCCATCCCGTGCGTGCCGCAACACCTAGAGCGAGCCCCGCAGTCCAGCGAGCACTGTCACCCGGTCACGTGCCCTAGACTTCCGGCGCCGAGAGAACACTCGCATCAGCACGCCCGGTGGACGGCCACCGAGTTTGCGCGGCGTGAATTACTGTATGGTGCGTGCGTGATGTCAGACAGTGGCGCCAGGCGCCGGGCGGAAGGAGGAGATAAGTGAGGATAGGTTGCAGGGAAAGCGGGTTTGGGGCGGGCGCTCCGGTATTTGCGTAATCATTGTTTCCGTTTTTAAGATTCACTGTTCTCACCTGCTACTATGTCCTTTTGCCCTGCCACCCAACCAATTACATGTGGTCTCCTGGAGTCCGGTTGGACATCATCTTCTTCCTAGAGTAATTCAGGCTTGGGGTTAAAACAACCAAGTAGTCAAAAGTCAATCTTGGGAAAAACTGTCTGCAAAACAAGGGGTAATATACAAAGAACTCTTACAAATCCGGTAGAAAACGATAAAGTACATGTTAGAAATAGTTAAAAACTTGAACAGGCAGATGCCAAAAAATACAGAGGGATACAACCTGAGGTGGGGAGTTGAGAAGCACTGATCATTTTTAAATATGAAATATACAAATTTAAATTAATGTGTGAAGATTGTTTTCTTGTTGCATTACTAAATATAACACAACATTAAAGTATGAAGCATCTACATTTGTAAAGTAATTCTCATTGGTCCAGGCTTCCACAAGAATGTGAAATAGCGTCATTCATTCACATACGTTTTAATGCATACTTTGTCTCAGGCATTGCTTTTTTTTTTGTATCCTCACCGGAGGACATTTTTGCATTTATCTTGAGATAGAGCAGGAGGGAGAGAGGGAGGAAGAGAGAGAGAGAAACATCGACGTGAGAGAGACACATCAACTTGTTGCTACCCACACGACTCCAACCGGATGGGGAAAAACCGCAACCGAGGTTCCCTTAACGGTAACTGAACCCAGGACTCTCTGGTCCGCAGGCCAAGGCTCTCACCATTGAACCAAACTGGCCAGGGCTCAGGCGTTGCTTTAAGTGCTGGAGGTAAATGGTGAAAAAGAGAAATATGATTCCTGTCCTCATGAAGTGCATTGTCTAGTAGGGGAGATAAAAACTAACTTATAGCCCTGGCCAGTTTGGCTCAGTGGTTGGAGCATCGGCTTGCGGACCAGAGAGTCCCAGGTTTGGTTCCCGGTAGGGGCACATACAAAGAAAAACTAATTTATATTTACAAGTTAATATTTGCAAAATCATTAAAATTATGTTGGCAGGGTAATGTGATAGAGACTTACTAAAATTTGCTTCAGAAAAATGTGGCCAGCCCTGGCCAGACAGCTCAGTCAGTCAGTCAGAGCATGGTCCCCATAGCCAAAGTTTGAGGTTTGATCTCCCATCAGGGCACGTACAAGAAGCAACCAATTAATGCATAAATAAGTGGAATTACAAAAATAGATGTTTCTCTTTCCCTCTCTAAAATCAGTAAATTAAATTAAAAAAGAAAAAGAAAAAGTGGCCAGGCTTCTTTCAGTAGAACAAAAGATGAGAAGGATCAAGCTATGTGAAGTTTCAGACAGGGAATAGCATATACAAAATCTATGAGGAAAGAAAGAGCTTGAAGTCTTCAAGGTATTGAAATATTTGCTGGAGAATAGTGAGCAAGAAGAATGACACAGTATGAAATTGAAGAGGTGAGTAAAGAGATCACACAAATCACCTGTAGGCTATGCTGAAAAATTTTATTCCGAGAGCAAAAGGAAGTTACTGAAAAGCTCTAAGCAAAGAAATGGTATCTGGTTGACTAAAGGATTTCTCTTGCTCCTAGGGGAAGAGTGAATTGTAGGGGAGCAAGAAAAGAAGTGGGCAGACCAGTTATATTTTTATATTATGCTAGTGCAGAATATGATGGTGGCCTTGACTAGAGTGAGTAAATGTGGAAAGAAGAGAACATATCTGAAGTATATTTGAGATAACCATTATACAGCTTCCCAGCTTTTTCTAAAACAACAGTTGTGATGTGCACTTATTGTTTGTGTTTCTGATTACTAATGAGTCTGACATTACTTAATGACCTTTTGTTTCCTCTTTTTAAATTGCTTACTTGGCCCTGGCTGGTTTGGCTTAGCGGTTAGAGCATCGGCCTGCAGACCAGAGAGACCCGGGTTTGGTTCCCGCTAAGGGCACGTACCTCGGTTGCAGTTTGTCCCTGACCTTGGTTAGGGTTGTGTGGGTGGCAACCAGTTGATGTCTCTCTCTCACACTAATGTTTCTCTCTTTCTCTTCCTCCCTCTCTCCTTCCTGCTCTATCTGAAGATGAATGCAAAAATGTCCTTGGGTGAGGATTTAAATAAATAAATAAATAAATAAATTATAAATGGCTTATTCATATCCATTTCCCGTTTTCCTATTGGGCTTACTCTTATTTTTCTTGCTGATGGTTTCTTGTATATTACAGATATCAATTCCTTGTTAGTTTTAGACATTTCAGTTTTCATCTTCCATTGTCTATTAAGTTTGTCCTTTTTTGAACATAAATCCTTAATTTTGACAGATCAGTTTATCAAACAAACCTTGTTGCTATCTTTAGAAATTACCAGATCTCAGTCTGGGTCCATTCAGGAGAGAGGAACCACACGGTAATTTGAATAAGGGAGATTTTTTTTTTAATAGTTTTTTTTTTTAATTTTATTTTTTTGTGGTACGTGCCCCTAGTGGGAACCGAACCTGGGACTCTCTGGTCCGCAGGCCGATGCTCAACTACTGAGCCAAACTGGCTGGGGCGAGATTTTATTTATTTAAAGACGAGGCCTGTCAAGCCAAAAAGGCTACAAACTCTGATTCCAATTAAATGACATTCTAGAAAAGGCAAAATGATGGAGACAGTAAAAGGATCAGTGGTCGCCAGGGCTAAGGAGGAGGGAAGGATGAATAGGCAGTGCACAGAAAATTTTTAGGACAGTGAAACTATTCTGTATGGCACTACAATGGTAGGTACATTGTCAAAACCCATAGGATGTATACCGCCAAAAATAAACTACAAACTTTGAGTGATAATGATATATCAACATAGGTTCATGGATTGTAACAAATGTACTATTCTGGTGTAGAATGTCTATAGTTGTGGGGGCAGGAGGGGAGGAGGTTGTGCATGTGTGGGGATAGAGAGTGTATAGGAACTCTGTATTTTATGCCCAATTCCAGTGTGAATCTAAAACTACTCAAAAAAGTAAAGCTTATTAATTTAAAAAATAAATCTCAAATCAATAGCCTAACCCTCTACTAGAAAAATAAGAGCAAATTAAACCAAAACAAGTAGAAGGAAATAAAGGCTAAAGCAGAAATGAATGGAATTAAGAAATAAAAAGAATAATAAAGAAAAATCAACAAAACAAAGTTGGTTCATTAAACGAAAACAAAACTGACCAACTTTTAGCTAGACTGACCAAGAAAAAAAAAAGGGAAAACTCAAATCGCTAAAATTATGAATGAAAAAAGAAACACTACCTACCTTATAGAAATAAGAAAGATCATAAGGGCCCTGGCCATTTTGGCTCAGAGGTTAGAGCGTCGGCCTGCTGTCCAGAGAGATCCGGGTTTGGTTCCCGGTAAGAGTACGTACCTCAGTTCGGTAAGGGCACATACCTCAGTTGCAGTTTGTCTCCAGTCCTGGTTGGGTCGTGTGGGTGACAGCCACTTGATGTGTCCCTTTCACATTGATGTTTCCTTCTCTCTCTCTCTCTCTCTCTCTTCCTCCCACTCTATCTGAACAAAAAATGGAAAATGTCCTTGGGTGAGGATTAAAAAAAAAGATCCTAAAGGAATACCATGAACAACTGTATGCTAACAAATTAGATCACCTACATGAAATGGATATATTTCTAGAAATACACAAGCCAAAATGGACTCAAGAATAAATAAAATCTGCCCTGGCCAGTTTGGCTCAGCAGTTAGAGCACTGGCCTGCAGTCCAGAGAGACCCGGGTTCGGTTCCCACTAAGGGCATGTACCTTGGTTGCAGTTTGTCTCCAGCCCTGGTTGGATCGTGCGGGTGGCAGCCACTCTATGTGTCCCTTTCATGTCGATGTTTCTCTCTCTCTCTCTTCCTCTCTCTCCCTCCCACTCTATCTGAACAAAAAATAGAAAAATGTCTTTGGGCGAGGAATAAAAAAAAAAAAGGATAAATAAAATCTGAATAGAAATAACAAGTGAAAAGATTGAATTAGTAGTAAAAATCTTCCTAGAAAGCCCAGGTCCAGCTGGCTGCCTGGTGAATTCTACCAAATATTCAAAGAATTGACATCAATCCTTCACAAACTCTTCCAAAAAACAGAGGGAATACTTCCCAAATCATTCTCTGGATGAAGTCTGCCTTGGGGTAATCATTGCTTGTATCTTCATTGCAGACATTGATGGCAACATCCCAAACTATTTGTCCATGAAAACAGATTACAGACTGGTTAGTCACCCTAAGGCAGGAGTACACAACTTCTTACACGTAAGAACTACCTGGGGAGCCCTAGTTGGGTAGCTCAACTAGTTAAGAGCATAGTCCCAATAAGCCAAGGTTGTGGTTCAGGGCACACACAAAAGCAACCAATGAATGCATAAATAAGTGGAACAACAAATCAATGTTCTCCCCCTCCCCCCCCCTGCTCCTCCCCTTCCCCTTTCTCTCTCCAAATATTGAAAAAAAAAAAGAACTACCTGGGAGCATTGAAAAATCCAAGTGTTGCCTGGCCGGTTTAGCTCAGCGGTTAGAAACTAGAAGTGATTATTAGAGCATAAAATTGAAAACTGGGACATGGCATGGAGAGAGGCTGAAGAGAAATTTTTCAGGACTCTTACTAGCAAGTAACAGGAACCTAACTCCAACTAGTTTAAGCAAAAAAAGGGGGTTTATTGGCAGAATTCTCAGGTAGCTCACAGAATTAAAGGAAGAGTTGTAGAGACTTGGAGCACTGTGGGAATATCAAGGATCAGAAGTCAGGGCTAAATGCCATGAGGATTCTTTCATTCTGCCTCTTGTGTTGGCTCCTCTCTGGTCTCAATATCTCAGGGTTCTTATATTGACAGTTTAAAAAAAAAAAAAAAAAAGCATTTCCCCTATTTCCACTTAGAAAATTTGATTGATAGACTTCAATGTGCACAGCATAGTCACAAGCCTACTCCCATTGCTCAGAAGAGTAAGGGTAGGACTACTCTAATTGGTATTTTTCCAATAATCACACTTAGAATGGGGGAGTCACCAGTTCTCTAAAAGAGAATTCTGTTCTGAAAGGATTAAGCAATAAACCATTAATGAGAGGCAGGGGATAAGTCATAAGCAGCTTTTATGCCCTACTGGAATAACATGGTCAGATGTGTATTTTAGAAAGGTAAGTATAGCTGTATGTAATGAATGGACTCAAGTAGTGAAATCATGCAAGAAAAGAGCAAATAATTTATTCCAAAAGATTTATGTGAATGATATCTAGGCCTAGGAGAGGAGGGGTTGGATTTGAGAAACACTAAGGGGTTAAAAACAGGGTTTAAGGATTAAGACAACTTGTCTGGCACATGTGGCTCAGTGGTTGAGCGTCCACCCATGCACCAAGAGGTTGCCGGTTCGATTCCTGGTCAGGACACATGCCCAGGTTGTGGGCCAAATCCCCAGTGGGGTGCATGCAGGAGGTGGCCAATTGATGTTTTCTCTCATTGATGTTTTTTTCTCTCTCTCCCCCTCTCCCTTCCTCTCTAAAATCAATAAAGAAAAGAACATTTTTTAAAAGAAAAGGATTGGACAACTCAAGAGTTTTCTGTTTTGAATAGTGAAGGACAATGATTTCATTAACTGAGAGGGGGTTGGGAGAGGGAGGAGAAACCTGAGGAGATTCAGGTCTGAGGGAAAGGTAATGATTGTCTTGGCAATTTGAATGTGAAGTGTTTGTGAGCTTCTGAAACATTCAAATAATTGTTAGGCAAACAGCTGGATATAATCACTAGGATTCTGAAATTCAGGGGCAAGATCAGGGATAGGCCTGCCGCTTTGTGCCCAGCTTATAAAAGTAGCCAAGCAGAGCCAACCCTGAGCCAGTTCAGAGGATCTTCCTTTCCTGTGTGCCTCCCTTCTGCTCGAGCATAAGCTTAATAAAATCTGTATAGAGTCCAGCGGGTGTGGCTCAGTGATTGAGTGTCGACCCATGCACCAAGAGGTCACCAGTTTGATTCCGGGTCAGGATACATGCTCATGTTGTGGGCCCGATCCCCACTGGGGGGCAGGCAGGGGGCAGCCAATTGATGTTCCCTCTCACTGATGTTTCTATCCCTCTCCCTCTCACTTCCTGTCTCTCTAAAAATCAATAAAGAAAAAATATTTTAAAAAGGAAGAAATTTTTTTAAAATCTGTACAGAAATTTCTCTGAGGTTTCCCCTAGATTTCTATCTTGGGGAACCCAAGAAGCCCAATGCCAGTAACAAGGTCTAGCATTAAAAAGGTCTAGCTGGAGGACTGTCACCCATTAAAACTGGCAATATATATGGTTCACTGGTGACACTGGCAACATAAAAATAAAGCAGAAATTGCCCTGGCTGGTGTGGCTCACTTAGTTGAGCATCATCCCTTGCACCAAAAAGTTGCCAGTTTGGCCCTGGCCAGTTTGGCTCAGCAGTTAGAGAGTCGGCCCTCTGACCGAAAGGAGAAGCACATACCTGGGTTGCAGGTTTGATCCTTGGCCCCAAAGTCTTGCGGGAGGCAACCAATTGATGTGTGTGTCTCTCTCCTTTCCTCCCTCCCTTCCACTCTATCTAAAAATCAATGGAAAAATATCCTTAGGTGAGAATTAACAATAACAAAAAAGGTCACCAGTTTAATTCCAGGTCAGGGCACATGCCTTAGTTGTGGGCTCTATGCCTAGTAGGGGTATGCAGAAGGAAGCCAATTGATGTTTCTCTCCCTTCCTCTCCCTGTAAAACCAACACACACACACACACACACACACACACACACACACACATTTTAATGTTTTTATTGATTTTTTAGAGAGATGAAGAGGGAGAGAGATAGAAACATTGATGAGAGAGAAACATTGATCAGCTGCCTTCTGCACACCCCACACCAGGGATCGAGCCTGAAACCCAGGCATGTGCCCTGACCGGGAATTAAACCAGCGACCTCTTGGTGCATGAACTGATACTCAACCACTGAGCCACACTGGTCTGATGACAAAAACATATTTTTTTAAAAATTACTATTTCTTTTTGTTATTGTTAATCCTCAGTGGAGAGTAATTTTTCCATTGATTTTTAGAGAGAGTGGAAGGGAGGGGGGAGATGGAAAGAGAGAAACATTGATATGAGACACATTGATTGGTTGCCTCCTGCTCGCCCCCACTCCTACCAGGGCTGCGCAACCTAGGTGTGTGCCCTTGACCAGAGTCAAACTGGTGACTACCTGGTGGGTAGGCTGACGCTCTAACCATTAACCAATGCTGGCTAGGGCAAAAAAATTACTACTTCTCAAAAAATGAAATAAAGCAGGAATATGCCCTGGCCAGTTTGGCTCAGCAGTTAAAGCGTCAGCCCACAGACCAGAGGGTCTCGGGTTCAATTCTGGCCAAGGGCACATACCTCAGTTGTGGTTCGGACCCTGGCCCTGGTCAGGGTTGTATCCTCAGGTGAAGAGTTAATTAATTAATTAAATAAATAGATAGATAAATAAATAAAGCAGGAATGTTTGCTGGCAGAGAAGCCTAAAGTATTAAAGTTAATCTGGATGTTAGATTGTTTTTAGGTAATGGTGGGACGATTTTTTTTATTTTTTTATCCTCACCCGAGGACATTTTTTTTTTTCCATTTTTTGTTCAGGTAGAGTGGGAGGGAGAGAGAGGAACAGAGAGAGAGAGAGAAACATCGACGTGAAAGGAACACATCGAGTGGCTGCCACCCGCATGACCGACCAGGGCCGGGGACAAACTGCAACCGAGGAGGTACGTGCCGAGTGGGAGGGAGAGAGAGGAACAGAGAGAGAGAGAAACATCGATGTGAAAGGAACACATCGAGTGGCTGCCACCCGCACGACCGACCAGGGCCGGGGACAAACTGCAACCAAGGTATGCACCCTTAGCGGGAACCGAACCTGGGTCTCTCTGGACTGCAGGCCAGTGCTCTAACCGCTGAGCCAAACCGGCCAGGGCAGGGACGATTTTTTTTAAAGTATACTTTCATTGATTTTTTTAGAGAAGAAGGGAGAGATAGAAACATCCATGTGAGAGTGATACATCGATTGGTTGCCTCCTGCATCTCCCCCACCGGGGATTGAGCCTACATCTGGAGCATGTGCCCTGACCAGGAATTGAACCGGGGCCTCTCAGTCCATAGGATAATGCTCAATCCACTGAGCCACACCAGCTGGGCAATGGTGGGACATTTAATTGGGAATGCCCAGAACATTAAATAATAAAAAGGTCTAGACTATTGAGTTACTTTGAGTCATTAGTGCATAGGTAACAGTTAAAATCATGGTTGTAAGATATCTCAAGGAGAGTATAAAGGTGAGAAGTCCAAAACTGGAACTATAATAGAAGAAATATTTAAAGGGCCAAGTGAAAACTTGTAGGAAAGTCAAGGAAGGTTTTAAGAAGGTAATGATGAATAATAGTATGTTCGTTACCACTGGAAGGCTTCTTGGGAGAGTGAGTTTAGTGGGGGTGGGAGAGGATTATATCCCACCTATAACTAGACAGTGAAGTTTTGAAGAGAGGAACTGTGGTTGTTTTCGATACCCCCAGGGTTGGTATAGAGACTCTACAGAGTTGGTATTCAATAGATATTTATTGGAGTGACCTGCTGACACATGAAAGGCTGGTACATGTGGCATTGTGAGGTACCCAGTGAGGTGGAGGAAGGAATGCTGTTAGTGAGAGGCTGAGTGAGAAGAGGATGGGTCATTAAAGGCCCTGAAATGAGGCAGTAACGTGGGCTTGCTGTCGCACTCCCAAGAGAAGATGCCCTTGTTTTTCTACTGTTAATAATCCCTCATATGAAAATAGCATGTTGCAATTAACAAAGTACTTATGACAATTACCTCAATTATTTCTCATAAGAGCCTTGTGAGGTAAGCACAATTTTACTAATAAGGAAATAGAAGTGAGGAGGCTAACTTAGTAGTTATTAGATGGCAGACCCAGGGCCCAAGCCTGGATTGTTCCTCGCTCTTTCCTCTATACCACAATGCCACTGGGTAAATTCAATTTCTGTAGTGGAGTTTTTAGGCTGAATTGATATTAAAAGTACATTAGATTTGGTTTCTGCAGTGGATGTTTTAAGCAGAAGTGCTATTATTAAAGTTATATCCTTTTGAAAAATATTTATTGAATATAAATAAATGTCTTATACATTAAATATCAAGAAATATTCATTATTGATTACAAGTCAGGCTGTAATACTGAGGGAACCATAGAATCAAAATATCCACTCATAACATAGTAATAATTCCATTCCACTATTGGACACAGTAATGATTTACTCACAAGACACAAGACACAACAAAACTCATCAAAAAAGGCCATCACTTTAACCAACCTATAATACCACTATAGAAAATGATTTTGAATCATAATATGAACAGTCCCAATAATCCCATCTGCCTTACCAATTTATCAGATCGATTTGAGATTGTGGAGTTATACTATCATAAAATCTAAAGAGTCTAATTTCCTTGGTTTTATTTCAAATTGTTACTGAGAAATGAAATCATACATAGTCACTGATACTTTTAAGTAAGTCAGTCTTTTTAAAAGGGAAAAGGAATAAAAATCTAGTACAAAGAAAGCATTCCCTAAATGTGAGTTTCTTAACGGAAAAAAATAGCAATGTAATTAACTTTTCCTTCAAAGAAAGGAGAAAAATCATAATCTGTTATGGCAAATTTGGAAAGATAAATATTTCCTAGTCCCAGAATATGTGTTTATTTTACATGATATACTTAAATGGTAAGTCTATGAAGTCTATAAGTCTATGAAGCAGGGATCTGTGGCAATCCAAATTCATCCACCAGAACTCCATCCTGTAAAAAGGGAACAATGTTTAGTGCCACTATTTTTGTTTTTAATTTTTTTATTAAATTTATTGGGGTGACATTGGTTAATAGAATTGTATAGGTTTCAATATAATACAAGATCTGTATACTGCACTTGTGTGTCCACCATCCAAGGTCAAACCATCTTCTGTCACTGTATATTAGGCTCCCTCCACCCCCAACCACCTCCCTATCCCTTTCCCTCTGGTAATCACCACACTGCTGTCTGTGTCCACATGTTTCAGTTTTATATCCCACACATGAGTGAAATCATATGGTTCTTACTTTTTCTGACTGACTTATTTCACTTAGCACAATATTCTCATAGTGCCATATTTTTCAATTGATAAAAAAATGATTACAAGTATTTAGTAGTTAAAACTCATCTCCAAGTGTTTAATCAATGAAAATAAAAATTCCACTCAGAAAATGAGAATGATTTTTTTTTGTTCAGCTAGAGTGGGAGGGAGAGAGAGGAAGAGAGAAACATCCACGTGAAAGAGACACATCAAGTGGTTGCCACCCGCACAATCAACCAGGGCCAGGAACAAATTGCAACCGAAGCACGTGTCCTTAGCGGACACTGAACCCGGGTCTCTCTGGACCGCAGGCCGACACTCTAACGGCTGAGCCAAACTGGCCAGGGCGATTTTTTTTTTTTTTATGAAAGGTAAAGAATGAAGTGATGAACCTGGAAAAGAACTGGAAGAGATCAAAAGGGGTTATCTTTGCAGAGTAAAGGAAGAGTAAGAGAGAAAGAACTTAAGTGTAAATCCAGAAGGGGAAAATGGGTCTGGGAGGGTCCAGGAGGAAAGGCCAAGGAGTTAATCCTTGCCTACAGATTCCCATTTTCACTTTGATCCCTAAATCGAACACTGAACTTTTATAGCCTCCCAAGTCCTTGAAGGAGCAGTGCCCTAGATCAGGCAGCTACTGCCATATCATGCTGTTCTTCAAACTTACAGGCAGTAATATCACTATCAGTGAAGAAACTAATATCCTGCCCTGGCTGGTTTGGCCCAGCGGTTGCAGGGTCACAGGCTTGATTCCTGGTCAAGGGCACGTACCTGGATTGCAGGTCTGATCCTGGCCTAGGCAACCAATTGATGTGTCTCCTTTACATGGATGTTTCTCTCTCTCTCTCCCGCCCCCTCCCTCCCATCAACTCTATCTAAAACTCAATGGAAAAATATCCTCGGGTGAGGATTAATGAAAAACAAACACACAAACAAAAAAACAACCATATCCCAACAGCACTTTAACTTAGAAACCTGTGACTTGGGCATGTGCCCTGACCAGGAATCAAACTGGTGACCTCTTGGTCACCTGGTGACCTGAGCCACAGCAGCCAGGCATGTTCCACTTATTTATGCATTCATTGGTTGATTCTTGTGTGTGCTCTGACCAGGAATTGAACCTGCAACCTTGGCATATCAGAACAATGTTCTAATCAACTTCGCTACCTGGCCAGGTCTTGTTGCCCAAATTTTATAGGTAGAAAAATATAGATGAGATTGAGAGAGAAGACACAAATTGCTAATTTGCTATAGTCACACGGTGAATAAAGGCAGAGGTCAGACTGGCTCCCACTCAAGGATTCTGTCAGTTATATTAGGCATACTCAATGTACACGCGGGAGTTAAGGCAAACACCAGGACTGTAAATGTCCAGTGGCAACAAAAAAAATCACATACTACACCGAGAACTAAGATGAAGTAAACAGGATTTTATATGCAGCAAATTTTTATCTGTTTACAATAATGATAACCATGTTGCTTGGGACAGGTCTTTAAGTTCACAAAGCCATTTTATATACAAGATCTAATCTGATCTACACAACAACGTGAGACTGTAGCTGCAAGGAACAGAGTTCAAAACAGCTAAGTGATTTGCTTAAATCTTACAGTCAGTGGTAGAGACTTAAATCCAGGTGTCCTGCTTCTTTTACCATATTGAATTAGAATCTTTCTACGTTAAGTTTTACTTTTATTGTATTTTTTGTTAATCCTCACCTGAGGATATTTTTCCATTGATTTTTAGAGTGGTGGGAGGGAGGGAGGGAGAGAGAGAGAGAGAGAGAGAGAGAGAAAGAGAGAGAGAGAGAGAGAGAGAAAGGGGGGGGGGAGATAGAAACAGTAAAAAAAAAAAAAAGATAAGAAAAAGCCCTGGCCAGTTTGACTCAGCGGTTGGAGCGTTGGCCTGTGGACCAGAGAGTCCCAGTTCGGTTCCCAGTAGGGGCACATACCAAAAAAAAGAGAGAGAAACAGTGATGTGAGAGAGACATATCTATTGGTTGCCTCCCACATGACCCTGACTGGGGCCAGGGAAGGAATCTGCAACCCAGGTATATGCCCTTGACCAGGAACAAATCCTGAGACTCTTCGATCCACGGGCTGATGTTCTAACCACTGACCCAAACCAGCCAGAGCTACATTAAATTTTATATTTAAATTAGTAATCCTGCCCTGGCCGATTTTGCTCAGTGGTTAGAGCATCAGCCCGTGGATCAAAGAGTTGCAGGTTTGGTTCTGGTCATGGGCACGTGCCTTGGTTGCGGTTTGTCCCCAGCCAGCTGGGGTTCGTGTGGGAGGCAACCAGTCAATGTGTCTCTCTCACATCATTATTTCTCTCTCTCTCCCCCTCCCTCCTATTCTATCTAAAGATAAATATAGAAATATCCTTGGGCCCTGGCTGGTTTGGCTCAGCGGTTAGAGAGTTGGCCTGCGGTCCAGAGAGACCCGGGTTCGGTTCCTGCTAAGGGCATGTACCTTGGTTGCAGTTTGTCCCTGGCCCTGGTTGGGTCGTGTGGGTGGCAGCCACTCGATGTGTACCTTTCACATCAGTGTTTCTCTCTCTCTCTCTTCCTCTCTCTCCCTCCCACTCTATCTGAACAAAAAATGTCCTCAGGTGAGGTTAAAAAAAAAAAAAAAATCCTTGGGTGCCCTGGCCAGTTTGGCTCAGCAGATAGAGCGTTGGCCAGTGGAACGATGAGTCGCAGGTTCGATTCTGATCAAGAGCACTCACCTCTGTTGCGATTCGTCCCTGGACCTGGTTGGGGTCGTGTGGGAGGCGCCCACTGGATGTGTCCCTTTCACATGGATATTTCTCTCCCTCTCTCTCTCCTTCTTTCTCCCTCCCACTCTATCTGAATAAAGGTGAAAAAATGTCCTCTGGTGAGGATAAAAAATAATATATATCCTTAGGTGAGGATTAAAAAAATAATAATAAAAAATAAAAATTAGTAATCCCTAGTTTAAAAATATTCACCCTCAAATAACCAATGTGCTGGAGAGTAGAACTTTCTTTTTACACTGCTGCCTAGCACGGTTCATGCATGTGTTGCTGATGCTTTTCCAGGTAATGTCTAAAACCTATAAATGGCACTCAGTGCAAGTTCACAACAAGGGTAATTTGTAATATTATACACATTGTCATTATAGAAAAACATTCCTGGGTCTCTGTGACACTATTTACACAGCCTGACCATAACCCAACGTAGAAAATTGGGCTTTCAAGGATACCCAAAATAATGATTGAGAAGTCTTTTCTTGTTCTAACTTAGGAGTACCTTTTAGATTCTCAGACTGGTGATTAAGCATAAACCTTTATAATTTGCATAGAAAATATAAACAGAAAAAGCTTTCACCTTATTCTTTGTGTCAGTGGGAACACCTTCTGGAATTGCAGGTGCAGATGCTGCTTCATCCAAGTAAGAACTATCTTCATCAGCCAGAAGCTCATCACCCAGTGCATCCAACTCTGAAATGGAAATAGTCAACATTTCAAAAGCATGTAATCAAGAAAACTGGCAGCTCATGTTAAGAAAGCCAAATTATTTGCCCTGGCCTGTGGCTCAGCAGTTAGAGTCAGCCCGCGAACCAATGAGTCACGGGTTCGATTCCTGTCAAGGGCATGTACCTCGGTTGCAATTCATCCCCAACCTTGGCTGGGGTTGTGCAGGAGGCAGCCAGTCAATGTGTCCCTTTCACATCGACATTTCTCTTTCTCTTTCTCTCTCTCTCTCCCCCTCGCCCCTCCCCCTCCCTTCCACTCTATCTGAACAAAAGTGAAAAATGTCCTCAGGTGAGGAAAAAAAAAAGAAAAGAAAGCCCTATTATTTATAAGATGAATATTTAAAAACAAAGGCAGCCCTGGCTGGTGTGGCTCAGTTGGGTTGAGCATTGTCCCATGCACCAAAAGGTTGCCGATTCAATTCTGGGTCAGGATATATGCCCAAATTGCAGGTTCAATCCCTGGTTGGGGTGTATATAGGATGCAACTGATTGATTCTCTTACACTGATGTCTCTCTCTCTCTAAAAAGATTGATAAAACCGTATTTAAAAAAATAAAATAAAAACAAAGGGGAAGGGATTATTAATTTCCATTTTCAAAATAAACGATTACCATTTTAAGAAATTATTAAAGGCCTTAGCCGGTTTGGTTCAGTGATTAGAGCGTTGGCCTGCAGAACAAAGGGTCTCGGTTTCGATTCCCAGTCAAGGGCATGTTACCTGGGTTGCAGGTTGGATCCCCAGCCCTTGTCAGGGCACATGTGAGAGGCAACCAATTGATGTTTCTCTTTTTCTCTCTCCCTCCCTCCCACTCTATATAAAAATCAATAGAAAATATCCTCAGGTGAGGAGTAAAAAAAAAAAAAAAAGGAACTGATGGGGTAAAGGCTATGAAAAAACAAAATAAAAATAAAACAAACAATCTGGCTGGTTGAGTGACGACCCATGCACCAAGAGGGTGCTAGTTCGATTCCCAGTCAGGGCACATGCCAAAATGTGGGCCAAATCCCCAGTGGGGGGCATGCAGGAGGTGGCCAATCGATGTTCTCTCTCATCGATATTTCTATCTCTCTCTCCGTCTCCCTTCCCCTCTCTTTAAAAAAAAAAATCAATAAAGAAAAAAAAATAAATAAATAAAACAAAACGAACATTCCCTATGGGTTTATAAGGCCCCCAGCCTTCATGAGAGGACTCTATAGTTATCAGCCAATTCAAATAAGAAAATCCTGATTATAACAAATGTAAAAAAATCTCTCTCATTTATTGATGAACTTTAAAGAAGACAACCCAAATAGAAGAAATTGCTATATACTGAGTGATCATTACATGAATCAGGCTTTTAAAAAAAGTCTATGGATTCGAGAGTGACCAGGAGGAATGACAATAGCAGGCAGAGACTCATTAGGGGAAACTCTAGATGGGAATTAAGAAAATAAAGAAATTAATAGGGGGAGAGTTGTTCTAGGCAAAAGCAGAACATGGAGAGAGAGGAGAGGGAGGGAGGGAAAAAGGGAAAGACGGAAAGATGGAGGGAGTGAGGAAGGGAGGGAGGGAGGGAGGGGGAGAGAGGGGGAAAGAAGGAGGGAGGAAAGGGGAGAGAGAGAGAGAGAGAGAGAGAGAGAGAGAGGCAGCAGTAATGTTATAGAAAATGCAGTGTAGGATGGTTCTGCCATCTACCCAGGTACTCATGCTAGAAATTGGCAGACATCCCTAATACTTCCCTCTCCCTCCATATCCAATCAATTATTAAGTCTTGGCCGTTCAACTTCCTAAAATTTCTTCAATCTGTTCACTTCTCTGTTTCTGCTATACAACCTTAGTCTCAAACACCAGCATCTCTTAAAGATTATAGCAATATTTTTTTTTGTTGGTTTTTTTTATCCTCACCCGAGGACATTTTTCCATTTTTTGTTCAGATAGAGTAGGAGGGAAAGAGAGAGAAACATTGACGTGAAAGGGTCACATCGAGTGGCTGCCTCCTGTACAACCCAACCAGGGCCAGGGACAAATTGCAACCAAGGTACATGCCCTCAGCGGAACTGAACCCGGGTCTCTCTGGACCACAGTTCCAATGCTCTAACTGCTGAGCAAAACCAGCCAGGGCATATAGCAATTTTTTTTTTCTTTATTGATTTGAGAGAGAGGAAGGGAGAGGGAGAGAGATAGAAACATCGATGAGAGAGAACTGGCTGCCTCCTGCATGCCCCCCACCAGGGATCTGGCCCACAACCTGGGCATTTGCCCTGACTGGGAGCTGAACTGGCAACCTCTCGGTGCATGGGTTGACACTCAACCACTGAGCCACACCAACCGGGCTATAGCAATCGTTTTTGTAAGAATATGTTTCTATTGATTTTAGAAGGAGAGGGAGGGAGAGAGAGAGAGAGAGAGAGAGAGACATTGAGGTGAAATCGATGGGCTGCCTCCTGCACTTCACCTACTGGGGATGGAGTCCACAATCCAGACATGTGCCCTGACCAGGAATGGAACCTGTGACCTTTTGGTGCATGGGACGACGCTCAACCAACTGAAACACACTGGCCAGGGCACAGCAATGGTTTTTAAATGACTTTCCCTGAGGCCACCCAACGACACTTCCCTTTTTTTCCTACTAACTGCTACTCATACTTCAGTTCCCATGCCTGTTCCCCACTCCCAAATACATTAGATTCCCCAGCTATGTGTTTCATGGTACAGTGGGCCCTCATTTATCGCAGTTAATCAGTTCCAGACTCTACCGCGATAAATGAATTTCCACAAAGTAGGATTCTTTATTTATATACAGTTGTCCCCTGCCACTTCACGCTTTGACTTTCGCGGATTCACTTTATCAGTTTTTTCAAATACTATACTATATACTATACTTGAAAAAACCACAACAGAATGAAGACGCGAAAGTCGAAGCACAAAGTGGCGAGGGACGACTGTACCCCATACTTCTCCTATCATTTGTGCTCTTGTAATTAACTACTTGAAAGAAGCAGATTCTTACCCCTAGCTCAAGAAACTTTATGAATGCAGGGGTCATACTTGTTTTCTCCAATGCTGAATGCCCAACACCTAACAGCGTCTGGCATATAGTAGATGCACAATAAGTATTTGCCAACTACTGTTTCTTGATCTGCTTTGCTATTCTCAGGGAGAGGAGTCCAAGTAGCAACATAGGGAGAACAAAATCACAAGGAAAACAGCCAAGGAAAGGCAATGTTTAGATACCAAGCACTGGGTCAGCAGAGGCCTTTGCGTGGACCTCCCTTCAGAGCTTGTCCATCCCAGAGTTGTTGGTGGAGTATGCAAGTCCAATGTGGCTTCCTCACAAGCTCTCTTCCCAAAGACTATTCCATAAACTGTATCTCAAGGAACTGTCACAGGAATTTTCTCTAACATTTGGGAAAAGGTTTTAGTCAGCTGCTCCTTTCAGACTCTGAAGCTACATTTACAGTTTTCCCCATAACTTACCTGCTTCTAGGTCATCTTCATCTAACTCTGGGGTGCCATAACTACGACTCAGTGCTTCTTGGATTTCGTTTGCGTCTTCCATCATATCTTCTAGCTGGTCTTGTAAATCCTATAGGAATATATGACGAGATTTTTATTCATTTCTTACCATTTTTCTCTACCTCTTTTTAAAATTTTTATTTATTTTTTTCTTGATTTTTTTTAGACAGAGAGCAACATCGATTGGCTGCCTCCTACACACCCTCTACTGGGTACCAAGCCTGAAACCCAGGCATATGCTCTGACTAGGAATCAAACTAGGACCTCTCAGTCCATGGGATAACATTCAATCCACTGAGCCACACTGGCTGGGCTTTTTCTACCTCTTGCCCTATCTGCTCCTCTTATTCTTAGAAAGGAGTAATTTTTAAAAAGATGGGTGTACAAAAATGCAGAGTACAGAACAAGTTCTCCACAACTGTTAGTTACCTCTTTTTTTTTTTTTTCAATCCTCACTCAAGGATACTTTTCCATTGTTTTTTATATACAGTGAGAGGGAGGAAGGAAGAGAGAGAGAAACATCGATGTGAGAGAGACACACTGACTGGCTGCCTCCCACACGACCCTGACCAGGGCCAGGAATGAACCACAACCAAGGCACATGCTCTTGACTGGAATTGAACCCATGACTCATTGGTCCGAGGGCCGATGCTCCAACCTCTGAGCCAAACTGGCCAGGGTGCAACATTACTACTTTACAACAGAGAAAACAGACTCAAAAATCACTGAGTTGGAATAGGAAACTGGGTGCTTATTTATTGGTGCTTATTACATGCCAGGCATTGTGCATGTAGATACACCAGTTCATTTATTTCATCTTCATAATAACCATATGTGGTATTGGGAGTCTTGCATTAACAAGGAAAGTGAGACCTGTGGTACCCTTTCCCAAAGTTACTTATTAGTAAATGGCAGGCCCAAGACTCAATTCTTCTTCTGTACCCTTCCCATCACATACACATTCATTTGGATTCTTTTAGAAACTAGTGTATTCTTACAGAAAACAGAATACATCTCACCTCGATCTGGTCAATTTTCACTTGCTTGTACGCTTTCTTCATTTCCTTTACTCCCAGTTTCATAGCATCAACCTTAAAAAAAGGTTAAGAGAAAACACAATGTCTTAAGAAGCCACGCTGGTTAATGTCTTTTAAAAATCATAGGAAAAGAGCACAAGAGTACAAAAATTAAATCTAATTATAGAAAAGGTGCTATGGAAGTACCGTGGTCTTGGTGTCCTTCAATGACTGGATGGTGTAATTGGCTTGTTCCATGTTAAATGACTGCTGGGCGAGATTGTCCCGCTGCTGCTCATACCTTTTTAGAGTGAATTGAGAATGGCAAATGTGAACCAGATATAAATCCTGAGGAAGAAAGTATCTCTAATACTAAATAAAATAATTTTCTTTAAAATAAATATAGAAAAAATTGGCCAAAACAATCACTCTAATCCAGTGATTCTCAACCTTTTTCACCTCACAACACATATAAACTAATTATTAAAACTCTGCAGTACACCAAAAATAAATTTTTTGTTGATCTGACAAAAAAAAAAAAAAGGTATAATTTTGATTCATTCACACGGAATTGCATATTTTTATTTGGCAATCTAAGGGGAAAAAGGTCAGTACCCCTAACTAAATATCAGGTACAGCATGTTTTATAAATTCTTGCAGCACCGCTGTTGAAAATTGCTGCTTTAACCAAATACCATTTGATGTATCCTTCCAATCTTTTTCTTTTGTATGTATTTTAGTAGTAATATAATTTCCCATTTAATATTATAACATTTGTTACTTCAAAGTCTTAATATGTATGTCTTTATAATGTTTTACATTGTTTCCTATGCTAAATTCCCAGAAGTAGAATTCTGGGGCAAAGGGTAAGACTATTTTTAAGGCTCTTTATACATAAAGTGAAGCTATTTTTCCAGTAAACTGAACTCCTTGAGGACAGGTATTATATTTTATTAATGTTGTATCCATAATTAGGTAACCCATCTGACCTAATATAAAACCTGGCACTCAAACTATGTTTTTCAAATAAAGTTTTATATGAAAGTTTAATACCACCTCAAAGATTTACACTATTATATTCTTGTTTTGTTGTCGTCAATCGTCATCTGAGGATATTTTTCCATTGATTTTTAGATAGAGTGGAAGGGGGGGAGAAGAGAGAGAGAGAGAGAGAGAGAGAGAGAGAGAGAGAAATATTCTTGCACATCTCCAACTGAGGCCAGGGGTTGAACCTGCAACCCAGGAATTGAATCTGAGACCTTTCGGACCTCGGGCAGATGCTCTAACTATTGAGCAAAATTGGCCAGGGCTGTCATTACATCCCCCCCCCCCCTTTATTGATTTTAGAGAGAGGAAGGGAGAGGGAGAGAGAGAAAAAACATCGATGAGAGAGAACATCTACTGGCCACCTCCTGCATGCCCCCCCACTGGGGATCAGGCCCACAACCTGGGCATGTGTCCTGACTGGGAATCAAACTGGCAACCTCTTGGTGCATGGGTCAACGTTCAACCACTGAGCGACACTGGTCAGACTCATTAGATTCTTTATACAATATTTGGAAGCCATCTAATTGTCCAACCAGGAGAAAAATGGTCGATTCATGGTGTAGGCAAATGGTGGTGGAATATTAAAAAGTGTAAGTTTCCAAAGAATATTTAAAAGGACAAAGAATGGCCAGTTTTGCTCCGTGATTAGAGCATTGGCCCGCAGACTGAAGGGTTGTGGGTTTAATTCCTGGTCAAGGGCACGTACCTGGGTTTCAGGTTCCTGTGCAAGACACAACCAATCAATACGTCTCTCTCACATTGATGTTTCTCTCTCTCTCTCCCCCCATCCCTCCCTCCCTTTCACTCTCTCTAAGAATCAATGGAAAAAATATCCTCAGGTGAGGATTAACGATAAATAAATAAATAAAATAAAGGACAAAGAAATGATATAAACATTAAATAGAAAAAGATACCTATAGACATGCCATTTTTTATCTTCTAAAATATGTGCACATACACAAGTTCAGAAAAGAAGCTGTAAGAAATCAGCATTTTAAAGGTGGTTATTTCTGATAGTAGGAATCTAGGTGAATTTTCTTTTCTTCTACTCATGTTTATGTATTTTCCAAGTTTCTACAATGAACATGTATCCTTTTATCAAAAAAGAAGTTACTTAAAACTTTCAAAGTTACCAATTAAGGAGACATTATCATATTATCACCACTCTAGGTATTACAATTTTTTTCCAATTTTGTCTAATCTAAAAAGAGTAAGACGATATCTGATGTCTTATAAAAAGTCATCTTATAAATAGGAAAAGAGATATCAACAATCTTTCTGGCTCCTTATTAGTTGATTACATCTGACCTGTACAACCCTGCAAAAGTCTCTTTAGCTGGACAGCCCACAAGGGTAAACAACAAAGATACTATTTGGCTTCTGCTCAAACACTGGGATATTGTCACCCAAAGCAGATTAAGGACCCTTAAATCTTGTGGTGGGAGGGAACAAATATTCAAGATTTTCAATTTTACAAACAAAAATTAAAACGGCACACTATAATTAAATAATTAACGGGAGAACCAAACTCTCTAGATCTAGGCAGTCCAATACAGAAGGCTACCAGCCACATATAGTAACTTAAACTTAAATTTAAAATTAAATAAAATTAAAGCTTCAATTCCTAGTCATACTAGCCATATTTCAAGTGCTCAATAGCTACCCATGGCTAAGAGCTTCTGAACTGGACAACATAAATATAGAACATCACTATCATAGCAAAAAGTTCTGGGTAAATGGATGGTGCTACAACAGATGTTGCTGAATACACGGGGAGGAAATAACCCAGCTAACTATATATGTAAAAGAAATTTGTAATTAAATAAAAAATGCTTACAAAATGGCATAAAAACCTGAAGGAATGGAAAATTATTTCTTTTGATCAAACCTGTGGAAGAAAGGAGATTATGCCTATAACTTACATCCGCTTTTGCTTTAAAACCCGTAAGGCTTTCTGCTTGACCATATTCTGAGGAGAAAAACAGATTTTAATGAAAAGAAGTAGAAAACATACATATGGTAAAAGAAATCTCCCATATCTCCAAATGTACTTATCTACTTATTCTCTTCTTCAAATTAGCAGATATAGTGGCTCCTGGATTGTTCTTCACTTCCCAAGCACAGTCTTTAAGACTCAATAATTTGGCCCTGGCTGGTTTGGCTAAGCCGTTAGAGCGTCAGTCCGCGGACGAGAGACCTGGGTTCGGTTTCCGCTAAAGGCATGCACCTTGGTTGCAGTTTGTCCCCAGCCTGGTTGTGGTCATGTGGGTGGCAGCCATTCAGTGTGTGTCTCTCTCTCTCTCCCTCCCACTCTATATGAAGATAAATGCAAAGGTGTCCTCGGGTGCGGATAAAAAATAAAATAAAAAAATAAGACTTAATTTGGCCCTGGCCTATGTGGCGCAGTGGTTAGAGCACAAGCACGTGCCTGGGTTGCAGGATCTATCCCTGGCCCGGTCGGGGTGTGTGTGGGAAGCAACCAATTAATGTGTCTCTCTTCCTCTCTTTTCGCCTCCCTTCCTCTGTCTCTAAAAATCAATGGAAAAGCCGTGGCCGGTTTGGCTCAGTGGTCTGGAGAGACCCGGGTTTGGTTCTTGCTAAGGGCATGAACTTCGGTTTCAGTTTGTCCCCAGCCCTGGTTGGGTCGTGCGGGTGGCAACCACTCAATGTGTCACTCACTCAATGTGTCACTTTCACATCGATGTTTCTCTCTCTCTCTCTCCCATGCTATCTGAATAAAATATGGAAAAATGTCCTCGAGTGAGGATAAAAAAAAAAAATCAATGGAAAAAATATGCTCAGGTAAGGACTAAAAAAAAAAAAAGACCCAGTTTGTCTCTGCCCTTGCATCCCACATCTCAGTGTATGAACTGCATGTCTTTTTTTTTTTTTAATCCTCACCCAAGGACATTCTTGCATTTATCTTAAGACATAGCGGGAAGGAGAGAGAAACATCGATGTGAGAGAGACACATTGAATGACTGCCACCCACACAACCCCAACTGGGGCTGGGGACAAACTGCAACCAAGGGACGTGCCCTTAGCAGGAACCGAACCCAGGACTCTCTGGTCCATGGGCCAATGCTCTAACCGCTGGGCCAAACCGGCCAGGGCCTGCATGTCTTTTTCCTAGTGCATATTAATTCCACCCCAAGGACAACAGTGCTGATTTTGTATATCCAGTTGCTTTAGGAGATCCCCAACTTGTACATCCTACTATCCACTCAAACTCTACACACAAACTCCTCAACTTGCTCTCTCTTTGGAAATGTCTAACAATAGCCAATCTCTCGCTTCTCTAGGTTGAGAATCTTTACATCAACCTTACCTTTTCTCTCTGTTGTCTCTTCATGAATAGTTATCTTGTTACTGATTTTCAGAACTCACTTTCAAATTGATTTATGTCATTCTCATGAGTATTACCATGGTTTAAGCTTTCATCTCTTCAAGTCTAGATGAGCTTTCCTGCCTCTGGTCACTCTTCATTCCACACCATCAACTAAGATGACTGAGAAAAGCCTCTTTTCACTTCCTTTTCTATACCATTAATCTTTTTTTTTTTTTATCCTCACCCGAAGACTTTTTTTTTTTGATATTTTGTTCAGATAGAGTTTCAATGACATGAAAGGGACACATTGAGTAGCTGCCACCCACACGACTCAACCAGGGCAGGGACAAACTGCAACCGAGGTACGTGCCCTTAGTGGGAACCGAATCCAGGTCTCTCTGGACCGCAGGCTGACACTCTAACCACTGAGCAAAACCAGCCAGGGCCCATAAATCATTTGTCTCCTCCAATGAAGAAGGGGAAGCAAATATTACTTCACAGACAATAATAATACCTAACCCTTACTGAATGTTTCTTTTTTTTTCCCTTTACTGATTTTAGAGAGAGAGGAAGGAAGAGGGAGAGAGAAATAGAAACATCGATGAGCAAGAACACTGATTGGCCGCCTCCTGCATGTCCCCCACCGGGGATCAGGCCCACAACCTAGGCATGTGCCCTGACCGGGAATCAAACTGGAGACCTCTTGGTGCATGGGTCAGCACTCAACCAGTGAGGCACAATGGCCACACCTGATGTTTCTATGTAGTAGACACAATGCTTTGTAGGTCACATGAATTACCTCATTTAATCTTCACACTATAAAGTAGACATCATCCCCATTTTACAGATGGAAAAACAGATTCAGTGATGCTAAGTAACTTGCCCTAACTCAAATGGTTAATATTATATAGATGGAAGCAAAGAAGATAGTTCTATATCCACAGTCCATGCACTTTAATATAGTATTCTATACTTCCACCTAACATAATGGTTCTCAGCCTTCCTAATGCCGTGACCCTTTAATACAGTTCCTCATGTTGTATATGGATGTATCTGCATGTGGGCGGAACCTGCCTGGAGACTGGATGGAGGAGCAGTGTCTCAGTTCCTAAGACCATTGGAAATATGTATTTTCCGATGGCCTTAGGGGACCCCTGTGAAAGGGTCGTTTGACCCCCAAAGGGGTTGGAACCCACAGGTTGAGAACCGCTGACCTAATGGAAGAGGAAAATAAGAAATTAAATGACTTTGAAAAGAGCTCCAGGTGCCCTGGCCGGTTTGGCTTAGTGGTTAGAGCGTCAGCCAGTGGACCAGAGAGTCCCAGGTTTGGTTCCCACTAAGGGCATGTACCTCGGTTGCAGTTTGTCCCTTCCGGGTCATATGGGTGGCAACCACTCAATGTCTCTCTCTCACATCGATGTTTCTCTCTCTCTCTTACTCCCTCCCTCTCTCTCACTCTATTTGAAGATAAGTGCAAAAATGTCCTCAGGTGACAATAAAAAGAAAAGAAAAAGAAAAGAGCTCCCCTGGCTCCCACACAGAGCTGGGGTGGGGGTGGGGAAAAAGAAATTAAGTGACTTTATCAAGGCCACAGCTAGTAGTTAGTGAAGGTGTTGACAGAATACTGATCTCCAGATGCCTAGTTCAGCCCTTTTCCCCCCAGTATGCTACCCCCAAATCAGTCTATTACACCTATCTAACATGACCAGCCTGGCAACTCATTATTCTTGAACATGACCCAGCCCTTCTCTCCAGATTGCCACTTTTCTCAGTAGAATATGCTAATTCCCACATACATGCTTTTGGACATGTGATCAGTATCTTCTCTCCATAAGGTCAAACCCCAGTCTCCATCTCATCTGGTTGTAAACTCTCTTCCCTGAAGGGTGCACCCTCACATAGGTTTTCTCCTTACCAGACTGTGAACATGCCTTCAGTATCTCTCACCAGCCCCTATCACCAGGCCCTACTTCCACAGGTGTTTAAGTTAGGCTGTCACCTTACCTTTGCAGGACTCTCTCTCATCTTCTTGATCTGATCCTTATACTTCACTAGCTCAGCATCCAGTCGAGAGATCTTCTTGTCAATAGATTCTGCTCTGCTGTCCACCTTGAGGAAAAAAAAAAAAAGGCAATGATAGCTATTATAATATACTTATATGAGAAGGGGCAGAAGAGGAAAGAATATGGGGAAAGAAAAATCAAGAGGATCATATGGTGAAGAGTGGAAAACTGTGGTTCCCAAGGAAGTGGTGGTGGGATTCCCAGTCCAAAACATTGAGAACTTTTATAAACTATACTGAAACCCCCAGATTCACATATTCCAGGGTCTCCCTCAAATGCCTTTGGGCAAAGTAATCTGAGACTCAATCAGCTAAGTTGCAATTTCCCTTGACCCAGAAACGAGTCTGGCTGGGGACTCAACCAGCAGGTGTGTGAAATGAACTTAGTGCCCCGTGGACCCTCGTGGACCCTGGCCAGGGCTGCAGATCTAAAGCTGTTCCCTAGATAGAGGGTGGTGACTTAATGTGCAGAACCAGGGTTCCAAGATCTAGGATGGGGTACAGACATGTTGACCTAGGATATCAAGCTGACGGTCCTGACGTGGGAGAGGGGTGAGGGATGAAATAAGGGTAAGGGGTCGGGCTGGACGAGGTGTGAAGGGTGTATGGGTCTATGGCTACTTGGGATGAAGGGATAAGGAAAGAGCGACTGGATGCGGCAGTGGGCATCAAGGGTAGGATGTCAGTTGTGGGAGATAGTGATGGGTCAGGGGTCCCTGGTTTGTGGCGTCAGAAATGACTTGGGTAACAAGAACTTAGGTGGATTGGGAAGCGCTGAAGTGTAATGGGCCCGGGACCGAGAATAGGGTGGAGGAGTAAGAACCGGGAGCCTAAGGGTGCGTGGAGTGAGCGGTCTCAGAGACCCCGAGCCTAGTTACGTGTGGTCAAGCGCCCACCGTGCCAATGCAGTCAGTCAGGTTGGGCGGCGGAGCCTTGGGTTTCGCTTTTCCGAAGAACCGGTTCATCTTGGACAGCCGCGAAGAACACCCAAACACTGGAGCAAAATCAGAAACGGAAGCAGAGACACCGCCGCCACTCCCCTGACTTCCGGCTCTCCGTGCGCAAGCGCAATGTGCCTGTTGGAGTTTCCCGATCCTTTTTCCGGATTTTCAGCTCGGCCTTCCGGGGAAGGGGAGCTTCAGGAGGTTGGAGGTGCGGATAGAAAGTCAGCAGGGGGCGTGGCCACGCGGGATGATCTGGGAGCGTGACTTCAGGCCAGCAAGGCGGGGCCTCATCTGAGTGGGTGGGACCCAGTGTAGGGTGGGGTAGAAGCAGGACTTGCTCCGAGGGGCGTGGCCGGTAGGCCGGTAGGACGGGCGGACCGGGGCGGACCGGGGCGGACCGGGGCGGGCCGGGGCGGGCCGGGGCGGGGCGGGACCGGGAAGTATTCCTGCTGGGTTGCAGAGAGCGGTGTTCAGCTCCTACCGCTCGGCCGGCAACAAGTGCGGGTCTGGCGGAGCGCGGTGGCGCGCGAAGATCGAGAGGCGACCGGGAGCGGCTGGGCTCCCGGCGGCGCGCCCCTCGGCCGGGCCGGGAGTCGCACCAGTCGGTGTCCCAGGCCGAGCGCGGTCCGCCTCCCTCCCAGCGATCATCGGTCCGGAGTGTGGTCAGCGGGCATGTCGGGTCCAGCAGGGGCGCCGCCGCCAGTGCTCGCAGGCCGCGGGTGAAGAAGAAAGTGCGGCCTCACTCGGCCCGGAGCGAAGAGGTGGCTCGGAGCGAAGAGGTGGCTCGGAGCGAAGAGGTGGCTCGGAGCGAAGAGGTGACCCAGAGCGAAGAGGTGGCTCAGAGCGAAGAGGTGGCTCGGAGCGAAGAGGTGACCCAGAGCGAAGAGGTGGCCCGGAGCGAAGAGGTGACCCGGAGCGAAGAGGTGGCCCGGAGCGAAGAGGTGGCCCGGAGCGAAGAGGTGACCCAGAGCGAAGAGGTGGCCCTAAGCGAAGAGGTGGCCCAGAGTAAGGCAATGGCGGCAGCTGGACTCAGCGTGACCGTCACCCACAGTGAGCACGGGTGGCCGGGTGGGCTCCGTGCCGGGCCACGAAAATCCGGCAGGGTCTGTGGGTTTGGCCTCATGTCCTCAGGAAGCGCGCGCGTGTCCTTGTTTGCCCTGGCGTCCAAAGTGTAGGTTCTGGTGTGTGGCTGTGAGGCCGGTTTTTGTGCGGGCACTATTTTTTTCAGGTCATTTGTTTGAACTTCGATGTCGTGCTTCACGTCGTGATCCTAGTTGAACGTGTTAGTGTGTGCCTGCACAGGTATTGTGGGTCTTTGTGTCAGGCTTGTATTTGGCCATGTGTATGACGGACACCTATGGGTGTGTCAAGTCAAAACCCACATACACTGGGTGGGCCGTGGGTCCAAGCATATATTCTGGGCACCCTTTGGGTCTGCTGACTGTTGGAGTTGACACAGAACTAAACAGTCAATTCCCGGAATAACTGAATTCATGAGGTTTCCTCAGAACCAACCCTGTGAGACCCAGAGCCTCAGATCTGGAGAGACCAGGATTCTGGAAACCAGGATTCTAGATCCTTCAGTTTTGAGTGACCTAGGGATGTCTCTTATCTAGGCATCTAGTTTGTTCTCTGTGAAGTAGAGTAGTTAACACCTGTCCCGTAAACTTCACACCTGTTAAAGGGCTCAAGGCTTGGCCTAATGCATGGTAAACAGGCTACCTCCCTCCCCTAAAAAGAAATGTTCTGTTTTGAGTTTATTCACTCATTTGTCTATTTCCTGAGCACCAACCATGTATGTGTCCAGATGTGCCCAGTGGGAGAGACTTGGAGGAAAAACAGTCCCTTGCCCATTATAGCAAAGGAGACAAAGGCCAATACAATGCAGAGTACAGGGTAGTCAGGCCACAGGAGGCAAATGGCTTGTGATAAAAAGCATGGGTTTTGGAATCATCTGAGGTCAGGTTCTGTCTTCACATTTGGGTCTCCATAGGCAAGTCTTGACTGAACTCACAGTTTACTTATCTGTAAAATGAGGAATAATAGGTAGTACCTACTTCATAGGGTTGTTCTGAGGATTAAATAAGGTAATGCATGAAATGAGCCTAGTCAGCCCCTTGTGTGTGTAAAGTGCTTAAATATTAGGTGATATCACTAATATTGTTAGTTATAGTAGAGGAAATAAAAATCTTTGAGCAGGTCACCAGAAGAAAGCTGGACAGATGGGGGGGGTGCATTTTGGGGTGTGGGGGAGGGTAGCATATGAATTGGGCCTTGTAGGCTGAAGGCTGGGTACATAAATATAAAAAAGTGTCAGTCTGTATTGGTTCACGTGGAAGAGTTTTCTTCATTGAACACTTTTCTCTCTCCCCAGGCAATGAGAAACATGACCTTCATGTTACCCCACAACAGGGCAGTAGTGAACCAGTTGTCCAAGATCTGGCCCAGGTTGTTGAAGAGGCCACAGGGGTCCCACTACCTTTTCAGAAACTCATATTTAAGGGTAGGCATTGCTCTTCCAGTTTTGAGCCCTTATGACTAAAGGATCTATTTAAAACTACTTAACCTTACCTAATGGTAACTCTTAGCTTTCAAATGGGACAATTCTTACTTGCTATTTATTCATTTATTTCTTCAGCAAATATTTATTGAGAACCTACTATGTACTGGACACTTCCAAACATTTGGACAGAAATTAGAGTTGAAGTCACATGAGTATGGAAGAAATGTTATCATTTAAAAAACAACAACAGCCCTGGCCGGTTGGGCTCAGCGGTTAGAGCGTTGGCCCGTGGTCCAGAGAGACCCGGGTTCAGTTCCCGCTACGGGCATGTACCTCGGTTGCAGTGTGTCCCGGCCCTGGTTGGTCATGCGGGTGGCAGCCACTCGATGTGTCCCTTTCACGTCGATGTTTCTCTCTCTCTCTCTGTTCCTCTCTCTCCCTCCCACTCTTCCTGAACAAAAAATGGAAAAATGTCCTCGGGTGAGGATAAAAATAAATAAATAAATAAAAAATAAAAAAAATAAAAAACAACAACAATTTTTAAATTGATTTTTAAGAGAGAGTGGAAGGGAAAGAGAGAGAAACATTGGCTTCCTCCTGCACATGCCCTATCCAGGATGCCTGCAACTCAGGCATGTGCCCTCACAGGGAAATGAATCGGCAATCTTTCAGTGCACAGGACATGGCCCAATTGAGCCACAATGGCCAGGGCTGAGAAATCTTACCATTTTTTTTTTTATCCTTACCCTGAGGACATTTTTTTCCGTTTTTTGTTCAGATAGAGTGGGAGGGAGAGAGAAAGAAACATCCGATGTGAAAGGGACACGTTGAGTGGCTGCCTCCCGCATGACCCAACCAGGGCCAGGGACAAACTGCAACCAAGGTACGTGCCCTTAGCAGGAACTGAACCCGGGTCTCTCTGGACCGCAGGCCGATGCTCTAACCGCTGAGCAAAACCAGCCAAGGTGGGTTCTTTTTTCTTAATTTTAGAGAGAACAGAAGAGGGAAAGAGATAGAATCATCAATGAAAGAGAACATCGATTGGCCGCCTCCTGCATGCTTCCCACTGGGGATTTGGCCTATAACCTGGGCATGTGCCCTGACCGTGAATCAAACTGGCAACCTCTTGGTGCATGGGTTGACGCTCAACCACTGAGCTACACTGGTTGGGTTGGAAGTGTGCATTCTTGTTTGTGGGTGTTGTTTTTTAGTTAACAAAACTAGGATCATATTGATTATACAGTTTTTATAACATTTTTTTTCTTATAACACTAGGTCATCAATATTTATTGTACCCTTGAAGTTTTTTGAAAATATAAACTTTAATGTCTACAAAGCCTTTTATTATACTGATATATAGTTCATTAGTCTCTTGGTCCTGAATTTTTGGCTTTTTTCAGTTTCTCATATTATGAATAAGGTTGCACTGAAAATTATTGTATAACAGTTATTGTGTGGGCACATGTCCAGTTATTTGTTTAGGATAATAGCTGAAGTGAAATTATTGAGTCAAGACACTTCTAAAAAGGTTACATCAGCTTATCCTCTTCTCATTAGTGAATACACTTGTCTGTCTCCAGTACCCTTGCTGAAGTCTGTTTTCAGTGTTGTGCAATTATTACAGCTTGGTATAACTTTCTTTTCTTCAGGAAAATCTCTGAAGGAAATGGAGAAGCCACTGTCTGCACTTGGAATACAAAATGGTTGCCGGGTCATGTTAATTGGGAAGAAGGTAAATTGCTTTTTCCACCAGAATACAGCCAAATCAAATGACTAAGGTCTTTCATGCGTATTTCTGGGTAGAAAGCAAAATTGGGGATCTAGATTCTGCATTGGTGAAACACTCTAAACAAATGTAGTCTCCATTTGTTTGATGGGGTTACCAATTTTTGTTTGTATGCCCTCTGGCTTCTGTTGGTTAGAGCTCTCTCTTGGAAGTTAGGAACAATTGTGCTGCCTCAATAACACAGCTTTTGTGTTGGTGGTGGAACCTCAGTCTGTTTATTTATTTATTTTTATTATTATTTTTTTGACTCTTAGTCTGTTTAAAAGGTGCTTAGACAGGCCTTACTTGGAGAGGATTTGCAAGAAAACATTTTGTTAAAATAAACATTTAGTTTTAAAAAATAAATACAAGTTTTAGGCTCTCTCCCTTTGACCACCTTTTTTTTTTTTTTTTTTGATAAAGTGGGAGGGAGAGAGAGGAAGAGAGAGAGAAACATCGACGTGAAAGGGACACATCGAGTGGCTGTTTCCTGCATGACCCAACCAAGGCCGGGGACAAACTGCAGCCGAGGTACATGCCCCTAGCGGGAACCAAACCTGGGTCTCTCTGGACTGCAGGCCGACGCTCTAACCACTGAGCAAAACCGGCCAGGGCTAACCACCCTTTTTTACTAAAATCTTGTACAAGGGAAAATACTTATGTCTGGAAGAAAGGTTCAGACTAAAGAAATGAGGGCGAAAAAGAGCCAATTGATGACAGGGGAGGACAATAGCTTCTTGGGTGATGAGTGAGGGCCATGGCCAGCTCTGCATTGTGACACAGTGGAATTGTTGGTCATATGACGTTCCCTTACTTTGAGTAAGATGGCTGACTCAGAGTGGGGAGAGGGCGAGATTAGCAAAGTAGAGGCAAAGAAAATCTAGTCCAGGCTTGGAACTGCTAGGAGACTGGCACTCAGGATTTAGCCACAAAGGAGAATGTAAATAATTTAGAATGGTGTAAAAGCAGGAAGATACTGGCTCTGGCAACCAATTGTTTAGGTGAGAGAAGGGGAAATACTCTAGATTTCTTGCTCAAAAGTCAGAGAATGGTGATGGGCAATGGGTAAAACCCGAAGGTTGAGGTCGAAAAAGCTGTAGGATCCCTGATTGGAGCTATTCTGGGATGTGTGAAGGCAAGTCTGATTCAAGTCTCAGCTCTACTTCTTTTGGGCTATGTGACCTTAGGTTACAATAACCTCAGTTTCCATCTAAAAGAGTACCTACCTCATTGGGTTTTGGTAAGACTTAAAACAATAATAAAGGTAAGGTACTTAGGATAGTGCTTGGCATGGAAGAAATGCTCAATAAAAGTATTCAGCTCTGGCCGGTTTGGCTCAGAGGTTAGAGCGTCGACCATAGAGTCCCGGGTTTGGTTCCCGCTAAGGCACTAAGGGCACGTACCTCTGTTGCAGTTTGTTCCCCACCCCGGTTTGGGTCATGTGGGTAGCCACCAGTCAATGTGTCTTTCTCACATTGATGTTTCTCTCTCACTTCCCTTCTCTCCCTCCTGCTCTATCCAAAGATAAATGCAAAAATATCCTCGGGTGAGGATAAAAAAAAATGTATTCTCATTATCATGTTAGTAGGTGACATTTTGGAATTCTACCTAAGGGAATAGTAGAATTCCACCTAGCTAGCCATTCTGGACTCTTCACAGGTGTTCACTGTAATTTGTTCACCCTCCAGGGATCAGTCCGGCTGTTGATGATCAGCCCCAGGCTGAGGTTGAGTCTGGTTCCATTCTCTGAATCCAAGTCTCAGCTCTTGCCAGAATGTTTATATAATACCTTCTCTCTGGAGTCTTTGTAATTAGAAAACCTAATGTATATCCTCTGGCTTGCTTTCCAAGAAGCAACAGAGTTAAGACTTCCTTTTTGGTGAGTGGTTTAGCCCAATTGTGGTCAGATTTTTTTTTTTTTTTCTGACAGGGAATACTGTTCTTAGTAATTATTGGCTTCATTGTATTCTTAAACATTTTAGAACAGTCCAGAGGAAGAAGCTGAACTAAAGAAGTTGAAAGATTTGGAGAAGTCTGTGGAGAGGATAGCTGACCAACTGGAAGAGTTGAATAAAGAGCTTACTGGAATCCAGCAGGTAACTTTGTGGACTTCGACTTTTTACCTTCTCTAAGAACTTTGTGGAGATACAAATGTGTATTATGAGGGTAGTCAGACTCCCTGGGTTCAGATCCTTGCTCTACCCTTTCTATTTTTAAAATATGTTTTTATTGATTTTTAGAGAGGGGGAGAGAGAGAGAGAAACATCGATGAGAGAGAAACACATCAATTGGTTGCCTCCTGCACGACCCAGACCAGGGCTGGGGATCCAACCTGCAACCCAGTTACATGCCCTTGACTGGAATCGAACCCTTGACCCTTTGGTCCGCAGGCCATGCCCTAACTGCTGAGCCAAACTAGCCAGAGCATGGCTCTACCCTTTCTATCACTGTGGGCAAGTCTACCTTTGTCTCAAGTTCCTCATCTATAAAAAGGGAAAAACAATGACCTTTTTCTTAGAGTCATTGTGACGATTAAATAATGTAGTTTGAGCCTGAGACATGCCAAGTGCTTTTTAAGTGTTACAATTATTATTTTCAAACCCAGCCACTATCTACTTGTGCTTCTAGGAGAGTACCTGCTGTGCTAGGATCATGTATTATCTGAAATAGAATAGGTAACTTCTCTCAGTCTAGTCCAGCAATTTTCAGCTGGTGTGCGGTGGCAGGCACACTGCAATACCTAACTATTTAGTCAGGGGCACTGACTTCTTTTCTTTTAGATTGTCAAATTTAAAAAATGACAAGAGCCAATATGACAATAGCTATCTGGTGTGAATGAATCAAAATTATACCTATTTTTTTGGTCAGATTGGCAAAAAATGTATTTTTTGTGTGCTCTAAAATTTTTAGTAATTAGGTTATGTATGCCATGAGATTAAAAAGGTTGAAAATCTCTGGTCTAGTTTGTTAAGATGTGTTTAGCAAAGCAAAGAATATTTTGTTGATTCACAGAAGTTACAAGTTGAGTGGATTTTAGCAGGGTGGTCATCCAATTCAATTTCTTATATTAGGGTACTGAAACCAAGTAAGGATTAGAAACAGCCCCAAACTACATATTTGTCTTTGACCTCCTCATTTTATAACTTTAATGGAGGTATGTTTGTGTTTTAATTACAAAAGTAACACATGTTGATTGTATATAACTTTTTTTTAATATAGTTTCAAAAAAATTTTTTTTATTGAATTTAGAGAACGAAAAAAGGAGAGGGAGAGAGAGATAGAAACACTGATGAGTGAGAACATCAATTGGCCACCTCCTACATGCCCCCCACCAGGGATTTGGCCCATAACCTGGGCATGTGCCCTGACTGGGAATGAAACTGGTGACCTCTTGGTGCATGGGTTGATGCTCAACCACTGAGTCACATCGGCTGGGCTTAGTATGTTTTTATTGATTTTTTTTTTTTTTTAGAGAGAGAGAAACATTGATGTGAGAGAGATACATTAGTCAGCTGCCTCTTGCACGTCCCCTACTAGGGATTGAGCCCACAACCTGGGCACGTGTCCTGACCGGGAATTAAACCGGGACCTTTTGTTCATGGGACAATGCTCAATCCACTGAGCCATACTGGCCAGGCTGTATATAACTTTTAAATAAACATATGGACACTAATATAGACAATAAAAATTATTTGTAAGGGCCCAACTCAAAGGTAACCATTACTAAAGACTAGAATCTATTTTTGTATCTTCAAAAAATATATTTGGGCCCTGGCAAGGTGGTTCAGTTGGTTGGAGCATCATCCCATACATCAAAAGGTTACGGATTTGATTCCCAATTCAGGCTCATGCCTAGGTTGCAGGTTTGATTCCCATTGGGGCACAAATGGGAGGCTACTGATTGATATTTCTCTCTCTCTCTAAAATAAATAAAAACATATCCTTGAGTGAGGATTAATAAATAAATAAATAAATAAATAAATAAATAAATAAAGTATTTAGTATGATGTTATATACACTTTGTAAATTTTTCTTTTATTGGATAAAACATTAAACGTTTTCTGTGTCATTAATAATGATTATACTTTTCAATACTTACATAACATTTTATCGTATATGACGGTAGCATTGTTTTTTGTTGTTGTTGTTGTTTTTGGTGGTACGTGCCCCTAGCGGGAACTGAACCTGGGAGTCTCTGGTCTGCAGGCCGATGCTCAACTGCTGAGCCAAACTGGCCAGGGTGGTAGCATTGTTTACCTAACCAGTTCTCTATTCATCACCTAATGTTCTTTTACCATTTTTGGTAATGCTTCTTTGAAATACTTACACATAAATCATTTTTTACTCTTTCCGATTTTTTTTTGGTAGAATAAATTCTTTTAGTTGGAATTACTGGCTAATATTTATTACATGTTGTCAAATCTGCATTTGTAATTCTCAGCTTTAATAACCATCCTTAGAGATCCCTGTTGTCACCAGCTAACTGGTCATTTGGCCAAGCAATGTGAATAACCAGCAAGACAGTTTAATAAAAATAATGTAAGTGCTGCCATTTGTTAGCACGTCTGTGTCAGGAATTATATTAAGGATCTACATATATTCCCCTTTGACCTCATAGTAACCCTATGTGGTGTGGGTATTATTATTTCCATTTTTATTTTTTATTTTATTTATTTATTTATTTCTGTACGTGTCCCTAGCGGGAACTGAAACCGGGACTCTCTGCTCTGCAGGCTGACGCTCCAACCGCTGAGCCAAACTGGCCAGGGCTATTATCTCCATTTTTAAAATGAGGAGACTAAGGCACAGATAGGTTAAGTAACTTGCCCAAGATCACAAGCCAGTAATGGCAGTCAGAATTCAAGTCCAGGCCTATAAACTAAACCCTGTGCTCTTTTTTTTTTTTTATCCTCACCTAAGGACATTTTTCCATTTTTTGTACAGATAGAGTGGGAGGGAGAGAGAGGGAGAGAGAGAAACATCGACATGAAAGGGACACATCGAGTGGCTGCCACCCGCACGACCAACCAGGGCCGGGGACAAACTGCAACCGAAGTACGTGCCCCTACCGGGAACTGAACCCGGGCCTCTCCGGACCGCAGGCCGACGCTCTAACCGCTGAGCCAAAGCGGCCAGGGCAAACCCTGTGCTCTTAATGCCTGCCTCTTGTGTACAGGTATCCTCTTCTGGCTTCACCAAAGCCAGGCCTCAGAGGCATTTGCAGCCCCAGTGGGCTATTATAGAGTGGCCTGTTACAGGGCTTGGGGTGGCCCAGGGCCAGCTTTTCTGTTTTTTGTCCCAAGAGATGAAGTTGTGGGTCTGAGGTCTGGCCCAGCCTGTTGGGGGGATTGTGGATTCAGGGTGTGGCTGCTTGCTTCATCAGTGCCTCAGCTTGCAGCTTTTCATCAGCCTCAAGGAACCCTTGCAAAAAATGTATTATTCCTCCACAGGGTTTTCTGGCCAAGGATTTGCAAGCTGAAGCCCTCTGCAAACTTGATAGGAAAGTAAAAGCCACAATCGAGCAGTTTATGAAGATCTTGGAGGAGATTGACACACTAGTAAGTAAATAGTCCCCTGAGAAGAACTAGTTTCCTTTGACTATATTTCTGTCAGTTTCATTCTTTCAGTAATGCAGCCTTATTGTCTGAGGATACTGAGTACCTGCTGTATCAGGCCTGCTAGGTCCTGGGTGAATACACAGAAAGATAAGACAGTTCCTGATACCTAGGCACCCACATCCCACCAACATAGGTCTTTTATCATTTTTATTAATGTGTGCTAGTAGCTTCTAATCTGAAGCTGGGATCCAAATGGTCCATAGTCTCACAGAAACACAGGGCTTCACTTTCCTGATACTCATGTGACTGATATTCCGCTGAGCTCATGACCTGTACAAAATTCAATCAGACCCTATTCTTGTGAAGATGTTGGGGAATCATTGATGCCATTTTCCCTTTTACAGCTGGCGATAATGGTATTTCTAGCCTGATGCCTCATTCTTCAGGGTGACTACTCTGCTTGGGATTCCGGAATGGGGTGGTGGTGAGGAGGGTTGTAAAGAAGAAGCAGAAGGTGCTTTTCCTGCCACAGTGAGCTCATGGTATGGCCACAGCACAGTATCCATACGTAGGAAACAGTGAAAGAACAAAGTCCATGTTACGGATCTGTTTCTATGGCCCAGACACTGAGAACATGCTGAAACAGGCAAGAGCCATGAAGGGTCGTGTAGGATACAGACCCAGAGAATGATTTCTGAAATTCATGTCTCATTCACATTGGTCACCCATGAATTTTGGTGTGCTGTGGTGTTCTTATGTCATTTTCACCAAAGATTATTTATGTGTCAACTTATTCTTCCATAGATTCTGCCAGAAAATTTCAAAGACAGTAGACTGAAAAGGAAGGGTTTGGTGAAAAGGGTTCAGGTGAGTTTTGTGGTAGAGCATTACAAAGTGTAAATTGTTGGTGTACATGTTTATCTGTTCAAAGAAGAGTACAGTAGAATTGTGTGTGGCTTTTTTGACGGGGAGGTGTTACTCAGCATGAACCCAGAACATAAAAGAATTGCTCCTTTCATGTCCCTGTAATTATATTTGAATTTAAACTATTTGGGAAGATCACTGGAGAGCAGAAGAGACTGACACATTATACAATTCCAGGAGGCATCATTCATATGTACAGTGCCCCCCTGAAACTGTGCAGTTGCAGTGTCAAGCCTCCCTGTCCTCACCACCCTTTTGGGGGTTATGGACCTAGAGCATTGTCAGAAACCCTGGTTCTGTACTTCCCAATATCTCCCTATCCTTACTTTGGAGCCCAGGCCATCCCTGCACAACCTGTTTCAGCATGAGTCAGTTACCCTTGGGTTCTCCAGAATGGCTAAGCACAGAGCCTTGGGGTTGGCTAGCTCTGGATGGACCCTCACTGCCCTGCATTGATCTTTCAGGCATTCCTAGCTGAGTGCGACACAGTGGAGCAGAACATCTGCCAGGAGACAGAGCGGCTGCAGTCCACTAACTTGGCCCTGGCCGAATGAGGTGAGGCAGAGATAGCCTGTGCTGCCCTGAAGAACAGTACCACCAGCTCTGCCCTCTCTGGAACAGAACTTACCTGATTTCTCCAGGGCTGCTGGGGACAATGGCCAGTTGCCAGTTTTCCTTCTTTTACACCTGTTCTCAATGAACAAGTATTGTCTTTATAATCTTAAGTAGAATTCTTGTTCGTTTTCTCATTCTGTCTCTGTGGCTGTGCTATCCAGCAGCCCATCTTGTCTGAGGAGAGCCCAAGTCTTCCCAGGTCTTTTGACCTTTGGGTTCTCTCATTTGTCCTGGGGTAGTTCAGGTTTATAGGCCACCCTGGTTTTCAGATACATGAGGCCTTTTTGCCCTTGTGGTCCCATAGTCCCATAGTTGTAAATCAGAATCATTGGGAGGTTGTGTCTAGTCAGGAATGTTGGGAGTGGCTTGGAACAGGTGTTTGGCACACAGTAGTCCAAGTATCCCTTGTGACTTAATTCTGGAACAACTGGCAGGGTTGTTGGTTCACAGACCCTGTCCTTACCTACCAGTGACCCTGTGCAGCTGCAGGCTAGGAGATCTCAGGGGGCCATACCTTGGGTGGGGCCTGGGCTTGATATACAGGCTTCCTTGTCCCCTAGTAAATCTGTAGGACGTTAGAACCCAGAGTTGACGGGATCCCTGCTTGAAATCAGGTCAAAACTATGCTACGGCTCAGGAGTGGCAGACATGGGAACAGAGTGAGTAAAGCAGGTAGGTTGTGAAGACAACCATTAACTTATCAGGAGTTCCTTCAAAGGCATTTCTGTTAACTGTACTGTACTGAGATCTTTATTTCCTTCAAGGCTGTTCCTGTCCATTTTGTGGCCTGCCCTCCTCCCCCAGCCTTTTCGAGGATATTTTTCCATTTATCTTCAGATAGAGTGGGAGGGAGGGAGGAAGGGGGCAGAGAGAGAGAGAGAGAGAGAGAGAAACATCAATGTGAGAGACACACATTGACTGGTTGCCTCCTTCACGACCCCGACCATGGCCAGGGATGAACCATAACCGAGGTGCATGCCCTTGACCAGAATCAAACCCACGACTCTTTGGTCCAAGGGCCGACACTCTAACCGCTGAGCCAAACCGGCCAGGGCCCATTGTTATTTTTATAAAAATAGTTTGTATACACATCAACAAGCAGAAGAGTGTTTAAAATTCTTTTTAACATATATTTTTAAAATCCTTACTTGAGGATATGTTTATTGATTTTAGAGAAAGATGGAGGGAGGGAGGGAGAGAGAGAGAGAAAGAGAAAGAGAAACATCGATCTGTTGCCTCCTGTATACACCTGACCAGGGATTGAACCCGCAACCTAGGTGTGTGCTCCTGAACCTGAACTGAACCTGCAACCCTTTTTATTTTTGGATGAAGTATGAGAAGCAAACGTCTGTAGTTCTAGTTATAATTTTAATAAAGTTGAGAGTGGTTCTGCGTGCTAGGACTCTTAAACTGGTCAGCTGCTATCACCCCATATTTTCATACAGTGCTCAGGAGACAGGCTCCCAAAAGGCCACTCTGAGGTAACCTTATTTGGCCACAACATTTAATGAAAAGTTACTTTGTGCCAGATACTATTTTAAGTACTCTAGATGTATTAATCATTTAATCCTCAGACAATGTAGGAGGTAGACAGATACTAACCCATGTTAGAGATAAGGAAACTGAGAGAGCTTAGCTAATTTGCTAAAGTCATAGAGTAAATGACAAAATCAGGGCACCAAGCAAGGCAGCTTGATTCCGAGTCCGTGCTCTTAATCTCTGCTGTACTGCCTCCCAGTCAACACAGGGTTGCGTGTTCTCTCTCATTTCTCTTCCTCGCCCTCGTCTCCTATGTTGGTCTTTCTACTTCCCCTCTAGTTCTCTCCAGTTCAGTCCCCACAGAGTACCATGAGTAATTATAAAGTACAAACCTTATCATATCAGTCTCCTGCTTAAAAACCTCTGGTGGCTTCCTTCTCCCATCTCATCTTGGGCCACTCTCCTGTTTGCTCAGTAGTCAGCCACTCTGGTATTTGTTCAGGCCCTCAGATGCTCTGTACCCTCTCCAGCCCCGGAGTCTTCGCACACGCTGTTCCTCTGTTTGGACACACCTCACCACCCTTCCACCACTGCCATCCCTTTCCTAGGTAACTTGTGTTTATACTTCAGAATTTAACTCAATGCCTCTTCCATGGACTGAGAACATATCAAGCCCCCTCTCACAGCTTGCCCAAACTTATCTTTTACAGCATGTATCATAGTCTGTGATTTATTTATGGGATTATTTGATTTAATATTTGCCTTTTATACTTGACTGTAAATTCCTTGGGTTAAGGAACTTCCTTGTCTTGTTAACAGTGTATTTCAAGTATATTGTCTGGTTTATAGTAAATGTTCAATAAATATTTGGAGAATGAACAAATGTTGAATGCACATAACAGTAGTGAAATTCTCACAGCTGCACTCAGCCACTGAAGCTCTGTCAGCACTGGAATTTATAGTATCAACAGCCATCATTTTATTTAAGAGTTGAGGCCCTAAAGCATGGACTGCCTGGCAGATGTGCAGGTTGGTGACTGGGGCCTGGTCAAACAGCCCCATAGAACTGCCTATCTAGAGGGTATCTGCCTGTGAACAGGAAGAAAACATCCCTTCTCAGTTGCCCAGTTTCCTGGGACATGATTAGCCCTACTGCAGGGGAACAAATGGGGCTCTGTGATCCCCAAAACTTGCTTCAGCCTCACAGAACTGGAAGATTCTTCCACACACAGTTTATTTAGTTAGGGATTTCTAATTATTCTCCAAGGCTAATTTAAAGATTACCTCCTCTGAGAAGCCCTTCTTTATCTGGTAGTCAGATCTCTTTTAGTTGAAAGAACCAGAAACCTAATTTCAAAGACATTGTTGAAGTGGAAAATTGATTGACAGGATGTCAAGTTATCTCATGTAACTTTGGGAAGTTCAAGGACAGCTGGGCATCAGGAATTCAAATCACTCTTTCTATATCTTTCTTTGTATGTCTGCATCATTCTCTCAATCCTCCTTCTTCCATGAAGTAGGAAACATGGCTGCCAGCAGCCCCCACTTTGCACATCTTATGGCTTTACTCCCAGAGAGGAACTGACTGTTTTCTTGTTTACAATTTGAAATATCCTGAAGAATCTTTTGGCCAAATCAGCCATGGCCAGAGCAGTGGGTCACATGCCATAGATAGGGCCTTTAGGGGCCTGCACTTATATTTCAGGGTGGTTCCCAGAGACAAGGCCATAGTTTCCACATCTGTAAAGTGGGGAATTAGGTGCTTTTTCCACTGTGGTGCCTGGCACATTGCTCAGGCAGAATCTTTGTGATTCCTTATCGTGTGAGTGGAAGCCTGGGAGAGAAGTCACTGAGAAGCTTGGCTGAGCTATGCCACTTGAGTGTAAGAGAGGCATCCTACTTAGAGCAGAGACTTTTAGATGTTACAATTATCCACTCCTACAATAAGTAAACCCCAAATTTTCAGCTTAGCACATGGCCAACCAGCTAAAAACTATATTCCCAGTCTCTTTGCGCTAGCACCGACAAGAGAAGGCTACATTTTATCCAATGAGATGTAAATAGTATGTGTACATCTTATGGGAAACATCTTCAGAGGCAGCTTGCCCTTTCTTCTTTTCTGAGAGCTGGAATATAGGCATGATGGCTGGATTTGGAGCAGCTGTCTTGGAGCTTGAGGCAGAAATTGACGAGGATGGCAAAGTAACAATATAGAAGGAACATGGAATTGACTTACTTCACAGATGTATATGACAGAAATGAACTACTTTCTGTTTAAACCATGGTTATTTCAGCTTTTCAGTCTCTCACAGCCAAAATTAACCTTAAGTTATTCATATGCAGGTGGGAAACAAGAGTTTCTGTTGTCAGCAGCTGTGGAAAGGCCTATTGATGATCCCCCAGTTTCTGTAATAGTTGTAAATCTATCAGCAGCAATTCCTGCTCAGGTTCCCATTTCCGTGGTTCAGGGAATGTTGATTCCTGCCTTCCCTGCCCCCACTTTTCTCTCAAACATGTGTTTTCCCGGAGAGAATTTTCTGCCTTATCTGCCCACCCTATAGCAGGAATCAGAGTCCATGTGAAAATGTTCCTATCTGGCCAGGCCCCTCCATACTCTTTCCCCCACCACCACATCAAGAGGTTCCTCCTATAGACTTTGGCCTAAAGAGGGGGTGCTTGACATATACCATAGGCCGGGGCCTCTGTTGTTGAGCTTCTGAATGCTATGTATTCCTGTGGGCCATTGTGTGAGTACATGTATGCTGTGTATGCCTGGGTTGTGTCTAATCGTGTTTAACAACCTGTCAGAGTGGATGCTGACCTAAAGAGAGCAGGGTCTGGAGTCATCTTGCTTGTGGGTGGCCAGGGTACAGGGGGACATCAAGGGCTTGAGGCAGCACTGTTTCAACTGTTCAGTATTTTAACAAGCCATTCAGTTGTACCTTGTACACTATCTGAATATCAGCTGTGGTTGTGTGTGTGTGTGTGTGTGAGAGAGGGAGAGGGAGAGGGAGAGAGAGACTTGGAGTGCTGGATCAGCCAGGTAGAAAGCCATGAGGAGTTGTGGGACCCTCACAAAGGCTTCTGAAGCTGGACCATGCACCCTGGCAGTGACATAGGGCATAGATCTCACCTAGGTTGTTGGCCTTATTCAGACAGGAGCACTGGGCAGAGAGAACCCTGACCTCCTCAGAAAGGGGAAAAATACCGGAGATCTTTAGGGGGTCATGTGACAGGGTTGAGGAGCACTGAAGTGATAGAGAAGACATTAGTTTTAGAGCGAGGAGGATGGGGTCAAGTCCACCTCATCACCTCCACAAGTGCCTCCCCAGAATCCCCAAAGATACTGGCCCAAATGGCTGGATTGGGCTGGATCTTTTATTTCATGTCACATCCTCTTCACTCCCACCACTGTTCTTCAGCCTGAAGCTTCATGGCTTACGAGGTTCCTGTGGGATCAGCATTTGCCATCCTTCAGGATCTGGATGTCCTGTTTGGTTTTCCTAGGATCATAGGAGACAGGGATGAGGCCACCTCCTCAGGAACTATAATGTACCCTTCAGGGACCTTGGCGTAGTCCATCCTGACACCCTGCTGAGCCCTACCCACCTACTCAGTGTATGGTGCAGGGCAGATCCCAAGGGTGCCTGGGCACATTTTTCTACAGCTTTTTCTTCTTGCACCCCTTCCCCTGGGAGATTTCAGCTTCCTGGGGTTTTGATAACCACTGCATACTGATTGCTGCAAATCTACAGCCAGACTTTTGTCCTAAACTCTAGCCATATCTTCACTAGAATGTCCCAGCAGAGAGGCCCAACTGTCCACAGACATCATCACCCCCCAAACCTGCTATATTCCCCTGTTCCTCATCTCGGTGCATGGCACCACTAACCACCCAGGCCCATGAGTTAGAAACCAGCATGTTGCTTTTGCCTCCTTCCTGCCCCACATCATCCATCACATCCAGTCTCACAGCCTGTCAATTCTCCCCCGATATAACCATGAAGGTTTAGTCATCTCTTTCTCAGCTAGGACTGTCCTGCTGCTCTTTTGCACATCTGTCTAGAGTATTGTAGCTTCAAAAGACTTTCTTTTTTTCCATGATCTCATTTAGTTCTGGCCAACTCAAGGGTCATATTAATGAAGACATGAGACCAAATGGTTGATCAGATATACCAAGGTCATATTTTGGCCCTGCCCACCTCTCTAGACTAATTTCTTTTTTTAAAGAATAGTTTATTGCCCAGCTGAGCATCGTCCCATGGACTGAGAGGTCCCGGTTCGATTCCTGGTCAGGGCACATGCCCAGGTTGTGGGCTTGATCCTCATTAGGGGGAGTGCAGGAGGCTGCCGATCGATACTTCTCTCTCACATTGATGTTTCTATCTCTCCCTAAAAAAAAAAAAATCAATAAAAACATATTTAAAAAATAGTTCATTGATTTTTAGAGAGAGAGAGGAAGGGAAAAGAGAAAAACATTGATGTGAGCCCTGGCCGATTTGGCTCAGTGGTAGAGCGTCAGCCCTGGACCAATGAGTTGTGGGTTCGATTCTGTCCAGGAGCACGTATCTTGGTTGCGGTTCATCCCTAGCCGTGGTTGGGGTCGTGCAAGAGGCAACCAGTTGATGTGTCCCTCTTATGTTGTTTCTCTCTCTCCCTTTCTCTCTCTCTCTATCCTTACCACTCTATCTGAAGATAAATAGAAGAATATCCTCGGGTGAGGATTAAAAAACAACAAAAAACATTGATGTGAGAGGGTAACATCAATCAGCTGCCTCCTGCACACTCCCTGCTGGGGATTGAGCCCACAACCCAAGCGTGTACCCTGACCAGGAGTCAACCAGCAACCTTTCAGTGCATAGGTTGATGCCCACCCAACTAAGCCACATCTGCCAGGGCTAGACTAATTTCTTGCCTCTCTCCTAGTCTCCTTTAAACTTTATACTCTAGCATATTCAACTTCTTATATTCCCTCAAATATAAACTTTCCCATCTAGACCTCTCCAAACTAATTTCTCTACTTGGAATTACCTTCTCTTGTTTCTTTGTTTTCCTAGCTAATTTCTACTTATCTCTCAGAGCTGGGAAGTCTTCCCTGCCCTTGCCCTGTACTCACAGAACGCTGCGTACGCCCATCTGAGCCTATAGCATTCTATTCTGCAATTGGCTTACCATCAGCTTGGATTCCCCTTAGACTGACTGTATGCTCCAGAAAGCCAGTGATGCAGTCTAGCATATTACCCCTCTTGTATCCCAAGTGCCTAGCACATAGTAGGTGCTCAATAAATAATTGTTGGCTGGACAAATAAATGAACAAATGAGGTCGCCTCGTCAGGGTCAGAACAAGGAAAATAATCCAGGGTTTCTGCCTCCTTTACTCCCAACTCCCTACTAGCTGTGGCTTTCTGCTTAGAGAACCATGTGCATGAATTACACTTGTGATCATTCTGTTAGCGCAAATGTTGGAGGACTCTTCCCAGGTCAAGTGTGTGTGAAGAAAGAGGCAGGTCAAGTCTTGCTCCTTTCAGACTTGTATGCACCAGAGATGGGGCCCCACGTAAGCAAACACGGGAAAGTGGGGAGTGGACTTACATTCGGGCTAAGCAGAGCTGGCATTCATTGTCATATGTGACCCCGTCAGTGCCGCAGACCAGGTTGAATGTCTGGGAACAGTCTGGAGACTCTGCCATATGCTCACAGATGGGCTATGAAAGAGAAGACAGGAGGGAGGGCACTCAGGGATTCAGAGGCACTGAGGAGGAACCCAGGGTCTCTGCTTAGAGCCAGAGAGGCCCCAAGGAGGAGCCAGATTCAAGAAGGCCCCAGTGTGGGTCCATTGACCACGAAACCAACCACTCAGGGTCCCTTGGCATATTTGCTTGTGTGTACCTGCATGACTGTGTCTGTGGCTATGTGTATATTAGTGTGTACCTGTGTCTATTGAGCCCAAATATGCAGACATACAAGTGTGTGCCTGTGTTTATGTCTGTGTCTGTAGAGTTAGTATGTGCCCTCAAGCTCCTGGGGACAGGTTCATACACTCCTCAGAGGGTCCAACTAGAACTGCTGCTGCTGGACCCAATGAGGACCCCAGGAGATAGAACCATCCATTATTCTCAGGAGGCCCCTCCTCCTCTGGGGCTCCTGAACTCACCTTGGCCTACATGACCTATCTGGTCCCTGGTATGGGAAGGACTGGAGAAATAAGACAGGGCTTGGGACTTAATTGAGGATCAATCTGAAAGGGTTTCAGGCCAGGCCTGAGGTCAGGTTTAGATCTGGTTCAGGATGATATTGGGGCCTGGGATAGGGATAGGGTTGGAGAAGCATTGTGTCTAGCAGTGAAGGCCCCAGGCCTTAGAGACCTAAGTTCTTCTAGCTGTGTAAACTTGAATGAGCTATGTCTACTTTCTGAGTCTCAGTTTTCTCATCTGCAAATACTCTTCTCACATAGGGTTAATTGAAATAATATATGGAAATCATTTGGCTCTTTTTCTGGCACAGAGGAAGAGGGGCTGGGTTCTGATGGGCTGACAGTAAAGATGCTGAGGCTGCTGGATGGGAAGGTGGCTCTGAGCCTCTCATTCACCCATATGAAGGGTGGCCACCACTACTGCCTTAGGCCCAGGGCCAAGGTGGGATTCAGGATTCAGGGAAAACTTGTTGTCTCCGCATAAGAGTGAAGGAATGGATGGTGGAGTGTGGTTGGGGGAGGCTGGCATCTCCGCAGGGCCATTCAGAGTGCCAGGGTCACCTCTTTGGCCTGGACCCTGCAGCCTGTCTATCTATACTATACAAAGTAGAGAGTGTACTTGATCCTGCTGAGTCTAGGTGGGGGGATCTTATGGCTGGCAGGGGCCCTGATGCCAGATTTGAGACTTTGGTAAAGGGGCTGGGCCTTCTCGGCCTGGAAGGGCTATCCTGGGGAACATACGGGCCTACGAGACCACTCTGGCCGCCATGGAGTCATGGGAGTTATCTGAGCAGGGGTATAAAGGAAAAAAATAATGCTGGTTTTCCAGTATTGTTGGGGAGGGCTCCCCTGGCCAGAACTACAAGCAGCTGACTTACCATTCTTGAGAAAATGAGCTTTTCTGCAGACACTGGCATTTCTGAAAGGCAAAACAGCAAGAATTAGGTGATGTCTGCTCTAGGCCCCAGGTCCAGGGATCTGAGGACTGCTTCGTCGGAGGACCTGTTTCAGCCACTAGCCAATCTCCAATTCCTCAAGGAAAGGTAGTGAGTCACCAGACAGTGAGGCTCCCAGAAAGCTGATGTGATCTTGAGTTACATGAACAGAGACAGAAAATCTAGAGTTAGGAACAGGCCAACCTGTTTTTTATTAGTCAGACTCCACTGGAATTGTGTCCCATGTAATAATAAACATAACAATTCAGTCTGACCGGTGTGGCTCAGCAGTTGGGTGTTGACCCATGTACCAGGAGGTCACTGGTTCAATTCCCAGTCAGGACACATGCCCGGGTTCTGGGCCCCATCCCTGGTGGGGGGCATGCAGGAGGCAGCCAGTCAATGTTCTCACTCATTGATGCTTCTATCTCTCTCTCCCTCTCCCTTCCTCTCTTTCTCAAATCAATAAAAAGAAAAAACAACAACAAAAACAATTCAGTAATTATGTACCAAGTATTGAGAATACACGATCTTACTACTCTTCACACCTCTCTCACTGCTGCGTAACAGGGAGGAGAGGAGCCGGCAGTGGATGTTGTGGTCTGCTACCTAGATCCCACCCACAGGACTGAGGCATTCATTTCCTCAGCTGCCAAGAGTATTGGTCACTCACAGAGAGTCCCTTCCTAGGAATTACCCTCAGAGAATGGAGTGACCTTGCTCAAGGTCACATCGCTTACCCAGGAACAGCCCATATACAATGAAAGATTGATGTGGGTACAACTGCCTGAACTCTTCATCTCTGTTCAGAACAATGCTGAAGGGCCTCCCCAGCTCCAAAGCTCCCCGTAGGAACATTGGAGGCCCATGTTGCACTGCATTGCAGTCAATTTTCCTTGTCCCTCATGGGTGATTCCCCCCATGAGCCCTCCCCCATAAACTACATGCAGATCTGAGTCTGTTTCCTGAGGAAGTCAACCAACCTATGAAAGAGGCTCAGAGGTAAAGCAACAGTTTGTTAAGGGCAGAGCTGGGATTTGCACATGAGTTTGTCACTCCCCAGCTTGGCCTTTTCCACATACACAGGTGGGCCCCATGGCCCCTCGAGGCCTAGATGAACTGCTTACAGGACCTGAGCAAATTGTGATGTGACTGGCAAGTGTGATGGGTGGATGAGGGAACAGGAGCCATTTCTAATGCCACAGGTGGAAGGAAAGATGGTTATGTACATTGGAGAAGAGCAGGATGCTTCCTAAAATCTCGGAAGGACTGTCTTGAGGACAAGGAAGAGATGAGCTCTTCTCAACCTCCTAGAGCAGTGGTTCTCAACCTTCCTCATGCCGCGACCTTTTAATACAGTTCCTCATGTTGTATGTGGGCGTATCTGCATGTGAGCAGACCTGCCTGGAGACGGATAGAGGAGCGGTGTCTCGGTTCCTTAGACCATTGGAAATATGTGTTTTCCGATGGTCTTAGGCAACCCCTGTGAAAGGGTTGTTTGACCTCCAAGGGGGTTGCGACCCACAGGTTGAGAACCGCTGCCCTAGAGTCTCAGAGCTCGTCTGTATAAGGAGGCTTCAGGGAGGCAAGTTTGAGTTCCAGAATGTTCTCTCCAGTGGGAGCTATGCCTCAATGCAGGGGGCTATCTCCAGAAGTGGAGAGTTCTCCATCACTAGAGGTATACAAGGCACTGTGGTTTTAGCTTTTCTTGGGAATGCAATTACAAGAGATTTCCAAGGTAGAGAGGGAAAAGGGAACTGAGACGAAATGACCTCTGGTGTGCTGTTTAAGCGTGACGTTGGGGCATCAGAATGCAAATCTAGCCTTGTCTCTATGCTGCCTAAAACCTGTCCATGGCATAATTTCCCAAACTAGAAATTACCAAATATCCTTCAATAGGAGAACAGATAAACTATGATACACACATACAGTGAGATACACTCAGCAATAAAAATGAGCAAACAACTGGTAATGTATCCACATGGCCGAATTTCAAAAACATACTGAGAGGCGTGGCTGGTGTGGCTCAGTGGCTGAGTGTCGACCCATGCACCAAGAGGTCACCCGTTCGATTCCCGGTCAGGGGACATGCCCAGGTTGTGGGCCAAATCCCCAGTGGGGGGCATGCAGGAGGTGGCCAGTCGATGTTCTCTCTTATTGATGTTTCTATTTCTCCCCCCTTCCTTTTTTCCTCTAAAAAAATCAATAAAGAAAAAATATTAAAAAAAAAAAGACTACATACTGTGTGGAGGGAGCACCTTCGGCTAAGGTCAAGAGTGGTGAGGAGGGGATACGTGCAACTTTCTATGTGACATTCTAGAACAGATGAAATGAATCTATGGTGGAATAAAGAGCAGTGGTTGCCTCTAGGGTTGGGGTTGGGTGGGGATTTACTGGCACGAAAATTTCTGGGGCGATGGAAATGTTCTGTATCTTGATAGGGTTCTGGGTTACACATTTATATGCATCGTCAAAATTTATCGAATAAAATTCATTGAGTGGCCCTGGCCGGTTTGGCTCAGCGGTTAGAGCGTCCGCCTGCGGTCCGGAGAGACCCGGGTTCGGTTCCCGCTAAGGGCATGTACCTCGGTTGCAGTCCCCGGCCCTGGTTGGTCGTGCGGGTGGCAGCCACTCGATGTGTCCCTTTCACATCGATGTTTCCTTCTCTCTCTCTCTTCCTCTCTCTCCCTCCCACTCTGTCTGTACAAAAAATGGAAAAATGTCCTCGGATGAGGATTAAAAATAAATAAATAAATAAATAAAAAATAAAATTCATTGAGTGATAAGATCTGTGCATTTCATGGTAACTGATAGGGGACAAAAAAACATTAAAAAAATATAAAACCCTTCCATGGCTAGCTGTCACGATCATCAAGCTCCTTCATTTTATGTTTAGGGCAGGCTGCTCCCAGACTTCCCCATGGACTCACTTTCTAGTACACCTCTCCAAGCCCTACGCCGCAGCTATTCCTCTCAGCCTACTCTTCCTAGAACAGGCTCTACTTTGGCTCATACTGTTCCCTCCGCCTGAAATGTCCTTATTCCCTTTCTCCTCAGATGTACCTTCTAAAGAAGCCTTCCCTGATGTCTCCCAGGGTTTCCTGAGCAGGCCTGGATTTAGGCCTGTTTTAGTTTATCTGGGCTGCTATAACAAAAACACCATAAACGGGGTGGCTTATAAAAAACAAACATTTGGGGAGCATTTGAGACCTTGCTCCCCAGTATATGTCGTCAGTTTGGCTCAAATTCTTATTAACAGTAAAAAATTTTTAAAAACCATTTGTTTCTCACAGTTTTGGATGCGCAAAGTTCAAGATCATGGTGCCACTAGACTTGGTGTCTGGTAAGGGCTTCTTCCTGGTTCATAGCCCGTGCCTTTTTACCATGTCCTCAATGGCGGAATGATCTTGGGAGCTCTCTGGGACCTCTTTTATAAGGGCACTAATCCAATTAATGAGGGCTCCAACTTCATGGCCTACCTTACCTTCTCATCATCTTAGGGGATAGAATTTCAGCATATGAATTTGGGGGACCACAATCATTCAGACCGTGGCAGCAGCTTCCACACCAACATGTGCTATCCCACTGGGTTACTCCTACCTTCCTATGGGCCTGAGCTCCTTGAGGCTCCCTTTCCTCTGCCTCCATGTGGCAAAGCCCCCACACAAGAGTGTTCAGGAATTGACCACTAAAGGGCATTGTGGGAAAGAGTTCGGAACCCTGCAGTGAAGGTGTCTCCTTCCTCACTCAGCCAAGGTAGGAATCTGAAATGGGCATAAGAACTCTTTTCAGGCCAGGACTCCTCGGTGTTCCCAAAGTACTCAGAGAAAGGAAGCCAGGCTGGGGGTAAGTAGGCTGTGCCAGGCCAGAGGGCCCAGACCCATTCTCTGAGGCCCCAGCATCCGGGTCTATGTCTTCAGCTGGGGCAATGTCTGTGGGACTGGCCATGAGGTCAATGGCCTTGATGTCCTGCCGGGTCTTGCCCTGTAACATCATGGCTTTGTCCAGGTGGGTCTTAAGTAGTCGTCCTGCTTCTCCCTTTAGTCTTCTTAACAGCAACCAGAGCAATCCTTTTACAAAGTAACTCTGCTGAAAACCCTTCAGTACCTCCCATTTCACTCAGAGGAAAAGCAAGTTCACATTGGCTTTCAAGGCCTTACCCACTGGTTTCTGGTTGCCTCTATTTTCTCCCCTCCCATCACTCTGAACCCTGCCTCTCACTCCCCTCCAACCACACTGTTCTCCTTGCAGTACCTCAAGCACTCCAGGCATGTTCCTACCTCAGGGCCTTTGCACTGCCTGTTCCCTCTGCCTGGAACCTTCTTTCAGATATTCACATGGCTCTCTCCCTGTCCTCATTCAAGCTTTGTTCAAACAGCCTCTGAGGGAAAAGTCCCCTGATTTATCATTATAACCCAAACCCCATCACCCTGCCTCATACTTTTCCCCTTAGCCTTTATTACCTTCTAACACAGTATAACATACATTTACACCTATCTTGTTTATTGTTTATTCCCCTACCCCTACCCCATTGGATTTAAGCTAACTGATATGTCTTAAGGGTCCAGGACAATGAAAACAAAGCACATACACAGCAGGTGTGAGACTGCAGAGGTACCCCAGCCCTGAGGAGGCCCCATTGCAGCTGCTCTATCCAGGGCAAATGCTCACATGGCTGCTCTCAGTCCCACAGCAATAGCCTGTCAGAGGGAATGTAAGCTCAGAGGACCCAGGCCAGGCTTCCTTCAGGACCCACCACCTTGCAGCCAGCAGACAGTCATATCCCCCTTGAGATAGGCCTGCTCCTTTCTGCCTCCCTGATCTCTGGCCCAGTAGTTGCTCAGTGTCACTCTGAACTAGAACCTCCTACTTTACAACTGGGGAAATGTAGGCCCAAGAGGGGGAAAGGATTTTTGCAATTCTAGGCCAGAGTCAGGAATTAAACCCAGATTTTCTTTCTCCCACCATGGTGGAGGGGTGCAGAAAAAAGTTATATGCAGAAAACTGAGACCTCACAGGGTGCTCCAGGCCCAGCCTCTGTCCCCACCCCAAGCTCACCTACCAGTGCCAAGCCACAGAGAATCCAAGCTCTACCCACTCACCCCTGTCCACAACGAGGAGGGCAGCCAAGGCCAGGGCCACTACCCACAGACGAACGGCCATGCTAATCCTGGGCTGATGTGGACTCAGCTAGCTGAAGTCTGGGCCAGGAGAAGGAGGAGGGCCTGTTTATAGTGCTGATCCCTACCCTTATCTTATCTGGGACCAGATGGAGAGGCCAGGACTCTGCACCTTGGCATCTGGAAAGGGCTTTCTGTAGGCGGAGGTGTTTCTGTGGTGGGGTGGGACTGTGGCTGTGGGGCTGGCAGATTTTCAAAGTGAGGAAAAGTTTGGACAACTTGCAAACCTAAAGCCAGTCTTGAGTGCTGGAGCAAGAGGGAGAGGGAACTTGAAGTAGGAAGAGAAAAAGAGAGAAACCAAGTCAAGAGAGAGAGAAACAGAGAGATAGAGACAAGAGGCCGATAAGAGAGAGAGAGAGAGAGAGAGAGAGAGAGAAGAAAGAAAGAAAGAAAGAAAGAAAGAAAGAAAGAAAGAAAGAAAGAAAGAAAGAAAGAAAGAAAAGAGAGAAAGAAAAAAGAGAGAAAGAAAGATCAACTGGAAGGTGGCAGGAGGCAGAGAAAGGGGGCTGTAGTCATGGATTCCTTTCCTCATGCCTCCACCAACCAATTGTGTGACCTCAGAAAAGCTACTTTTTAAAAAAACAGCCTCAGTTTACCAATGCTCAAAATGGGGGTGATAATTCTGGCTCTGTCTCCTTCATAGGGCTGCTGTGAAGATGCGGTGATAGATGGGAAAATATTTTGCACAGTATGAAATGAGGTATAAAGGTAAACAAATGTTTTCTTTCTTTTCACATCATGATGAAGGCACAATTGACAGGAAAAAGGGCAAAATAAAACATATCATAAGGAAGATGCCCCCTCTCAACAAAAGGAAGATAAATAACCCAATTAAAAAATGGGCAGAGGGCCCTGGCTGGTTTGGCTCAGCGGTTAGAGCGTCAGCCTGCGGTCCACAAAAACCTGGGTTTGGTTCCCGCTGAGGGTGCGTACCTCGGTTGCAGTTTGTCCCCAGCCCTGGTTGAGTCATGTGGGTGGCAACCACACCATGTGTCCCTTTCACGTCGATGTTTCTCTCTCTCTCCCTCTCACTCTATCTGAACAAAATATTGAAAAATGTCCTCGGGTGAGGATAAAATAAAATAAAAAAATGGACAGAGGGCCCTGGCCAGTTTGGCTCGTCAGCCCATGGACCGAAAAGTCCCAGGTTTAATTCTGGCCAATGGCACATATCTCCGTTACTGTTTGCCCCCGGCTGCTGGGGTCGTGCAGGTGGCAACTAATTGTGTCTCTCTCACATGGATGTATGTTTCTCTCTCTCTCTCTCTCTCTCTCTCTCTCTCTCTCTCTCTCTCTCTCCTCCCTCCCTCCCTCCCTCTGCCACTCCTTCCCTCCCTTCCTCCTGCTCTATCTAAAGATAAAGGGGAAAATATCCTCGGGTGAGGATTAAAAAAAAAAAAAGTGGGCAGAGGACTTGAATAGGCATTTCTCCAAACAGGACATACAAATGGCCAGGAGAAATGTAAAAAAATGCTCGACATCACTAATTAGAGAAATGCAAGTTAAAATGACTATGAGGTATCACCTCACACCTGTCAGAATGGCTGTCATCAACAAATCATCAAACAACAAGTGTTGGCGAGGGTGTGGAGAAAAGGAGACTCTAGTACACTGCTGGTGGGAATGCAGACTGGTACAGCCACTATGGAAAACAATATGGTGCTTCCTCAAAAAATTAAAAATGGAATTGCCATCTAACCCAGTGATTCCACTTCAGAATATATCCTAAGAAACCTGAAACACCAATCAGAAAGAATATATGCACCTCTATGTTCATAGCAGTGCAATTTAGAATAGCTAAGATCTGGAAATAACCCAAGTGTCTATCAGTAGATGAAATGGATAAAAAAGCTATGGTACAGCCCAGCCGGTGTGGCTCACTGGTTGAGTGTCAACCCATGTACCAAGAGGTCACTGGTTCGATTCCTGGTCAGGGCACATGCCCACATTGTTGGCCCCATCCTCAGTGGGGGGCATGCAGAAGGCGGCCAGTTGATGTTCTCTTTCATTGATGTTTCTATCTCTCCCTCTCCCTCTCTCTCTCTCTCTAAAAATCAATTAAAAAAATAGATCCAGAATCTTGGAAGTAGGGAACAGACTGACAAACCTCAGAGGGATAGGGGAAGGGGGGTATGGGAAGAGATAAACCAAAAACTTATATACATATATGCATAACCAATACACAGAGATTGGTTTGGGGAAAGCAGGAAGGGGATGGGAGCAGTGGAGAAGGGGTCTATGGGGGAAAAAAGGGGGACATCTGTAATACTTTCAACAATAAAAAAGGAAGAGTCTCTAATGTTTTGCATGTATTATTTGTCCATTTGCATTTTAATAGGTTAAATGCAGACAAGGTACTTTTCAAGAAAAATCAACATCCAAAACTACTTAATATTTATGAAACATATATGAATGAGATATTTGGTTACCTGCTTTCAAAGAATTTCTGATTTATTAAAAGAATAACAGCCTTGGCCTGGTAGCTCAGTTGGTTGGAGTGTCAGCCCTATGACCAAGGTCACAGGTTCAGTCCTCAGTCAGGGCACATACAAGAAGCAAACAGTGAATGTATAAATAAGTGGAACATCTCTCTTTCTCTCTTTCTCTTTCTTCCTCACTCTCTCTAAAAACAACAAATAAATAAATAAAATTTAAAAAAACAATAACAAAATTTTATTTACATATGTATTTCTTTAATTCATTTGGCAGTGATTTTCAACTCCATCTGCAGATTAGATTTCCAATGGGAGAACTTAAAACTACAGGAGCTGGACCTCACTTAGAAATATTTGAATCAAAATTTCAGTGTTTTTAAATTTATTTTATTTTTAATTTTTTTTTTAATCCTCACCTGAGGATATTTTTCTGTTGTTTTTCAGATAGGGAGGGAGGGAGGGAGGGAAGGAGGGAGGGAGGGAGACACGTCAATTGGTTGCCTCCCACACAACCCCAACCAGGGCTGGGGATCAAACCCAGGTACATGCCCTTGACTGGAAATGAATCCACGACTGATTCACGGGCCAATGCTCTAACAGCTGAGACAAACCGGCTGGGGCAAAAATTTCAGTGTTTTTTTTTTTTTTAAACCTTTTTATTTAAGATTTCAAGTTTACAGATGAGTCATGAGAATAGTTATATGAATCAATGGGAAAGATTCTTGTTCAAGAATATCCCCTTTGGGGAACCCAGGCAGCCAGACGGTCACTCCAACAAACCAATAGAAGCCCCAGATCTGCAGCCCAGCCCAGCCTGAGGTCAATGACAGCCTCAGGATCCTCCTGCCCTTCCACAGGAACTGCATGGCACTCAGATGACTCTGAGGCAGGTGGCAGCTATCCTTCCATTGCTTCACCAGGCAGAGCAAATATTTAATGATAATTTCCTGTCCTAGAGCAAGAACATCATCTCATAAAGGGAGGGGAACTTTAAAGGTCATCTAGGTTCTGTCTCCCATCTTTTACTCAGGCCTTCTTATAGAAGCCCCACCAGGCAGTCATCATCCTCCAGCGATGAGTTTCATTGTTGGGTGGCTTTCAACAGAGTCCTTCCTCATACAAGAGGTTGGCTTCCCGGAGACCGCATGCTTATGGGATGCTTTGAGAGCCCAAGAGAGGCCCCTGACACTCACCAGACCCCAGGTGGCGGGCCTGGTCAGAGTGCCTGGTATGCCTCTGGCAAAGGGACAAGGCTGCTTCCTTCTAGCCTGAGCCAACCCCTCCTTTACTACCCCCTGCTCTGGCTTCTGGGGTATAGAAAAGTGCAGGGAGAGAGTTCTGGGCCAGGAGTGAGGTGATCTTGGTTTGTTCATTGCTTCAATAAACATTATTGTGTCTACTATATTCCATGTACTGTTCTAGTCACCAGGGATTCAGCTGTGAATAAGGCAGTGACAGACAACAAATAAATATAAAATAAACACATGATACTTTATGTAGAAGAAAAATTAAGTGGTGTAAGGGGAGAAAGTGACAAAAGGGAAGGAGGCTGCTCTTTTAGATAGTGCCACATGAGCAGGAAGGACCGAGTCCTGCAGAAACCTGGGGAAGAGCCTGCCAAGCCAAGGAACTGCAAGTGCAAGGGCCCTGGGATGGGAACAAGCTTGGCATGATCAGCAAGTAAACAACAAGGAGTCCATTATGGCCAGAGTAGAGTGAACAAGGAATTGAGTAGCAGGAGGTGAGGGCCAGCTTATGCTCAGGTTCCAGTCCAGCCATCAACTTGGGTGAACTTGGGTACATCCTTTCATTTCTTTGGGCCTGCACATATGCTCCCATCTGAAAAGTGAGCTCATTGATATGTGCCAACACCAGCCTGAATCCCAGGGCAGCTGTGAGGGCCTGGGGGAGGAGAGTGTGAGGTGAGATGTGTGCAGCTACTGTGATGCCAGGAAGCGCCTTGATTGGAGGTTCCTGGAAGTAGACAGGCCAAGCCTTAAAAGTCCTGGGCACCTTCACAAGTGCTAGGATCAATACAGTAAAGACAGAGATGCTTTAAAACTGGGCTTGAGCAAGGGAACAGGTGACTCCTCCATTTCCTGCCCCACGTCAGAGTGAAGGCTGGGACTTGTGAGCTGGATTGAGCCAACACTCCCCAGCCTACCCCACAGCCTTCACACTGCCTGCTAAGGTTTGGACTGGTGCCTAGCTCCTCCAAGAATACAGCCCCTCCTTAATGACGACAATGGAGGATCTATTAGGTCTGAGTCACAATCCCTGCTGGTAAGTGGGGAACAGTGGCCTTGTTTGGCTTAATGTGGGTGAGATGAGCTCAAGCAGGCCTGAGTCTGCCAGATGGCACAAACCATATGGTCATTTTTACCCCTGCACTATCTCTGGCTCCTCAGCCCACATCCTGCTCCACCCTTCCTGCAGCCTCAAGTGTCCTCACCTGCCCATCTATCTGCTGTGAACAGCCCAGGTGTGGGTACCCACTCTGGGGAGGCCTGGTCTGGGCACAACTAGTTCCACAGCCTGTTCTGTCCTGGGCTCCTCAGCCACTTGACTTCATGTCCCAATTCTGGCCACTTCGCATGCTGCCTGGTCCAAGGCTGCAGGGCCCCACATGACAGTGGGAGGAAAGGGCACCTCTCTGCCCCTTCAAAGGGAGATAATCATCTCCTTGCTTGGGATCTGACTCCAAGAAGGACTCAGCAATGAGAATGACTGAAGTCATTCCTCCATAGGGACACCCACCCTGCCATTCAATGGACATTTGTTGAGCACCTACTGTTGGGTACCAGTCATTGTGCCAGGCCCTGGGACCACAGAGGTGAGAAACATCCCTATGCTCAAGGAACTTGTGGTTTACAGTGGTGAGGAAGAGGAATGAGCACATGGACACTTGAACAGGTATTTATAAAATGCTGTGGTTAAAGCAGTGATAGAAATAGTGAGGCATATTTATGGACATTCATGGATATCCACTCAGTACATCCAAAAGTCAGATTACCATCAATTTATTCACTCAAAGATACTCTACCTCCCTGTTTCCCCACCTGTGTGAACAGCACCACCATCATCCAGGTACCCTAGGCAGACCTGGACATCACTCTGAACTTCTCTCTTACTTCTACATTCAGGGAATCAGATCTTTCTGATTTCACCTCCTCTCCATCTTTCATATCCATCACCTCCTTTACATTTCCTCAATCATTACTGAAGTTGTCTTCCTGCCTAAGGCCTCACCACCTCAAATTCA